CGAATAAAAATATGCATCGATTGAATTATTGGACTGAATTAGATTGTCAGTAGTTTCGTCGTTATATCCATTCATATCACTGATTCAATAATTTCAAGTAAAGATTACATGTTCATGGATACTTATTAAATTAACATTAAATTGTATTATTCATAAAAACGTGTCACTATATGACAATTGTTCAGAGCATTTTCGATTTGGATTATGAATTACTCAAAATTGAGCACATTCAAATGAAATAGTGAGGAGAAACGAAAACCATATTGCTAAAACAACACTGGTCAAAAGAAATAACTATGTTTCATATATATTTACTGATGGCGCTAGTGAACTGATTACAGAAATCCAATAAATTTATACAGAAAATCTTAAATACATTTTGTTATCTATGGTGAACTTCATGTCACTCTTTAATAATTCATATGTTTCAAATTATCCGATAGTTCCACACGGTTTCATTGATATTTGCATTAAATTGTCAATTGAAAGTTCACTCACTTTACTCAACGATACTCATACGCTCACTTTTAATGTAGCAACGTGAATCGGTTACATTTTTTATCTGTAATGTTTTACATATGATGTGAGTGTTATTTCTATGTAGAGACGTTGGCAAAGGTTCCTTGTTAAAAATGATAAGTGAATGTCACCTATCACTTATTTGTATGTTGAATTCACTTACTTTTTAAAAACACAATTCAAAAAGCAACGGATATGTTTTATTTAAATTTTTGTTAATTTACTTTGTCTGACTTTATATTTTAATACTACACTTAGAGGGCTATCATTATTATTTTCGAACAATAAAAAAATGAATATGCATTATAGGGTTATGAAGATTGTTTGCAATCATTTATCGATCAATATTATAGCACCATTGAAAAACTTAGAAGCACTGAACAACCGTTTCGTTCTGGTATGGATTCATCAGCACTGCACATCCATGACTCCTGTTACTCGCAGAATTCGAACCCAGGACCTTCAATCTTGCGCGCAATTGCCAAATTTCCTGACCACTGAACCGGCATCTGATGGTGTAAATTTCTTACTTCTATCGATCCACATTCTTGTGCAACCTCAAACTCGGTGAGTAGTGCTTCACATCTGAACCTGGATGAACTCCACTGATAACGACTTCTCTTTCGATTATCTTGACCATACTTCTAATGGTGGTCTAATATTGATCGATTCCTGTCAAAGAAACAATAATCATTTGTACGATAGAAAAGATCTCATTGTCAAGATCAATGAAAGATTTACAAACAGCTATTTGATCAATGTTCCTCATGAAAAAGTAACTAATATCTTTAAAACCTAGTTTTTTCGATCATTGTAAACGTCTCTACATTGTTTTTACAATGTTATATTTCAATTTAACTGGAAAGTCTTTACCTAGCGCAATAAAATCTAGATGTTGTTTTTGGTGTATATTCCTATCCAAATCACGGGCATACAAAATGAACAGAAAGTCAGTCATTCACTTACAGATCAGTGAAAAACAATTGAAAGTATTATGACTTCAGTTCAAGGAATAAATTTATTTGTGACTGTCAGCCTACTGTCAATAGTATAACCCATTTATTTTAATTTTATTTCCGTTTGACACAGACTAGTAACACGAATAATTCTATTTACTAAAGAAAACTTTCTTCCAAGCTGGTTAAAATAAGTAATTCAACATTGAAAAATCGTGTGATTAAAATTTCGCCAAAATAAAATTTTAAAAAAATGATAGTTTATAAGATCCATTACTTACTTACTCCTGTATCCCTTTATCAGAACATTGGCCTTCGACCAACTTTTTCCAAGTAACTCTATCTTAGTTCTTCCTTTCCAGTTCTAACCAATTTATAAGATCCATTACATGTAGTGAACTCGCGATTATTAAATTTATGTATATTACCTAAAACTTATTATGTAGATGTTACATTATAAGGCATAAAATTGTCGAATTACTGATTTGTTTGGAGAATTAATGTAGATACAATGTTTACTTTGTAATAGGCTAGGTTATTTTTCTGTTAGTAAACTATGTCTTTATGAACTCGATAAACAGAACAAGTAACATGGAACACTTAAAAATAATAATCTCTTACGTAGCGTGGCAAAGTAATGAATCAGGATTTCATGTTAAGTTTGATATCCAAAAGTTCGTTTTTCGAGTGGAAAAGCGGAAAAACGATTAGTTATCGTAAAATCACGATAATCCCAAGGCCTACTTAGCTTATTAGTTTTATGATGTTAGTAGTTGTCAAAGGGTTTGAAAATTTCAACAGGCGCTTTAAAAATAAAGCTACACGTATGATCTTTTAACTAGTAAATATGAAAACACAAACATTCAGCATGTGACTGAACATCTTTGATTATTAGTTAAAGAATGGATAAAGGATAGATATTACACATATAATTTCAATCTCCTTGCAAAACTATGGTTTCATCAGCTTTTTTGTTTTTGGACACAACTGTTTCTGGTGTGTGTAGAATACCTATAAACATTAAGGGAAGTGAAAAATTTCTTGCTATTTTAGTGTAGGAAGATTTGTGGATAATGTAGCATTTGCACAGTTCTAATCACAAACTGATGTTAGTTAGACCACCAGTGAACACCTGAAAGCACTGAATGACCGTTTCGTCTGAGCATTACTTACTCACTTACGTAAGTCTGTCACTCCAAATGAGGCATAAGCCGCCAACCGGCATTATCCAACCTACTCTGTTTTGGGCGTTTCTTTTCAGTTCTACTCATTTACTTTGGATTCACTTATTGTCTGCTTCCAACTCTTGACTTTATGTCTCCTTTGTGGTCATAGCGTAGAATTCATTCACATCATTTAATCTAGAGTGTAATGCTTTTTCACTGTGTCATCATGGTGATCCGCTAGCTCTATTTAGCCTATATATTTAGAAAATAATGTACGTTTGAAATGCAAAACAGTAACCAAAACAAAATCCCCTAGTATTCAGCTATGATGTTGACCCAAAAATTAACCATTAGCACACATAGTGCGTACACATTTTCTAACTGGTTCTATATTAAGACGAACCAACCATACAATTGTAATGATTCCCTAACTAGAATATGAACATATTATGTAAACTCAATTAAAAGACCTTTAACTGGGCATAGCCTCCGGTAGTCTTATTTATCCAACATAAGTTAGCTGCGTTTTCTTTGATCAAATGATCACTTCCAACAAATCATTCAGTTATTCAAATCACCTTTGAATATTTATTCAACTTAGGAAATTATAATTCAGTTATTATATTTCGGTCAGAACAATTCAGTGATAAAATTTATTAACGTAAAACTGTACATGAGAAATGACGACATTTTAATGGAACAGAATGTGTGTATCAGTATTCAAATAGATGACCATCGGAATAAAAATTGATTAACATAAACCCTGACCAACTGTTCAGTTTTAAAAAAAGGCTAAATTACGATGTGCTGTCTCATTAAATTTGGAAAAAAACTCGGTACTCAGATTCATATAATGCTGGAGGTCAGTGGTAAAAAATGCAGGTATTCAACATTCTCTAGTTTTAATGCAACCGATCCTAATTTGATAAAATAATACAATTTGAAATAGGATGAAATCTTATTAAACGGTAATTGACTGTTGAAGTAAGTGATTTATTTTTGATTAATTTTGTTCAAACAGAAAGTTTTTTATTGTGAACTGGATTGGATTAAATTTAATCCATAGGGTATACCGATATATATAATAATAGGCTGTAAAATAGGCATACAAGATTATATACCTATGCGTGCTTACAAGTGTGCATGATTGTAAGAAATCAATGCACACAAATATGACCCAATGAATGTCTGTGCACAAATGGAAAGTAATAAGCTGCTTTGGTGTCTATACTTGTGTTTTCTTACCTCATATACATCGCACGGTTGACTGTTCATAAATGCGTACGTGTCTGGATTATATACACTATAGTAAACATGATCGTCTAACAAGGAGCCGGCCGGCCGGTTTCTTGCGTTTGCCGGTTAGATGTGATCATAATTTACAGGTAGAAGTTGCCTATTTGTCTGCTTATTTTCTGATACGATTAGTCTGTCACAGATTATTTAAAGAAACGAGTGAAATCGTTTTCCCGACAAGCACGAGTTCTCTTTATTCGCATTCAATAGTAGACCGTGTGATAATATTCCTATGCATTGACTTCATCTCTTGGGGACGAACAATTATGCATTACAGTCACTAGGATATATCTTAATGTTCAATGTGTGGAGGATTCTGCTGATACCAATGTCCAATGATAACTAAGGCCAATTTCTCAACAATCACGTTGCACAAAATTATTATCGATGATGTATATAACCGGCTTTTTCAATTTTTTTCTATATTCATTGTTTGAAATCGAAAATATTTAGGAAAAATTTTCATTTTTGGAAAACAAATAAATATACATTTATATGCACAGTTAATTATATCAGAAATAAAATGAATTGGTCAAATTCGGCATAATCACAGAAAAAATCACAGAAAATTTATCATAAGAGAATTAATTTAATTTACACAGATAAATTATTTGCAAACCTATTGATATGTCTATCAGTTATTATAAATTCTCAGGTTACATCATACAACATTATTGACAATTTATCTCTTTGAAGCAATTTATTCACACTTTTTATCCGGAAATATATCCGGATAAATAACCAATATTAATGCACAGTTATAGTTCAGGACAATTTAATAATTTGTTTCTTAATTTGTACAGCAAACAGTTGCATTGTTTACAGTTAAAATCGTCGAATTGTTTCTCTTCTCATTACATTGATGCATAAGATCCCAAATTCAAACAATCTACTGTAACTAATTATCTCAATCACTTTCATAATTATCATAATTATTCAAAAGAAAACGTCTAATCTGAGCATAATGATGAATTGTCATTGGTCCTACAGGGATACTTTGCATTTCGTTCGTTTATATCAATTATCGACTGAAATCCTATTCATAAAACCTATCCTAATCTACATGATGTTAATATCGACCATCAATACTAAACATTTAGAATATTTATACAAAGATTTCAGAACAGTACATCAAGCATTTTATAACAACAATGATCAGTGTATCAATCGGTCTATTCAAAGAATGATAGGAGTTTATATTAATCCTGTAAACTTATTAGAATATTCTCAATCAAATTTTTCATATGATAATGAGCCTATTCAGAGAAATACTCAACATTTCTTTGCACAAACTAATTATCCAGACAATGCAACATTTGTTCGTAATCAATTTCAAAGTAAGTTAATTCACCACTGTTCAACCTCATATATAATATCATTAGTATTATGTAATTATTCATTTTTCTATATATTAATTAGCCAAGCTAAATAAAAGATATTTAGAATTTCTGTTTGTACATTCATTCCACTACACAGTATGGTTTGCAAAATATATCTAACTAAGTATGACAATATTGTTACATTTATATTTTATTCAACAAACAATCGAGGTGTGTTTTATTGTAACGCTATAACTGTTTGTCAGAATTAGATTTACAGACAAAATAAGTTGAAATAAATGATTTTTAACCAATAATGCAGAACAGAGTTATCTGGTTCCAATTATTTTATGATTTTTTTGATTTATGGTCATGGATTCGTTCACAAGCATTAAAAGTATCAAACAATTTATTACAACAAATAGTAAGGTTTAAGAATATTCCATATCAAACCGATTAACTATACCATGTGACTAATCTCATATTGTACACAAATACATATATATATAAATATGTATATTCATGAACAGCTCTTATCTATGTGTTCTCCGTATGTAGATCCATCTAGATAAGAATCGATTGACTACATTTGTGAAAGAGACCCGGTTGTTTATTGCGCAGTCGTCTGCATATTGTTAAACTACACATGATCCAATTGTATATAAGTATGCATTTTGTCCGGACATATATATGTGTATATATACATAAACGAGTGTAATCTGAATAATCTTTATCGATTATTTTACAATAACACGAACTAGTTTGTCGTATACACAATAATTTATATCGTCAGTTTTCTTTTTTTTTAACTATCACCCTGGAAAATTTACTTATATATATATATATATATATATATATATATATATATATATAATTATTAACTATTCAAAGTAATTGCATAGATAAATAAGTGGGCTTCAAAGTAAAATCATTTAGGCTTTTGCGATACATTTCTGAACACAAATAAAGACAAGAATACAAACTGCGAAATATATATAAATATATACATTAGAAAAAATATAAATTTACTGAATATTACAAACTGAACATGTAAATTAATTATCAAAAGTATGAAAACATAATTTATACAAAATTATTGCAATTAAATTAAGCTGTGCAAAGTTAATGTAATTTGATTTTGTTAAGAGAGAGAATTACATTTATTAATAATGGTAATAAGTGATTGTAATGAAGTTCACTTCTAGTCTAGTTTGTCATGTTCTTGATAATACCGTTGAAAATATTTTGATTGAAGTTTGACCAGTCTTTGTTGAAATATATGAAACCTGTACTGATTGTGTCAGTGCAGCCGTTATGACTCATGTTTTGTTAATAAAGTGGCCTTTAAATACAAGTTACTAAATTCATTCTCTCTGGAACTCATCAGCGTGATGCACCTGTTTGTCAGTGTTGATGTTTACTCAGGGATTTGAATTTCGTGAATATCATTTCAAATGCTAACGCGAAATCTACTGAGCTGTTAAGTTCAAACAACTGCGTGCATTTGACACTGCTTGAAAGGTCTCGTTTATAGACATTTTTCATCAACGGCTGCCCTTATCTACAATTCAGATGAAAACCAAGAAGCACTGGAGATGATAGTTAACAACAAACTAATGGAAACACTTACAGCCAAACCTGGTCGTCCCGAGTTCTGCAACTGTTGAATTCCTTTAGTCTCCAGTACTAAAGTGGAACATTATTACTAGCACTGTGTTGTTTTACATTCCTATTTCATTCAATCTCATTCAATGGTACAAACTATCTAAAAAATCTTCTCTTTTTACTTAACCGCAAGAAATTCACATGACGGATAACTAATATCATCTAAACGACTGCTGTAAAATGGTTGATTTTCTAACCTTTGTAATTTAGATCGATAAAATCTACCATACATTCATAACTGAAATAAAGAAAAGGTCAAATATTTATTTTTACGGTTATAAATCAAAGTGGGAATAAAATTCAAAATAAATTTATTTTTATCATTATTATGATTATCAGTATTGCGATGGTGAAATTTTCTAAGCGAATGTTGAATAAACTTAAACAACCATAAATTTTACTGGGTTCGCTGTACACCGGGAAGCATTGTATGCCCGTTTCGCCTTAGACTGATGTTTTTCAGAGATGCACATCCACAACTTCGTTATCTGAGATCAAGCACAGTAACTTATGAATCGTTCTTGCGAACGTTCAAACACTGGACTACAGAAGTAGCTTTCATGTATTTCCTTTTTAATTGTAAGTTTGAATACGTGTTACAAAGAATACATTGAAATCAAGAATGAATCATTGCTAGGCCACCATAAGAAACCTGAAAGCATCTAATGGCCGTCAAGTCCTAGTATGGGACTCATCAGTACTGTGCATTCAGGACCCCTGCTACTCGCAGGATTCGAACCCAGGACCTTCAGTTCAGCACACAAACGTGGATTGATAGAAGTTAAACATTAACTTAGTTAAACAATCGCCCAGTGGTCCATAGGATAGGCTTTCCCTCACAAGACCGAATGTCCTGAGTTAGAATCCCGAGTGTAGTAGTGGTTGTGGATGCACAATGCCAATGCGTCCCACGCTACGATTTGACAGCAGTCCAGTGCTTTCATGGTTTCTAATGGGTTGCTTGGTGATTTCAATATGTAAAAACAATGATCACTATAGCTCTAAAATCATTTGATTTCATCGTATGTTTCTTTTTTCGGCAATTAAAATCTGCGTATAATTTATGCGACATTACGGGAAATCTTTGTCGTTGTAATGATGATTGTACAAATATTTTCGATAACAATATTCACCTTGATGAACGAATGATTAAGCAGGCAGTTTAAGTGGTCAGATATTGTCTTAACCGATCAAAATTGTCAACCAGCAGATTTTTTCTTGGAAAATAATTATATTAAAATAAGATCGAAACAGTCACTAGTTAAATATTCAATTTGAAGTTTATATGTACCCACGTACCTTGTTTATTAAAATTGTAGCGATTAATATCGTTTTAGAAATTCATATCCAGTCGATATTCACTAATTACTACTTTCGAATTGAGTGTAAACATACTGTTTTGACATTGAGAATGCACTGCCTACATAACAAAATGATTCCCACTTTTTTATCAAAATCTTGAAAGAAATACATTTGAAATCATGAATCGATCAATGTTAGACCACCGTTAGAAACCTGTAAGCACCGGACGGCCGTTTCTTCCTGATATGGGACTCATCAGCAGTGTACATCGACGACTCCTGCACCTCGCAGGTTTCGAACCAAGGACCTTCGGTCTTGCACGTGAACTCCTAACCTCTGGCTCAGTGGTCCAGGACGAAACGGCCATCCAGTGCTTCCAGAGTTCTAATGGTGGTCTAACTTTGATCGATTCATCATTTCAAATGTGTAACTTAACAATTTTCACAACCCCATAATGAAAAATACGTTTGACGTTAACCATTTACCACATATATCTCTATCATTGAAAAATGAATCTGAAATCAATTCATTTGTCATTATGATTAACTAACAAAAATGTTGAACATTCAATTTAGATTATAATTGAATATCTTGTAACATAATTTAATGAATAAGGAACACGTATTCTAATCTTTTTAAAGTTGTTTCAAAAAAATAAATGTCGAAATTCGAACTACAAAATTATTCACATAATTTCCTAAATTTAAAGTTACTTAGTGTCAAATATCAGTAAAATGTTTCATTAAAATTATGAATTGATCAGTGTTAAACCACCATTGAAAGCCTGGAAGCACTCGGCAGCCATTTTGCAAATAAACAAATGCGCAAGCATGATATTGTACATCCGATCTTCAATCGTCGACAAGCATTTCCATATTTATTTAGTGGGTAATTGATGCAGAAATTAGAAAAATTTTCAGCTGCTTATTATTCAGCAGGTAAAAATACTTCATACTAGTATTTTGATAGCAGGAAAATGTGAATCTTCAGGTGAAATTAGGCACTCATTTTTTAATAATGCATTCATAAAACAAAAAGAAAATCTTCAGAAAACTCTGAGTATTGAAAATTTACTTAACACTGAAATACCAACGAGTAACTTCATACTTGCTTGTAATTAGAAAAAACAGCTGAGATATTTTCAAGTTGGTAGTGTATATTATCGTAATGCATCAATTTACTGTTCATCCCTTTGTTGACTGATCATTTTTATTTATGATCATAGTAATAATACTAAAGAAAAATTGTATTTATCTCATGCTATTATAATTTAATTGTAACAGAATTTCGCTTCCTATTTCTAAAAATATTCTGCACTTTATTAATCTGATGTACATTTATATCTATAGACATAAACATGGACGCATCAATATTCCAGTTGTTAGTTTTAGAAGAGAAACATTTGTAAACATTTATCCAATCGAATTCTAAAGATATTGTAATTTTGTCGAATTTGTTTAGATAAAAAAAATCAATTAAAATTCTGTTTTACATGGTGCTATGTAGTTTGTTTCATTGAAGATGTTAGCGAAACAGAGAGGTAGAAATAAAATTTCTCTGAGAAATAAATATGTCTGATCAAAATGGAAGTAAACAGTAACTACAAAATCTGCATGCGTCTGATTGTAATGTAAGTGAAGTGTTGTTAAAAATATGTAATTAGAAATGAAGTTAAAAGTAAACTGGTGTTTTGACAAATTCACTTCATTTGTCTTCGATGCTTCTGAACCATTTGTGAATATATACGAATTTAGGACATAGTTTGCTTTTTTAACCATCACCAATTAATATGAAGATATTGAAAATAAACTAAATCATAGACTGTTCACAATTAATAAGTAGAGCGTTCTTAATAGGTATTTCAGAGTTTGTCAACTTTTAGAAATAGGTTGATATACGTTTTTACACACGCACATGTACTGCAATTTATAGAGAAGATAGGTTATTGTCAATAGTTATATACAAGATGCACGTTTCGTTTTATTCGGAACTAGTTGGCAGGATGTACTATCATCCAAGTGTTAATGTTTCTAATAGAAAGAACTTAAATCTAACACATTTCATATTAGACGCCACGTCGTCAGTAACTTGTTGGTGAATATGATTTATATATTATGATATTATTTATATGTTGAAAATGAGAAATTATCCAGCTAATTTCTGTTTTATGTGAATATCCGAAAAATTCCAATGTGTAAATGAACAAATGCAACAGTAATTAGCCATCCATCACTGATCTACTGCAATTTTTCTTGATCAGTTTCATTTTGTGCATCTTCATTCAGATGAAAATATACTTGATACAAAAACACTCTATTAACCAAGCTAAGAGACAAATGATTAAGTGTTAGTTTCTCTTGAAGTTTGTTGAAAAATTACTTAGTGGCAGATTGTAGACTTTAGATGATCGTACATGAATCAATAAAACATATTGCATTATTCACACAACTGCTACCAGAAATTTGAACATACTACTCACATTATCAGGGTAGCATATGAAAGTTTCCAAAATGTATCAAACATTCAGAAACACTGAATTTGTGGCAAAAATTAGTATGTTTAAACAGAGTTACGGTCAGTCTTTTGATGCTTGTCGTAAAATCCACTGTTAAGCATTGTTCAAAATTCGATTGGACTTTTTTTATTATTTTTAACTGAAAATGATTTCAAAACATAATACCAACATTGTTTTTTTTTAAGAAAAAAAATTATTTAGATAATCTATAAACTTTTGACTTGTTTTTGTCTGTTTTTATTTTATTGTTTACAAGTAGTGCATTTATTTGACAGTTGATTATTATTATTATTATTGTAGCTGTAATTTGTTGCATTGATGAAGATTTTTTTTTCCATTTCTCAGTACATTGACAGGATGTTTCTTTTGTTTCTGCTTAGGTTATGGTTTACTTAAACTAATCTGAAAATAACAAAATGTAACAAATAAACACTGCTTTTGAACTTCAAAGTTCCCCTAATTAAAAAAATAAATCGGAATTCAGTAAATGAATTTTTGGTCTAGATTAAAAGAATCTACTTTGTTCAATAACTTTAGTATCAATTAACTAGTTTATTTGAAAACAGAAAACGATAATAAGTAAATAAACGAATATATATATATATCAGATATTATGTTTTGTAGTTATTCATTAATCTGGCTAGATTTCTGCGAAGGCGTTAACTAGTTAGTTGATCAGGTCATTTTTAGGTTAAGATATTTGTTGATGTGAATGAAAGCATTAAATAATTAAGCAATGAAATAATGTTATTTAATAGTTGTAAATATTTGTATTTTACCGTTGTTTATGTGAAAGTTCACATAGGATCAGTCTGTATTGTTGTTGTATACATACATCCTGATTGGACTGATTGACTTCACTTTAAATAATTAGACACTAAACTATTGAGTTCAAATGGTCAAAAGCTTTTCTAGCTGATCGGAATTTTGTTTGCAGTCATTTATAATTTCGAATCTTTGATGATGGCCTGAGAGGTATGCATTAACCTTGACATTTAATCACATGATTTTATTATGGTTTATTGTACTTCCGTGGAACAAATGAACACTTTTTGTATGGGACGGCTTCGTGTACAATGTTGAATGTTGTTAATATTAAATTGTTGTTTAATTTCACCATGAACCACTCATTGTTAAGATGGCCAATGCTGATGAGTCCCAAATCAGACCGAAACAGCCGTCGGTGCTTCCAGGTCTCCAATGGTAGTCTAACATTGATTGATTGATCATTTCAGTGGTAAACAATAATCTTCATAACTATAATGAATATATATATATAAGACTAGTCTCAAACTAGCCAAAATCTTGCATATACGACCCCCGTGCTGTTGATTTAGAACAGTGAACCTTACGAAGATGAAAATATATTGAGCGTAATAAATTTAAATCCAATTTTATACTTGAATATTCTCAGCCCAGATGATGATATGTGTTATAGCAATAAAAATCAAAACAAATAAATTAGATTCCGGTATAAAAATACATACCACTTACTACTCGATTGTTTAAACGAAAACAGGTAAGTAATAAAACTGAAAAAATACCTGATAGCTCTTCTTCTTTCAGAAATCTATCATTCATTTCATGTTTCGATCATAAGTGTTTCACTTGAGTAAGAGTTATTAACCAACTTAAAAATTCGGTCCAAAGATCCCTGTAGTTTCAATAAGTAGCCCCATACCAGTCAAAGATATCAATCACGTGTATCTTTGTTTTCATTGGTTGTCAAGCTTCAGTCGATTTGTGATCCAGGTTAAAGATGAGTCAAAATCCACACAAATTCTTGTATACTACATGCATTAATATGTTGAAAACATGGTAATAATAGCGAATTAGTAATTAGCTGGATTATAAATTTAAAGGGTTAATTTATGCCTGTTAATAATAATATCTTATAACTTATAAACCACTGCATTCTCTATAATTGAGTGTATGTTGATTTATTTTCAATTTCAGACTGTTCCATAAAGAATGAATACTACTGTCTTCGCTATGACCTTGAAACAAAACAATGGAAAACGTATTATCATTTTAAACAAAGAACACCAACATTCAATCAACAAATGAAAATTACGAAGTCAGTAAATCAATCATTGACACATCATGTTTTTCTAACAGTGAAATATCCAGACAAGTATTATAATAAAATGGTTAGTCATTTTTGCACAAATATCTCTATTTATATACTCTTTTAAGACGGCAAAATCAAGTATTACAAAATTCACTGGTTTATGAGTAGTGAAATGAAATTTCGATAGTTATTCACATTTGATGATTAGTACGTAATTACAAAATTCAGTGAAGGCATTACTTTTCGTCTAATTTCATACTTTTAATACTTGTTTAGAAGTGATTAATTTAATTAAAAAGTCACTTTATGTAACTGTTTTAAAAAATGTTTGTTTTACGTGTGATCAAAAGAATTCAGATTTAACAAGTTGAAATAGTTTACATTCATCAACGTTCTTATTTTATTTCAGATGCGAACATACATCTTTCGTGATTATCGAAATGCCTAACGTGTTCTTCATTTTCACTCAGTTGTTATATTTAAATCTTCACATAAATTTTTGTAATGGTGTGATATGTGATCGAACAATTTTTTGGAGGTGAAAAAATCATTTAAAATTAATTTCTTCAACCACTAATGTTTGACTTCAGGTTATATCTTTAACTTCATGCTATTCGTCTTAAAGGAGTTTGTCTCAACAAAGGCAGGAAATAAATATTTAAAAGGTGTTCCAATAGATAGATATTGTTGACAACTAAAGATTTAAAGTGAAATCAATAAAACCACAGAAATCAATGATAAGAAATAAAGTTATTTAATTTAACATTTTTTATCGTGTCTTTTTTTGATTGCGTATTTACTAAGAACTGTTTAAATTCGATTCGTTGACAATGATTTTTTTTCTATAGAAAAAGTTAGTGCATGATTCGATCGTTAGCATAGGACAAAATACGAAGCTTAGTTTCTCTCAAAACCATCTTTTCGGTAACTCAGTCAGTCAGTTGCAACGTAGAACTTCGTACGTATGTACATAAGTTCATGTTGCCATATCACATAGCACAGAGACGCAAATGTCAAATCAAATCCCATAGTGATTGAGATAGTAGAGGTAATAATGCTAATGAAGAAGTCTAGGGTTTGAAGATATTATTCAAGAAGTATAATTCAGTGAGATAAGGTTAGAAAGACAAAGGTAGATGTGCTGAAGATTCCAGAAGATGAGGATTTGAGAGGGCACAACGAATGGATGCACTTGCGCCATTGCAAACCATTTTGAGTCATGTCGTTCAAGGTTTCTAACCATTGGTGACTATCATCTCGCGGTAACTGATAGGATAATAAGTAAATTTCTGTTTTGTAAATATATTACAGCACTGCACTATTTGATATACCTGTCGAATTTATTTCATTTCATTAAAACAAAAATACAAGATAGAAATAATATGGAAGGTTTATCCAGATTGCTATGTTTACTTGCCTTGAAATGCATTAATAACTTCACGATTATCGATTTCATCTTACTGACGAATACTGGCTACCAAACAATTTAGATGCGATACACCGTGCTGACTACATCTAACGATCTGATACCATCGCAGAACAATTGAAAATAGATGTTAAGTCACAATCATATTTCTAATTTTGAAGGGTACAACCACCAACATTTACTCTGAGAATAGAAATGCTTTCATAGAAGGAATTAATGCAAAATTCTTATTCCGTTTCGTAGTTACTATCTATCCTCGCTGATTGAAATCATAAATAGATCATTGTTAGAGCACCATTAGAAACCTGGAAGCACTGGTCGGCCATTTCGTTTTAATATGGGACTCATCAGCTATAAGAATCCACTCCTCACTCCTAAAATTCGAATCCATTACCTTTGGTATGGAATATGGACGCTTAGCGTCGAGTCGACTGAGCCGGCATCAAATAACTTGGACGAATTAAACTTAGACAGTAACACCTTTGGATGCCGGCCCAGTGGTCTGGAGTTTGATCGTTCGCACACGTGAGGCTGAAGGTCCCGAATTCGATTCCCGCAGGCGAGGGTTATGGGTCCTCTTTTCTGATGAGCCCCATGTTAAAACGGAATGGATATCTAGTTCTTCCACGTTTCTAATGTTGGTCCAACAATGATTCACGATTTCAATGAAAAACTACATTGTTTAAATCAAAAATATTCAGGTCTAGTTTTTATATCGGAGTCGTCTCAGATCTAAATCAGTTTATTTACAGCTGTTTGATTTTTAAATTTTCATTTATTAAAGTTTTTGAAACATTTTCCATTATTAGTGGGAGAGAGAGGTAAAGAGTGACAAAAATATCAATGAAACTATCAAAAAATCATGTACACTTTCAGTCTACTGTTCATTTTATCTCCGTTTCTTGAAAAAGATTATTTTTGTTCTGTTTTGTAACGAAAGACAATGTAATGTTGAAAGAATTTCCAAGTTCTCTTATGACAGTTTTTTCTATGTAAAAATTTATTTAATAATGCTAGTGATTTATGCAAATCATGCGAACAATGAAACACATTTTATGGGTATATATAATCATATTAGAACAAGAATGTTGAGGATATTACTGACTATATTCCTGATATTATGAACTGGCCTAGAGAAAACCATGAAAAACCAGGAAGCATGGGATAACTGATTCTTCTCAGTATCGAACTCTTCACCAGTACGTATTCATCATTTTACCACGGATCAAACTAAGGAATTTCAGTCTCGTACAATAACACTTAACCTCTAGTACAATGTATCGATATTCAGTAATGTCTATTACTAGTTTTACCGCTATCCAGTACCAAACACTCAAAACTGAAGAGAATATTTAAGTAATATCCGGAGTTGCAATTTGCTTTCCTACCACAGTTGATGTTTATCTAGAGAATAGAAGAATCAATTATCTTTCGATCCAAAAGTCAACGCGTTAGTCACGTAGCTACTAAATGCAGATAACCACTCACTTGTGCAAGGTGTATGTGTTTTAATGACGTTTTTAGAGTTATGTAGTAGATCCTAGTTCCAGAGCGAACATCAACTCTGGGCTGCAGGTATATCTATTTGACGAGACCTGAATAGTGTGAAAGCATGTTGTGGATACAATTGCTGGTCACATCTCATCTATTATACTTCAGTGTGTGTCATAAAGACTACATATGCCAACCATACTGGTCAAAAATTTGCAGTCAAAATATCAAAAACTGGCTAATCCAAGCCATCACAAATAAATTATTAACCCTTTCATTTCTCTATGTCAAAACACTCTTCTGGTAATTATTATTATTATTTTTACTAAAGGCCTCAACATCATACATAACATAACATATAGATTAAAAATATCCAGTTGTCCAGTCTAATATAGGACAATAATGTTTTAGACGATATCCGAAATCTGTTGTCTTGATAGTGAACTATTGTCCAGAAAATACATAGCTATATTTTAGACATTGGCTATGTTTATACATATACACATATGAATAAAGTCATTGTATATGTGACTACATTGTTAAATTAGGAAGAATATAATGAATGAGTCAAAGCAATAAACATCAATTATTAATGCTCTGTCAGGTAATTATAATTTCTTTCTTTAAGCAGCCTTACACAAGCAGGAGCTTTTATCTGCCTTTTTCTTTAAAAAAAAATAACATATGAACATGGGTAAATTTTTATTACCATTTGGTTTTCTTTGGCGTTTTCGAAACACATATACAGTTGTTGTTTGGTAATTTCCATTTATTTCATTACTTGTTCAAATTTTTTGTTTATATTATCTGTTCATGGCTTTTGTTCAAGTCTAAATGAGATGACTTGTTGTTGTTGTTGTTGTTGTTGTCTTTCAACATGTTAATGGTTTATTTACACGTTTGCTGAAACTTTTTGAAATTTTCTATGTATGTATATATACATATATCTATTTCTCAGTTGATTTACTAATTTCTCCGTTCATTTAAATAATGGACATTTTGTACATGTACGTTCGTTCATATTAAACATGTAAATATTATCTTGTCAAAGTTTCATGATTCATCTTCAATCAATCTGTTTATGAAAAGACTGGAGTTTTATTTTACTTTTTTTTTGTTTTCCACTGAATTTGTATTTTGTTTCTTACAAAATGAACTGTGGACAGTTCTTTTTTTGCCTAATAACAAATTTCCAGGTATGAATTTCTTGTGTATACACATTTTAATATATCAATGCACAAAATAGATTAGTTTTTAATTTAAATTAAACTCAGAACTATTTATTTTTGTTAAATAACAGAGGGTAATTTAAAAAAAAAAAGTAATTACAACATAACATAAATATTTACATCGAGGGTTTTGGTTAATTTTTTCTAAAAGGAAAAAACAATTAAATAATTGCATAAAAACTTGAAAAAATTTCGTAACCTGATGAAAAAAGCTACACAAAAAACTACTACAAAGAGGAAGAACCAAGAAGCCCCTGGGCAAAATGGTTGAACATCTGAAATGATTGCATATGATGGATTAGACCTAAGAAAAACAGCCCTACTATGAATACTGAATAGCATCTGAAAAAATTTTAATAAAATTCCTACACACTGTTTAGACACCTGATGTCGTCTGCATCTACAATAACAAACTATCCGAATAACTACCGTAGCATATTTCTCTTCGAGATAAACAGAGAAATATATTCCGAAATGCTTTATGAAAGATTAAATTTACTAAAACAACTGATATTAAACTTTATTGACCTAACCAAGACTGACTACCAAAATAACTGATTATAGATCCGCTTCAGAAAATATGTCCCCCAATCAGTATCAATCAAAACATCATCAAATTAATGGACGATTCACAAAGAAACTAAAAGGTACCACCCATCACTGTACGTGGAGGCCTAAGGTTAGGAAGTAGTAAAGAGCGTTCATCTAGCCTTTCAAGAAGTCTTTATTAATCGACAATCGACCAAACTATCACTGTTCTACAGTTAACAAATGATAAGAAATATAACATGACGAATCTCACAATTCAATGACTAACGTTTAACAATAACGTTATTCAACTAGACAATTAATGCTGCTAACACTCTTCAACAAAATCTAAGCGAATGTAGGATGCAACTATCATATGATAAGACCAAAAAATAGTAATAATGATTGATTCATGATTTCAGTAATAAATGATTGAACAATCTGAAAGCTTCAAAGTCTGTTTCAACAGTCACAAACGTGAAGAAGTAGACACTTCCGAGAACCTTGAATCAACACTACGAAATGATAAATCTCCAAATGATGTAGCTAATACAAATGTTGCTAACACTTTACACTTATTATTCAACCGTGTAGTTTCCTGTTTCAAAATATATACTACTCATTAAAATACTTCACGAGTATTATACTAAATCATCATCTAAACAGTAAAACTTATGACCTGTTAACTGTCTAGTGAACATTAAAATTTTATTATTTTTTATATCATGATCAAAATGCTTGTGTTGTTGTAATTTAGATTAAACGATATTGTTTATAACGATTGACCATTCACGATCATTTCAAAGTCTCTCTCTAAACGTGAATCAAATCTTAACATTATGAAATGTTAAAGACATCTTATTGTAATAGAGGTAATCAGTAGTTAATATCAAGTCAGTTTTATTCATTTTATCTTTAAAGGTGAATAGACTGACTTTCAAAGCCATTTGTTCACTTATCGATTTTAGTACAATGGTTATTTACTAGACTTTGTTCTATCGCTTTATATATATATATATATAAATATGTGAAAATATTATTTGATAAATAATGGAAATGTATGAAAATGGACAATGATTTCAGACAAGATTTACTTTTCAAGCCTTCATTTAAAATTTACAATCAGCAGCAAAAATACCAATAAGTGGGATGGAACTGAATATATCATGATTACATTTTCAGGCATACAATTTGAAGCCAAAATAATAATAATAATAATTCACTATTATATACTCTCTACAAAACAAATAAACCCTATTTATCATAATGTCAAGAGATATTTAAAAAGGTTAAAATATATAATGAATAGTTTACAAAAAATGCATAATGACAGTAACATTTCACTGTTTTTCCATTACTCGAAAACGGTATACCTGTAAAAAAACAATCAAGCATGTACTTAATGGCAAAGTGTATTTGCTTTCAATTTCACTTTTCAACCTTCCATTAACGATTGATTTCGCGTGAAAGTCGTGTTTTTAAATCTCAATACTTTTATGCATTTTATTATTTTGAAATTACTTATTGACCTACGAATTTAAAACAGATAAAAAGTAGTTAATAAATCATTTTTTAATTAAAACAACAAATATTCCAAACTTACTCATCGAAAGGAACTTAAAAAATTTTGCAAAATAATCATTAATATTTTAAATTTTGACCATTTTGTGCATTAAAAATTAATTTCTCTCCTTAAATTACTGCTGTACTTTTTGAAATCATGAACTGATCAATGTTCGACCACCATTAGACACCTGGAAGCATGCAACGGCCATTTTTTTCCTGACAATGGACTCATCAGCAGTGCGTGTCCACTACTCCCACTACGCGAACACAGAACCTTTGGTTTTGCGCTTGAATTTTTAACTTCTGAACCACTGAGCCGACATCTAACGGTGTTCTTGTCTAACGTCAAACAATATACGCTCTTGCATCACCTAACTTTGGAGATCACTGCTTCACATCCGAGCAGGGTTGAACTCCACTGATCACGACCTATTTTCATCAAATTTTTAAGATACTACTCTTCTAACCACTGTCAGGGAAATTTCTAAGATTTAATTATGCCACTCTTTATTTAACAATAAGTAAAAATGGAATAATATAAGATTTTTCTGATAGTTTCAAAATTTTAAGTCTCAGATTTCCAAAATCACCACTGACACTGATATATAAGAGCTTGACAATGAACAGCTTACAAGTGGATTCAAGGTTACTGCATGTTATATATCTAACTTAGATGATTAGTTTCATTGGGGAAATTCAAATAGAATCATGGGTAAATGGTTTAAGATTATCATTTGTTGAACAGTGAGTTAAAATTTCCATCTACTGAAATCTTTACAAAGATTTAGTGCTTAAGTCAAACTGATTCAGTGCTTTCAGGATTTGTTCAGCTATGGTTGCTTAGAGAGTTTAGTGAATGGTTCGATATTGTAGGTATATTTTGGATTTTTCAATACTTTAGCTTAATTATTCTTCATCCAGTCAGCTGCTGAGGATTGAAAATATTAATTAAGTGAACTCCTGACATTTTACTCCGAGATTTCATAACTGAATAATTATTAAGAAGCCTGCTTAAGAGGCCTGCTTCGTCCTAGTATGGGACCTATCAGCAGCGCGTATCCATGACTCTCAGGATTCGAACGCCTAACCTCCAGAACAGTGAGCTGGCGTCTAACGTTGTAAATGTCTAACTAGGATCAATATAAGAATTTTGTGTGATCTCACCCATTTGTACGAACCCAGCCAATAGTAGAAGCTGTGGATGTGCACTGCTGATGAGTCCCAGAGCGGGACGAAGCTGCCATCCAGTGCTTCCAGGTTTCTTATGGTGGTCAAATAATGATTGATTCATGATTTCAATGTATAAAGACAATGAACTTCATAAATCTAATTAAAAATTCTCTTATTTTCTTCTTCCTTCATTCACTTTAAAATGATATTTTTACTAATCTTGGATTTCCATTTAATCAATTCCTATAAATAATATGAACATTTCAAATGTTCCGTAATTACCACTCTATTCAGTATTGTCAACGTTGTTTATCATTAAATATCAATGGTAATAGTTTGTAAACGGCTGCTGAAAACCTTTCAAATAAAAAAAATAGTTCATATTATTTCGCTTCATTTACGGTTGTATTTTTATTCAAAATGCAAATTATTATTTTTAATACCATGAAGTTTATAGGCAGAGATCTTAATAAATCGACTGTTGAAATATGAGAGGTGGACTTTGATTTTATTGAGCTGTGGATTAGTTTTTTCATGTAGAGCATTTGATCCAAAGATCAGGTAAAGATGAACTATTTTCCTTTGCCAAAATAATTTTTTATACTAGCATACTTGCTCTCATGAAGCATGCTATGTTGAAATCGGAAATGCGGTGTCACTAAACGCATTTTAAACACGGTTCAGTCATTTCTGGTAACCCACCAGAATATTTATTGTGAATTGTCAACTAAATAAAATGAACAGACTCCAAAGAATGAAATAACAAATTTATAGAAAATTATGGTTTGGATAACTCAATAAATCACGTCTAATCTCCGTGTGCGGTAACGTTATTTACTGTCTCTGATTTCATTTTGATCTTACTATACATTTAAATTTCGAATCTGGTTCTGATGTGCATTCATCTACTCTTCCTACTTTCATAGCTTATAGGTTATAGGTCCACGATAGCAAATTTTGCACCAAAATTACTCAGAAACTTCTCAACAATGAGCATTCCTATTTCAAATATGTGCTCTAATTTTGTTCATTCTTCTCACGTTTTTCGACATTTTCCAGCGTAATGTGTTTTTAAGTCTTTCTGTTTTCCTTTGACATTGAAGGTTCCAAGTTGGGGCTAGTTTTCTGACACATTTACGTGCTTTCCTCAATGTATGTCCTGGTTTTGTCCTCCACTCTATCTGGTTTGTTCTCTCCCACAGTAGGTTGTTGCTGGTGGTGTCTGGCCAACGGATGAGAAGTCTTTTGCGTAAATAACTGGTAATAAATACTTGTACCTTCAGAAAATAAATCCTTGTCCATAACATTTTGATTATTTAGTACAACGATTCTTTTCTACTATGGAATAATCTTACATCTACAACATCAGTAAAATTGTATAGATTGTTTTAATTTAGACAACTTGTCGTCGATCATATTTATCCTGACGGTTTAGTTAATTTACAAACAATCGATTGACAGTGTATCGTTATGACTAAAGCTAAAGTGAAACGGTTTCTTTAGAAGTTCCCCAATGAATAATTTTTCCTTAAAATATCGTTAATATTTCTGTTTTTGAAATCAATTTCATTATTAACTTCTTGCACACACATAGTTTGTTTTGTGTTATATCTGCAAAATGTTTGACATAAAACTGTACGTTTTGTTTTGAGACTTACAGACAAGATGAATACACATGAAAAGACCAGTTTTTTTTCTAAGATTGTTAACTTCTGACGATGTTCAGTATATTTTAAAAGATGTTCCAAATTTAAAAGTCTAGATTCTCAAGGAAAATTACCTGGATGTTTTTCGCTTTCATATTTTACAATCTTTGAAATTATTTTTATTCACAAAATCACAGGTAAAGTTAAGTAAATCACTATGTCTCTCTTTTGCATTACTGTGCAAATAAATGACAGTTTGATTTACGGACCAATGTACAAACTCATGCTTTTTTTCAGTCGGATGCACTTTGACAAACATTCCGCAATACTTGTATCCTACAAAAACGACTACAATTAACATCCCTCTAAATTCACATAATTAATCAATGTCTCACTTCGTACATAAATAAAATCCACAGATTAAGGCTACTTTGGGATGTTAGATAGTTGGCAATAGACGATAAGAAGCACTGCTTAACTTCAGCATTGTACTAGTTAACACTTGTCAACAAGGCGTACCTTTTGTTCATGATGAAACTGGTGTTCCGTTTCGGATTCGATCTATTATCATCGATTGACTGAGATACTGTGATTAACTAGCTAAACAACATTGGGTTTTTTTTTATTGTGTAGAATAGCAATTTTTGTTTTGTTTCATTTTTCAGACAACTAATTACGTCATTTTTTTCGTTCTTCTAATTTTTTTCAATATTTTTTTCAGTCTTCCAATATTCCCGTAGAAAATATTCAAGACCAACAACTTCGACACTTTTATCATTCGAATTTTAATCAACTGAATTTATTTCCTACTTCACATTCATGTAAGTTGATAATTAAAAATTGCACTTGAAAATAAATCACTTTTTTTGTTTTAATGAACAAGATGTTTTCGTTTTTTTACAGGAAAAAAAAATATATATATATGTATATATATAAATTAAATATTTATCTATAATTTTTTTTTCTAACTTCTAAAAAACACAGTTTGTTTGAAATTACTATTATTATTACGTAATAAATACTGTCAGTATGTAGTGACAGTTATGTTATTACATAATCTAGTTACAATGAAAAGTGAATAATTCCCTGGATTTTTTCGAGGTGTTAAAAACATTTCCTACGATTTTTTTTTAAAATTTTATTTCAAAAAAATGTTTGCTGACCTGTATGGCATCAAACAGTTGGATATATTTCCTAGTTGTCTAATCAGTCCCTAAAAAAATTTATTACATCATACGGTTGAGTGAAATTACTTGAATTATTACATTTAGGTATGCTTTAACTAATTTTTCCAGGGTATTTTTTTCTCAGTATGCAAGCCGAATTCCATTAGATCATTTCATAATCGAGAAAGGGGAATCCAGAGACAGTATAAATGAATAAAATCAACCACTATTCTCAAAATTAACTCATTTGAGAAATAGTTTATTTTGCAGGAAAACTTAGATCACAACACTTTTCACAAGTTAATGGATACCCGGAGTTGAAAGATCAGTGAACAACAGGTTAACGTCCTGAAGACGAAAGTAATAAACTTTAGTCCCAATGTAAGATCACTAGGAGAATGTGGGTACATACAGCTGATCAATCAAAAATAAAATGAAACTTAAGCCCAACGTTCCACTGATGGCCAAAATCCAACTTTACTATTAGATACCACTGAGGGCAATGTAGATACAAACTTCTCAGAATTAACACTCGTACCATCAGAAACTGACCAATGTTAAATCCTTATCACCGAAAGCTTACTGTCATATTTATATATAAGCACAGTGTTATGACGCTTGTTGAATTCTATTGAAAACCTGAAAGCACTGGATGGCTCTTTCATTCTAAACCATGTAAGGTAGTTATCCGTCAATGACAACTTAAGATGGTAGTATGATGTTTTCGATTGATTAGGGTCAAACGTTTATATCACTGAATGTCCGTTAAGTGGTCTAGAGTGTAAGTATTCCTACGTAAGCCCAAAGATCCTAGGCTCTATTACTGTTATTAGGATAGTGGTTGCTAAATGATTCCATGTTTGGATGAAATGGTCATACAACGCTTCCAGATTCCTAGAGGTTGTCTAACCTAAATCGGTTCAGAATTTCCATGAAATTTATACACATATATTAGTTTTCTTATATTTTTTTAGATTCGACTGAATGACTGTTTACGTCTCAGTGAGTAATAATTTTATACAACACTTTAAACTTGAAAATAAACTTTCGATAGTTTAGAAAAATTCATACAGTTTTATTTTCCACATAAATTTTATTCTTAGCATATCATCTAGCGGAACATGTTGACACTGCCAGTCAAATGATGCTCACATCACATTTTAGTCAAGATCAATTAAAACAATTGAGAGACAGTCAAAGTAAACATTCCAGAATACTGAAGAATTACTTGGAGCAAACAATTAGAAATCGTATTGGTAATAGTAGTAATAATAACACTATCTCAACTTATACAATGAATCTAAATGGACACGGTCATTCAGTACGAATGGATCAAAAGCGTATTTTTATAATCGATCATCCGCCTCCACCACCATCATCATCAACCATTTCAGTACCAGTGACAGTCAACAGATCGGCTACATCGATTCACGATATTCCACATTCATTAACAAGTGAATTATTATCAAATAAAGGAGACAAAAGAGGCAATGGATACAACTATGATAATAATAATAATAACAATAATCCAATTTTAAGTTTTCAATATGTTGAGCCACATACAATCGAGTTGCTTGTTGTTGTAACAGAAAGTATGAAAAAACAATTTGGTCCATTTATTAATGAATATCTTCTTTCCACTATGACTACGGTGAGATTTTAGAGTAATAACTGATTTTACTTTTTCAGAAGAACTGATCTAACATTGTTTCAGACTAATTTCTATCTATAATTTTAAGTATCCTTTGAGCAAATCATGCGATAGACTCCACCACTCAAGAGTACTCTCTATGCATGTCAGACCAGCGATGTTCACTTGATGTGACCGTAAGTAATTGGCCATGAGCAAGGACAACATTATCAAATCCTTGCAGGCTGACTAAGAACAAAAACACATCAGACCAGTAGATCTTCTCTGATTATAACCACAAACTAATAAATACTACGTCCAATAACCGGCTCACAACACACTGTAAATAAGAAATCTTAGTTATATACACAACTGCTGTTTTTTTTAAAAGGTGAACTTAATATGATGTTTTAACGTCTCACGAACCTTTGGGTTCTTGTGTTTCAGGCTTTAGTTTATTGCGCTTAAAATAAAATGCTACAAAAGTTTAGTTCAGACAGAATAAAGAGAGCACCAGTTATGTCTTGAAAACCAGTCGAAATGAATAACTTTTATGTTTTATTACGTGAAGCACTCAGAAGAAAAAAGTCTGGGTAGTGTTGTAAATGTTAAAAATGGTAAAGAATAAAATACCTTTTTTCCATTAAGCAGTAAAATAATAGGGCTTTATGTATTATATAAATAAATCATCTTTGTAGAATGTATGAAACACAAAAGTTAACTCTGTTCCTAAACCTTAACATTAAACCATTAGTCTCAGTATAAACCTTTAGACCATAACACAAGACCTTTTAAGATGAGTTGATTCCCCAACTGTAAGTATTGACCATAAATTTCCAATTTGAACAGTACTAATTATAAATTTAAATCTCTAATCCGTACTTTGAAACTTTAAACCTGACTCAGAAAATCCAGAGTCTGTTTGCTTTCTTATAATTGTTTGAGAATATAAATGTATTTACAAACAGAACAACCCATAGAAGATTCATCATTGATGCAACATCTGTTTTTTACTCTGTATTATTATTTTCTTCGATATAAACAACCCATTTACAAACAACATTGTCTAATTATCTATGAAGTGAATAATAAGCTGTCACGTTTGTTAAGTACTCTTCTCCATATTACACTTTTACCAAGCAAAAGCTATTTTATTTTGACATACATTTCTAAATGAAACCTAAAAAAACACATTTTTAAATAAAAAAAACCAATATTTATGCGCGATCACTATGAAATTACAAATTGTTTATAAATAAACCTTGCCAGTGGAGTTCAACCCGGTTGGGTATAGGCAGTAACTGCCAAAAATAAATGGCGAGGTCGCTCAAAATCCCTAGACTGGTCAGAATTAGACATGAACACCGTTGGATGCCGGCTCAGTGATCCGTAGATTAAGCGTTCACGCGTAAAACTGAAGTTCCTGGGTTGGAATCCTGTGAGTAGCGGAAGACATGGAGGCGCACTGCTGATATGTCCCATATCGGCATGAGACAGCCATCGGTTGCTTCCAGGTTTCTAATGATGGACTAACAATGATTAATTGGTGGTTTCATAAATAAACATACACTATGCTTATCTAGTTAAACTAGATACTCGGAAAATCTTTTCTGAAACAGAATAGTAAGTTTTAACATAACAATGATTATTATTGATATTATTATTATTACTATTACGCTAAGTTGTAACAATGACTTTATGTACTTCTTAAGCAATAAATAGTCAGCTCCTCACTAATACGTATAATCTGTTCTCTTACTGAAAATAAGATATATATAGTCATATTATTTTAAAGATTGGGGACAGCTTGAACTATCGGGTATGTAATCTATACACTCATTCTACATCCTAATTTGGTTCTGACTAGTTTAAGTATAAAAATGGTATGAATTTCATTTGTAGTTTCCTTTTCCAGCACAACGATAGTAAAGCAAATAATTTTCCAAATACACACCAATCTATGTTTATTTCAAATATTCATAAATCTACAGCACATATGTCTATTTGCAACAACACAGATACTCTCATCATGTACATACTTTCATTGATGTGCACTTAGACATATATAAACCAGTATGTAGGTATTCTGTTTGCAGGAATATATATATATGTATATATGCTTGTGTGTTTACACTTATAACCTGCACATTTTAGTGTAAACGAAAAAAGAGGTAGAAACATATAACGAGGAAAAAAGATAAACAAGCCATTTGATCTTGATACATGAGAGTTGAGAAATAGTTCATCATTTTTAAGTAAAAACCAATGTCCTTTAAATTAAACATTATGAAAAGATCAAGATCGTGAAAGTAAAAATCAACGAAATGATCATTTTTCGTCTAAAAATTGAAATCAATAGAACATAAATATTGAACAAATGACAAAAAAGTACAATGCATAAATAAATAAATAACATGTTAAAATGCGAATTCTATCCCATCTGTTTCAAGTTGAACAACGTGATAGTATGGTTTGAATTTAGGTAATGTAAACTTGGTCATTTCAAGGGTTTGTGGCGATAGCTATGTCTTATATTTTACATCACAAAACCGACTTAAATTCGGGCAATTACTGAAAATCAGGAAATTGCTGTTTTGGTCTGAGTTTGGGACACACTTAAAGAGCATCTGATCCCGAATACAATATTTTATCGGATTATCGTTACACAACAATGAAAAGACTCTCGTACTAGAATAAAACTGGTGTTTCATGCTTTCTGGCTTTGAATGCGTGTCACAAAATAATCTACCTACTTCCTTAAAGTGACCAATTTAGATGAAAACTATAATTGCTTTTCAAAAAGACTTTTCGATTGTTCTTTTGTCAAACATGGAATATGACGGTAATTTTCATCAGTGAATGACAATAATTGACGAGTCATTAAAAATTCCTACAATAAATTAGCAGTTCCTTTATTTTACTGACGAATGCCTCACTGGATTCTCAACTATAACTTTGCATAAGCTCTCTAGCTTGGAGCATTTAACATTTGTCTATGCATTACTTAAATATACCAAGTATGTGTTTTTAAGGAAATAAATCCCTTTGTTCAAAATCAACGTCATGCTGCTAGCTGAGACAGCTATTCATAATAAGCAGTGAAAAATAGAAGTTGATTGGTAGTCTCTTCCAAAGTAACATCGATTTTTCGATGGAATAGAATCAAACACTCTTTTTTCAACAATAAATTGCCTCGAAACACTGTATATTTTAACCTTTACATCAATTAAAGTTAAGCTTTACAAAATTTATGATGATTTTTATTCTTGCTTTCTTAGGTTTCAACACTTCTTCGACATCCAAGTTTAAAAACTTCAATTCAGCTAAGTATTGTAGATATTATACTTTTGGATCCTATTTATGCAGTAAGTTTGAAAATCACTTGACTTAATAGTGTAGAACATTTTTTGGTCAAAAATTATCAGGATGAATCGTAGCACATGTTCGTTGAGCTTAAATACCAGTAAAACCACCAAGATTTGTACTCTGCTACTTGAGTTCGTGATGTAATGTTGCATAAGTAAGTAAGCGTGAAGATTTCATTGTGTTTAGTAAAAAAACTTCTGTAAGAAGTTAAGGACATAGTGTGTTTAAATACAACGAATAATTTTCATTGAAAACATCCAATTAAGGGAACTCGATAACGTCAAAATCATCGAGCTAAGTTATAAACTTAATCGAATATTTTATTGATCTGAAGTGAATTTTTGTCACGGGACGATATCAGTAGAAATATCATTGAAATGTTTTAACACACTCACTTGCTCGCTAGTTGTATCTAGTACCTTTGACATATACAGTCAAAACTCATGGTGAATATTTCCACTGCGGAACACGACCACATTCAATATTTTCCAAGAATCACCATAATATTACTCAGTAGAATAAAGTCGCAGGCCATTGCGTCCCACTAGAGTTTATATCGACGCATTTTGAAGTTAGTCAATCATCGATAGACGTCAGTTACTTCGTTCAACTGTTTAGATGAAAATAAATTTTTTACAGTGAAAATACATTTTACATTACCCCAGATGTCAGTATAATTTTGCTTATTGGATAATATGGTAAGTTATATTTGCTTCAAAGTGCATAGATAATCAAATAACATAATACAGTCAATTGCTGACTGATCACTTTTTATATAACATAGTTTCATAAAACAAAACTTATTACTGAATACAATTTCTTGCTATTCATTATGATGGTTGTTTACGTCTATGCATAAAATTTTCATTAATTTAGCGTAGACATAATCTTGAAGATTGGTTAAACAGTAAGCAAGAACAAGTTATGGCTAGATTTTGTAAATGGGTTAATCGACTTAGAACGCCAACTTACACATGGGATTCGGCGATTTTACTAAATGTTGGGTAAGTTTTGTCAAAACAAAGTAGTCCTTTTTACTGTTTCATTTATTACAACAATACTGTGATGATAATTTTATCATTGAAGTTACATTAGTACATCATTATAGACAATTTATCTAGATGAATTTAATAGAATGTTTCTACTCAATCAACAATCAATAATAGACAGATTAAAACAACCAATGAAAACAAATTCAACTTTGCCTCATTATACGAGCCAGTTGTTGTTTGAACTCAATAGCGCTGAGTGGATAGCGACATGGCATTTGAAGAGAATGATACTAGGTTAAAATCATGGAGTAAACATCAAATCTAAGACGTGAATGCACCTAACTGACAAATTTCAGATAAGACGAAACAACAAAATGCTAGACGCCATCCATTTTTGCTCATAATACTTGTGAATTCATAGTAATATATCAATACAATTTTCACAGTATTCACATATAGCACAGAGACTGATTAATTGCAATCTTAGAAAACAATGAAATGATTCAAACAATCAGTACAAATATTAAATGGTTTAAATGAAATTTTATGGTTTAATTTTTATTGACCGACATTCAGATCCCCTTGTTTGCTCCATTTCAGTGACTATCATAATTTTGAACAATATATATTTGTACGTAAAATAGATTACACAATTCGAAAAATGGTTCATAAATGAATACAATCATTGATATATACAAAATTAAGAAATGGAAGAGAGAAAATTTGTAGCTCAAGGGGATGATGATTGCAGAGCTTTAATGAAAGCTCCACAACCGAAATATCCAGCTCAGAGAAAGAATCGTTTCCGTGACTAATAAGAAATCACTAAAAATGAAACTGCTTACTTCGAAACCGTCATAGTCGTCCTTGGTATTAAATCCTTTGTATTCATTCCAAGTTTAGACCATTTCAATACTCAGATCTTCATGAAAAAGCAATTTACTATCTTTACCTGTGTAGATACGCTAATCTTAAGCTGAATAAAATGCGTTTGCTAATTTAACATTTCTGAATTGATACATAGGTTAGCTTTTATCTAGTTATTCGTCTTCCATTATAAATAAAATGAATTTGAAGAACAGTCATTTTAAAGCATACGAACTAGTTGAATTTATCAGTACGATATATAATTCACAAGTGCAAGTGTAAACCAATATTCAGATTATCTTGTTATATTGTGTTATGTTTTATCATCAGTTTTATGACAAATATTAGTGTCCTAGTTAAATGTAACAGTGATTCAATTTAGATTCATGCAGAATAATGTTCCAAGTCACTGTTGAATCTATTTGAATATATTTGCACATGATAACCATAATGTAAAGGTTGATTATATATCTGCAAAATCAATGGAAACAAATACTGCGTAACGATTACATTTTATTGTATGACTACTTGACAATAATGAAAATAAATACCGTCATGCAACATTTTAATAGGAATTTCGTTTGTTACACTGAAAAATTTTACAATCCATACCATTCACTCAGTATTAAATTATCAGTTTCAGATTTATTGAAACTTGACATTTAACACAAGGATCACTAAATGTCGTTTATGAAACCTACCTTAAATTATAAATGTTATTTATGACAAGAGTAACAATGGTATCTTAAGTGATATTTAGTCATCTGATTGTATCAAACCATTTTTCCGATTGTAACATGTTTACTGAGATGATGTTAGTTAGTGATGTAAACTATCTCTGAGTAGAATGATTTTTCACAGACCATACAGCAATTAATGATATGGCTTAAATATCACATTAATATCTTTAAGCAATGAATTTTACGAGTAACTTGGAAAGGTTTTATTTGCTGACCATAATTCACGTTACAATAGATTATGTATATTCGGGTAATACGTATTGATGTTCTCTTAGAATGGAAATTATATCAGTTATAATTTTGAGAAACTCCTTCAATACCATTAATATGTTTAAAATTATATTGAAAAAACAATCTACAATTTCTATTCCAGACATTTCAAATCTACCGCACTCGGTAAGTTGCATTATGAATGCTTTCTTAATCACAATCATAATAAGCTAATATTCAATACATTATGACAGATCTGATTTTCAACAATTTGTCTATCAAATTCCTTTAATATAATTTTAAAAAGACTTAACGTTAGCTTTTAAGAAGTTTGATAAAATTTTCTTTGTGAAATTTCTTAAGTTAGAATAAGGCAATGGTTGAATTTACTTTTCTTCATTGAAAAAAACATCACTTCATGAAAAATTATCTCCCGAAATGTTCTCACAGAAGATCTTATGATGTCTGAAAACTGAAAAGCAGGTCTACACAAATGACTGTTAATTTTATCAGCTTTAATATTATCATTAAACTGACCTACAACTGTTAAAACGATATTTGAATTCCCAACAAGGGATCTATCATAGCACAAATAGGTCAGTGTTAAAGTCTCAAATCTATGAAGCAGGTTGATACAGTCGCGAAGCCGAGTGGAAACATCGATTCTCTAAAAATCTAACATCTGCCTTGTTGATTAGCAATAAAAAACATGAGAAATGAGTTCATAATTTTATACTGGTTATTTCAACAAGCACCTGTAACACTGATGCACCCACTCACTCATGCAAGTTACCACATTGCAACTAAGTCGATAGAATTCAACTAGCATTAAAAGCTGGATAAATTTGACATTGGCTATTGTTCAATGAGAAGTCAGATAATAATTCAGTTTGAATTAGAAATAAAGACTCGATGAAATCCATCTCATTGTTATTTATGTATATTTACTGTTACTTTGAAAAGAAGTAGGCGGTATGCAAATCTCAATTTTTTTTCATGCTTATATGTAAGGAGTTCTTGTTGAAGATTTTCTATAATCGCATGTTTGTTTGACATACTTGAGATATTTCTTTTCTACTTTCAACGAAATGGTAGTTTTAAATTCTGATCATGTTTACTTCGTACATATCTTGGTGTAGGAGTAGCACATTATCGATCAATGTGTAATCCAGAAAGTTCATGTTTAGCTGTACTTGATCGAGGATTTGGAACGGGACATATAATAGCACACGAACTTGGACATCAGTAAGTAACAACAGTATTAGTATTATTACCTCGTTCTACGGTGATAATTTTGCATTGATTAATGATTTTTTATAACCAGAATTTTGTGTTCGCACATTGTGCCATGTACTGATTGAAAATAAATTTTTCGGGCTATTAAAATGGACAAACATTTTATGTAATGACTTTGTATTGGTGATTCAATTCAAAAAATCCACGTAAAGAAATAATTACCAGATTACTTGAATAAATGTAATGAATATTAGAAAATTTGGTCTCTGTTTGCCGAACAATCTCTTCAAAAATCGTGGTCGATTAATAAGAAACCGATATTCATGTAAATTCTTTGAGAGCCAAAATTCAAATAGCTTAAACGTTTACCTGACTCCAACTTCCGCATCATTCATTAACTTAAATCATAAAAATAGATCAATCGTATCACTTGTTCATAATAACTACAAAACGATGCTTACTTTAGTATTAGCGACCAACTTAAAAATTATGTGCAAAATCACAACCGACAAAATATCATAAATCTACTAATTCATATACTTGATCCATTCATTAGACATTCTCGAAAATAAACTGCATAGACTTGCAAACAGTGAAATACTGTTAAACACTTCTAAATGTAATCAGTAGCTTTTTCTGTATGTATGTTCAGATTTTGGAAATAACTATTTACAACATAACCGTTATTAATAATGATGATCACAATTTATTAATATGATCAGAGTTTTAGCCACTGTCACTTTTCACTCGTAAACTCTAATTCTAATCAAGTTAAATAAGAAAAACCACCATAAGTTTCATTATTATTTCGTACACTGGTCAAAGTCTGATCAAAATAATTTATACAATACATAGGTCAAATTTCACTGTATCTAAATCATAGAATGTAATATGTGAGATGAAAATGCAATGAATTATTTAGTTAATTAATTTCCCCGTCAATAAACAAATAAAAGTTTATTCAAGATAACGAAACTGAATGACAAATTGGCGATATTCAGTAATATCTTTATCAATTAGGCGATACACCAAACGGTTTACGAACAGCTAAAGCAAACAATTTCGGTAGCATCAAGCAACACAATTTAAATCGAAAGTTGTTTGATACTCAGACAAAAACCATATTAATTAAATTGCTGAAGACAAACAACAAAATAGAAATCATGAATCGATTAACGGCAGACCACTATTCGAAACCTGAAAGCAATAGAATGCCGTCAGGTCCAGGTATGTGACTGATTAGCAGTGAGTAACCACAACTCCTGCTACTTGTAGGATTCGAGGTCCAGTTTGATGAGAGTTAGACAATAACACATTCGAATACCGACCCAGGGGTCTAGAGGTCCCGAGCTCGAATTATGTGAGTAGCAGGAGTCTTGGACGCGCACTGCTGACGAAACGGCCACCTGATGCTTCCAGGTGACAATCGGTAGTCTGCCAGTGATCGATTCATGATTTCAATAAAGAACTCAGCTATCTCCACAACCCTTTAATGAAACAGCAATATGACAAGTTTAAAAGAATAAGCAAGTCTCAAACTTCAGTAAGTAAGACAGAATAATTTTACTTGTTGTAAACCGTATGATACTGATAAATTAGAATAAATACGTATCTAGAAAGTGAAATTTTCAGTTTGGCAGAAAATATTTAAAGTTTTATTTTTTTTACTAAACATCTGAGAAATATAACCTATATTTAATCACAGTTATAAATTATGTGACATTTTTACCAAGTTAACTATTGCTAGAAAGTACATTTGTCTAAATATCTGTCTACTGACAAATAATTTTTATACTTGTCAATGTTAATTATTCACCATAATTTAATTAAACTTTGTTCGTCTAAAATAACGTTAGATTTATTTATCATCAATGTAGGTTAGAATATACTAGATAAATACTGTATGATTTAGACAGTGTACTGATATAAGTTAACATAAAAATTGTTTTGCTATCAACAATAAAAACAATTTAAAACACCGTACATCATTTTTGAATTCATCAAATTTTAGCAAGCTGCTTTTCAACCTTTCCTTCATTATTTGATAAAGTTAACAACTAGCCAATAAACGTCACTACTATTTTATCGAAAATAATGTTAAGGGGAAATTTTGACATTTTTACCAATAATAGACCCAACAGACGAAAACAACCAACAGAAGCCAAATTCGATAGTCTGTTGGACTCTGATACATTAGGCAATTTACTGATGATAATAAATCTGTTCGTAAAACAGCTATTCGAAAAATAATAAACATAATTTTAGCAAATCAACCCGAATGAATGAAGAGTGAGGCAGGACAAAATTGTAGAGTATTTGTGTACGCTAACCCAGCTATTGATAAGTTACGAACAACATCATTGAATAACACAAATCAGGTGATATTTGATGTTTTTGTCTAGCTGGAACTTACCAGCTAGATTTACTAACATATTTCAACTTTACCAGTTCTATGCATTTCTAAATTTCATTGCTTCATTCAATTATGTTAGTCAGCTCCATTTTAACAGCTTTTGATTCTGATCATAATAGTCTAATGAATCCACAAAAGCGCATCAAGTCCATTCTGTTTCTTATGCATATAAATGGGGATTACTTGAAACATTCTTGTTTGTAATATTGAATTATGGCTTGCAGTAGACGCTAGTAAGTGCATTTGATACTATTCAGGGGTCACTAGTTTCATATTGTTTGCATTCCAGTGTAGTTGTTCTTGTTGAGGTTAACATCACTTGTGACTAAATTAAAATATTGAGGCAACCCAGACTGGATACGCCTATAACAACAAACACAGAATGTAAGTAACCTGATACTAAAAACGATCACTAATTTCTGTACATCTTTTTAAAAATATGTCTCAAAGTAATAAACTGCTATGATGAAATAAGCCTTAATATTTTGGAATCATGTTAAATAGTAAGCGCATTTATTTCTGCAGATACTACTTGCAACATTCTGATAATTCTATTTTTTTCTAGGCTAGGTGCTAAGCATGATTTCGAATTAAATTCTGGCTGTGGATTAGAAGAACAAAATCATCATTTGGCTGATTTGCCTGGGAAGAACAATGCTCATGATTTAAAGTTAGGCACATATCCTTATTATCAGCCCGGTGATGAATGGGACTATAGAGATAACTATCGTAATCCAGATGTTCATCAATATGAATTTATTCGACGCGATACTATCATGTCTGGTACATTATATTTTGATCAATTTCCATTAAGATGGTCTGCATGTAGTCGACAAGCTATACATTTATTTATAGAGTAAGCTGGATGAATGCGTTTTTTTTTGTAAATCAGTTTTCAATATTTATCGAAATGTTTGTAGTTTCCGCAGTTTGTGTAAACTGAACAAAATGTTTCTAAACTTGTATGCATAGTTAAAAAATCAACATACAAATATTTCTAATTATTATCTGATACAATCTATCTCATCTTCGAATTTTTAATAATGCAACAAATGTATCTACTGATAAAGAAACATGATCTCTAATTTACACCACCGAGAGTGGAAACTTTTCCAAATCAAAATGAAAACTTCACACTTACCATGCATGTTACCATATTGAATTTGATTTATATACATGACAACATAAACAGTTCATGAAACTTTCATAAGAATTTCATTGCTTTTAAATGTTATATCACATATTCTTAACATTGTCTTTTTTCTTAAAAATCAGTCATAACAATTAGACCATGATATAACTATGATCACTGTTTAATAGTAAATTACACTATTTTACAATGGATTCTGTGTTTAATTATTAACAGTAAGTGAAGTTGTGGACTAAAACACAGTAAAGAAATTAACTGAACAATCAAGATCAAATTAAAACAGATTCGTAACTCTGGTGAAGTAATAAACCAAATATGTGATTTACACAATTCGTGTTCTCAAACAGACAGTATCATTTTGTAGTGAAGAATGTGACAATAACTAACTAATTAATGATAAATGTATCTTCACTTGTAACACGAATAATTAGAATGAAATATTTATGTAGGAAATCACACTATACGAACAACTACAACCAGTGAAGTGGGACAAAGTAACTTCAGGAAGTCAAAACATGAAGCAACAGTTTATAGCCAGGGAAATATAAACATACAATTACATAACTATACTACTGGAATGATGAATCAATTATTGTCAGACCACCTTAAGAAACTCGGAAGCATTAGACGGCCGTTTGGTATGAGACTCATACTACTCACATTATTAAAGCCCCAGACATTCGGGCGCAAGACCGAAAGTCTAGCCTCTAGGCCACTGGGCCGGCACCCAACGGTGCTATTCTGTAACTCTGATCAATCTAGAGCTCGAATCCTGCGAGTACCAGGAGTCGGGGATACGCACTGCTGAAGAGTCTCATACTAAGACTTGACGACCATCCACTGCTTCCAGGTTGCTAATGGTGGTCTAACAATGATTGATCTATGATTTCAGCAATAAACAACAATCTCCATAACTCTAATTAAAGAAACATGACTTTGCAAAAAATATAAATAATAATTCCTAAAAGTTTGCAATTTTTCCAAATTATAATAAATTACTTTTCAATGAATAAATATGTTGTTGTTGATTTATATAATTTTAAATCGTTTAGATCAGATGCTGCTAATTGTTTAAGACAATTAAATTCTCATACAACATTTTATTCAGCTGAAAAATTAACTAGTCAGTCTGTGGATAATCGTCCAGGGCAAATTTTCTCACTAGACCAACAATGTGAATTTGTATTAAAAACTAAAGGAACACAATTCTGTGGTCAAGTGGTAAGTTTAAAATATGATTAGATAAGGTATTTCAATCAGACTATTGTACAGAATTTAATTAGCTCACGATCTATTGCAAACCTAGTAAGAACTTGATGTTAATAAATTGGTATCTAGACTGAAACTTTCCGTATTCCTTGCAGTCAGTGCTCGTTATAGGTTGATTTCACCTAGGGTTCTGTTATAAAAACTAAGGATAACTGTTTCATTAGTCGTACAAACTCATTGTATTTAACTACTGCAGATCATTTGAACAGGTTAGCTTAGCAGTTACCGACTTTGCTACCAGTCGCTTATTTGATTTCAAAACAAATTAATAGGTACTGGAATATCTCCTTAATAAGCTGAAATTAATTATTGAACTAGATGAGTTGTTATTTGTAACAATTATAATAAATAGATTCATAAAAACTGAGGTGAAACAGTCAAAGTAATCTTCGTTAAATACATAATTTTTTTCAAAAACTTGAAGTTTTAACATAGATTTTAAATTGGCTGAAGATCCTCGATTTCGGCTCGTGGTCTGAAAAAAGGAAACAGGCTTAGTTAAGTAGGTTAATAAGTAAGTATGTAAATAAGTGAGTAAGTAAGTAAGTAAGTAAGTAATCTGTAAGTAAGCAATCTGTAAGTAAGCAATCGCTAGAATACAATATTTTCTATTGTCTAAAACTTACTCCGAATAAATTCTTTTGTCATTTAGGTTACCACCAGTCAAGTTTATTTCCCTACATGAGTGTTTGAAATGCCAGTTTTCAAATCAATGAAATGTATTCATTTGCAAATTTTCGTAAATTGTATTTAATTTTTTTGTTATTATCTAGCTACTTTCATCTAGATTAAATTATTTTCATTGCTTACATATCACTTATTCAAACAAGAATTTTTCAGTTAGTTTTACTTCTATAAAAATTAAACAATTTTATCCACCACAATAAAATTTAGTTAAAATAAACAAATATAACCAATAAAACTATTACAATTTAGAGACCTACTGTGTATATTATTAGTCATTTAATGAGGATTTAAGATTTTTAAAAACAAAATAAAATGATACCTAAATTTACTTGATCAGTTAAAACAAGATAATAGATATATTAGAATCAAGTCTTCATTAAGAATAGCTTCTAGCAATTGAACAATGTAAGCCAACGAAGTCAGCGAATTCGATAAGTAACGTCAAGAGAAAGACAAAATCTATATCAGAGGGGAAGTTGGACAGGTCAGTATAATATACACAGTTGTGTTCTAACTCATTAAATGCTTTGTTTTCCTTGGTGAATACTGAGCTCTAAATCAGTTCGATCGTGGGTAGTTTCACCTGTTAGTGCTGTATAGCTACGAACAGTCGAGAATTTGTCATCTTGCATCAAGCGGCTTTGCTTTCATTGTCCAACCAGGAATTGGTAGGATCCACGGAAATCCGAGTGTCTACATGCCACAATTGTTTTCAGTGCACTATAATTTCTATGAAGTGCTCTGAAAGTTACATTGAGGAAATCCAGTTGAGCATAGACTAAAGACGAGAGTAACTAAGCTACAAATCGGTATTCATTTTCAGACTATCTGAAGTCAAGAAGTAATTATTGGATTTCTTAATCTGTTTTGCTACAAATAAATAGCAGTCCATAAAAATGCTCTCATAAGTTAGTTTTTCACCTGTTTGCCTTCACATCACCAGCTTAAAATCCTAATATTCCTTTAAATATATCACTTGGAGAACACATTTTCATCGCTGTGACTTATTTAAACGGCCGAATCGATTATCCATGAACTAAATTTCACAAGACATTTTAGTGCAGATAGCTCTTATCCCGAGTTAAAATCCCTTCGTATGAGTTATTTCATAAACTGCGAGACACTGTCAAGCCATTTCATCCTGTTTTGAGAATCCTCAGCATCAGTGATCACTCACGGTTCCATACAAAATGAAAACCTGAATGTTTCAAGCTTCATGACAAAGACAACAGTTTAAAGCTACTAAGTTAGATTTTAGTAATAAATTGGTGCGCTGGTATGTTTATGACAAATTTATCTGGTTCCAATTATGTTTGAGTAACTATATTATGTTTAATAACAAGAAACTTTAAAAAATCAGTAAGATTACACGCCATAAACCAAGCATAAAAATAAAGTAATCCATGGATTTCAATGATATTTAAGATGAATATCTGTTTGACTTTATAATTTCAAACGTTTGTTGTAAACTATCCCATTTATTTTAAATGTTTTGTAAAAACTTGAAAATGTCAATAATTATTCAAGACGTTTAGGAAAAACACTTTTCTTCATTTTATCGTCGTACAGATTATATCTAACTAACGTAATTGTACACTAATAGCGATTTTTATCCTGATGTTTAGCTTCCAGTTTGCCATCAGCTCTACTGTCAGGACAGTGAACATAAATCATGTCTACCAATGGAAGCAGCTTGGGCTGAGGGAACAATATGCGGGGAAAATAAAGTAAGATTTTTCAGTTATATAGTGAATATGTAAAAACGTGATTTTCATATTGTAAACTATGCATTATTACCTGTCAGGCATGACACACTCGATAACTTTGAAATTTTCGTAGCATTAGCAAATAGGTTGAGAACTATAGTGTATACATTGGTTCAAAGATCACTTCAGTTTGATGATATTCTTCACAAACTAACCTCAACAAAGGTCTCGATGAAGACTTGGGTGTGTGTTTTTGAAGGTGATTAAGAGCTCAAGTTAAATGAATATTTCGCTACAAAAAATTAACTTACCACCATATTATAGCCTGTTTTCAGTTTACCTAAACCTTATCAATCAACATCAGACCTAGTGTCGATTTTATTACGCATTTACGTATGTGTTTAAAAAGATTCATTGGTCATGAAGTAGATATTTAGCGAGTATTTAAGTAAATACCTCTTCATTTTATCTACTGAAGTAGCTAGATTTATTTTTCTTTATATCAGTTATTTACATTTGTAGTCAGTCTTCATAGTCACTGGAATCAAGAATCAAGCGTAATGATGCCTTAGAGGCTGCGTTGAACTAGAAATACGGCTAACCACTTTAGTGGCCAGCGATATGACTCCAATATTTATGGACAATTAAATATGCAATGGATTAGATCTCCCCTTCACTTTCTGTATATCATACTCAGACAAACCATGTTTGTTTGACATTAGTAATAAGAAGCCAACTTCGGATTCGGTTGAGTGAATCTATTTCATGTCATCGTTCATGCAGACTGACATCAGAATATGAAGCTTAAAAGCAAAACAAAGAGAAGCTCAGAAGACAAGTGAGCTAACTCAATGCGATGAAGTATGACTAAGTATTTATAGCTAGACGATACAATCTAATCGTGAATTGAACGCTCCAAAATATTTTAACACATAACAGGTGCATACTGGGATGTGTGACTATTTTCATGATTTTACGTCATTCTTCGAAAATAGTCACTTTCAATCATTAGCACAAATTACATTATTTAGTGTACTTTGAACTACATTTGAACGTCGGCCACTACTTCTGAATTCTAGTGCTTTACACCATAACTAGTAGCAGTTTAACAAGATCGAAATAGTTGTTATTTTTAATATTCATTATTATTTTAAAAAGGTAAACTGAGAATTAATTAACCTTTGTGTTGAAAAAATAACTATCATTTGACGGTTAGTTAATTCATGAATCCAAAGAATTTATTTTCATATTTACCGTATTCATTCTCCTATATGCCAATATGTAAGCAATATGTTTCCAAAGCTGATTATTTAAATACACATATACTAGCCTGTTTTTAAAGAGTTAGGTAATTAGATCGTTCATCGAAGTGATATTTTTGTCACACTCTACTTCTGTAGCTTTCCAAGAATCAACACATGATAATTACTTCATTGATTCTACAGCCTCTATTCAGCCTCTATTATATTATTTAAAATAACTTACAAAATCCACTTAAAGATTTTAATCGGTGTATTACCAATAAATTATTTTGTTACTTCAAGTTACAAGTACATTCTTCATATTATTGATTATGTATTTTCGATGTACCGTAACTTTCTTCTTTCATTTAAAATAATGTAATCAATTCCAGCTAATAATTAATCAAATTCTAAAAGACATACAATTTATTTACTGATCTACAATTTGTCACTTATATAATGTATACAATTGTACAGCTTTAAAAACAAAGTCATCGTAAAACATCACATCGATAAATAAATTGTATTATGATTTTAAATGGTTTAGTTAAATCAATTATTTCGGTTCAATTACAAGATTGTGGGAAAATATAATTAGCTATAATTAAGGCGGAAATATTTGTTGTGATGTATTAACCAAAATAGAATTATTTTATGAAATATCCTAGAAATCGAGAAACAAGATTGATTATTCAATTAGAAAACACACTACAAACTAACTATTCGTATAGTTATTCATAACTGTAATTTTCAAACATCGATTCTCATGATCGACGTTTTTTGTTAGTGCAATAAAGATCGAAGTTCTGCGAAAACTAATGACTGGTTAATTGCTTATTCAAACTCTAGTTAACATCATGACTTGACCTTAGTCAGTCAAACATTGGATAGCAGTGTTGTTCATAGTTTGAGAGTTCTCAACCATGCTTACTTTCTTTCTCGTTAGGGATCGAACACAAACTTTCAGGCCTTATAGAAAGTGTTTTAACTTCAAGCCGCTAAGTAGACATTTCAGACCTTGCTATAGTTGTAGATACACATTAATGTGTTAGAATATAACAACGGTTGAATACTTTCTGATTCTTAGCGGTTGTCTATTTAAGTTTAGCCCGTGATTTTAACTGTGAAATCCAGTAACCCTCAACAACCCCTTCACTGATGTATACTTGTTAACATTCGCCAGCTTAAAGTTGATTATGAGTCAAATAAAACTTTTGGAATAATAAATGAAATTATTATATATGGCACAGCGTGACAGAACTTACTTTGGTCATGAATTATAGGATTATAAAAACGAAGCCAGAATACGGTAAGGAAAAACAATACCCAGAAAAGATTAAGTTGATTTTATAATAAAAATGATAATCAGTTTATTGAATCTAATGCCTGCATGGTAGGAATAAGTAGATTAGTTGACTTCGGGTTTCTAATTCAAATGGTTATAGAAATCATTTGAAGGTTGACGGCTAATTGTAAATAATTCCTCACGCCCGTCGTTACTGAAATGTGTGAATACTGTAGTCATCATGGTCAGACTGAAATAGACGTATTATGCCCAAATCGAATATGCTATAAATAAACATGCTATAGTCACCATCAAACACTAATCAGATGTAGGTAGCCTTTCAAAACCGGTAAGCGTTAAATACCCATTTCGTTATTGTATAGGACTCCTCAGCTGTGCTCATCCACGGCTCCTCTGACTGAAGCAGTCCAATTGCATGGAATTTGAAACATCAACCCATCAAAGATCAATGTATTAACACAGATCAGTTGAAGTTAAACATAGAAGACATTGGATACCAGCTCAGCGGTGTAGTTTTCAAATGCACACTAAGAAACCTAAAGTTCCTGAGTCCAATCCCTAGTCGGTTTGTGAATGAACGTAGTTGGAGACATTCAAAACAATTACAATCGAAATCGTTAAACATTTGCCTAAAATTTCTTAAGACATTTTATCAATTAATCTGAATTTACAACTAAAAAACTCAATAATAATTTCATAAAATGTTTATTTTGAAAAATTTTTTAAATTTAAAATGAAAAAAATGAGGAGTAACTTGTTTACCATGTAAATTTTTGTTAACATCAATGGTGGTATCCAGTTAACATGATTCATTATTTAAAACCATATCTTTCAAAAATTTCTACAAACAGATCTAAATTATTAATTTTCTATTCTAAATAACTACACAATGTCCAATTGAAATTCAGAGTCCTTCATGTTAATGCATTAGTTAATCAGTAATATCAGAGTTTCTCAAAGGTACTTGCTAACCATTAAAATGTAAACAACTTACAAAAAATAATTTGGTCAGTCTATTCTCTATCACAATGGTCACCTGAAACCAATATCCATTGATATAAAATGTCGATTAATACGAAATACAGCAATATGTCTCTTAATTAAACTCAAAAACATTCGTTGGCATGACACTAGAACTATTCAGGCTTTCTGAGGAATTCGTTCAACGAACAAATTTTATATGATGAATATAATTTTCCTTCAAGGTTTATTCCTTAGATAGTCAAGTTAGACTGACTAAAATGTTGCTATCTGTTTAATAAGTTAGTAAATTTTGACGTACACAAACAGAAGTGAGTGCTACAGTTCTTCAAATGACTTTGCTTAAAGTTACTTGACCATAAAAAGTATTTAAAATCATTAAGTATTTTCTTAAAGACTCTTAAAATTTCTTTTCAGCAGTAAACTTTAAATCATTTGTCCTTACTTTCATAAAAATTACTTTTTTTCATTTTTAGTGGTGCATTCAAGGACAGTGTGTTCCCACTGATGAAAATCCAACTCCATTAGATGGGAATTGGGGTGAATGGGGATCATGGTCACAATGTTCACGTAGTTGTGGAGGTGGAATACAATTTTCCGAACGTGAATGTAATAATCCTGAGTACGTGAATCATATTTTATTAATTTAAGTCAGGATTCGTCTTATGAACACGATGAAAATGGTTTAAAATTTTCAAAATTCAACAAACTTTTTATTTATATACATCCATGTACCTTGGCCACAAATAATTCTTTAGACTAACAATTAAATAATTACATTCAAAGATGTTAGAAATTCACGAATAGCCCTGCACAGAGTGTCTAGAATGTCAGAAAAAGCTTGAAATGTTTCATTCAGTTAGAATTAGAAATTTCACAGAAATATCTAAAAAAAAAGTAAAGGCTAATTTGTCATATTTTTATTGGATGAATATGTACATTGCTACTGTTTCCAGAAGACCAAGAACTTCTGAATATCAACAAATACATCCTATTCTCTGTTAAAAGACAAACCCTAGTGTAAAGCTTAATCTCATATTTCTCCCGGCTATTTTCTAACTGCTCGTGTCCAAGTTTAAAAGTAGTTTGAGGCCATTGGAAACACCTGGAAAGTCAGGAACAAGCGTTCAAGCAACTGGCTGATTAAAAGGAAGCTATGAATTTTTGCAAAATATGGATAAATAAATATTGATAATGATCATTATTGATAAACGATAACTGAAGTTTGAAGTTTACCTAAGAAATCATTTATTTTTTCCCAAAATAAAACCTTGCATTCGTCAATATACGAAGTTCGTATTAATCATCAGACTTGTAATGGATATGAGCTTCTACTTTCGATTGAGTAAAAGTCCACTTAATTATAAATACACATTTTAAACAAACGATAATGAAACTCTGATTAGGAGCGATACATGCTTTTCTATAGTGACAGTTAAGTTCACCCGTTAAACATTTGAAGTATCACATACATCGCCAAACGATTAGAAATTCCTGTTATTATATTACAATTAATTATTCAGATGGGTTACTTATTTTTGGAATATTTATTTTAAGGATATTTCTCATCTATAAATCATACCTAATGAAAATATATATTTATTAGGTAGGTCGCACTAGAGAGATTTTTCTTTAAACTGAAGAATTTACTAGTCTAAGGTAAAATCTTGTGAGTGCATGCTGTTGAGGAACTAGACCAAGTCAGCTATTCAATGCTCCCTGATTTTCCACTGGTCCTTGAACTGAATTCAACTTTTTCATAAAGTCTAGTTTTAAATTACGTAGACTATAGCCGGTGGAGTCTGCGTTCAAATCGGTTTAAGCTACGTCAGTGGGATATACCTAATTCCTAGTGTTTACATATATACATAAACTGAAATCCAGTACTTTTCTTATGAAATGCCGACGCGTCATTCAGACAATCATCAAATTGTTCAACGGGTTTTTATTTACCCTGGTTATGGTATTCAGGACTAGATTTCGGTTAGTCTTATGGATTTATGTGAACTGCCCTGTTGTAATCACCTTGTAGCTCCTAGCAACCACCGATCTATTCTAAAACTTTGCTATAAAATGACTGTAACTATGCAGTTCAAAGACGATTCACATGTTCCAAGAAAAATTGATCTAGATTCAGTTCTGAATATCAACAAGGCCTTTCAACTAATTCATTAGTTAAACAGTGAAGTTATTAACTTTATTAAACCATTCTGATGGTTAGTTTATAAGATGAAACAAGGTTCTATGAAACCAATATTTCAATGCAAACTTACATAACCAAACAGCCAGCTGTTTAATTACTTTCCACTGACATTAACAAGGCTTAACACATTGAAAAATAAGATATTTTCTTATTTACGTACTTATTTAAATGGATTCAAAGCTTTTTTTTCAACCACAGTCAGTAGGTTTTAAATTTAGAAATGTTAACCAATTAAAACTATTACTCATGAGTAGTTAAGCTAATCCCCAGAATGACAGTTACGATTGTAACAGTTATCCATGAAACATGTTCCACTGTTCTCTAATATTAGACAAACTCTTTCGTTATAACTCACTGGACAAACTCATATTTATCAATAAAATAATTTCATTTATAGACTTTTCTTTTTTATTATACGTTATTGAATGCCTCTTATTTTAGACCTCGAAATGGTGGTAATTTTTGTCATGGGACGCGAACTAGAATGAGATCATGTGGAAATGAGGTAGGATTTGTTATTCCAATAGCTTTATATATGTGTTATACTAATTTTTAAATTCTACAAACTGTGCCACATTTTTTAGTGTAATGTGTACATGCAGATTAGGAAGTTTCATAGTTTACATCACAAACTGATCTTACTCAGATAACCAGTGAAATTTACAGCTTCCTAATATCTAACAAGTTGTCTAGTCACGGCCACTTCGAATTATCAACTGTGAAAGTTCAGTAACGTTAATAAATACTCTATACTACTAACAATCATCTGATCATTAGACATTAACATTGAGATACGATTTCCGGGGGTACTAACAGGAAGCTATGGCCATCACAGCTAAACCATTTCAAGTGTGGGATAGTTATTCACCAGTTGTTTTGGAATATGATTTCTAGAACTGACTGGATTTAGACATTCATACTGGTGGGCGCCGGTTTAGTGATCCAGAGGATAGACAAACTCTGTCGAACCGGAAAGTCCTGAGTTCGACCTCTGGTGAGATCGTATATGCATACAAGTGAGGAGCAGCAAAATAATGCCAAATATCAGACCAGATCTTTCAAATATTCACTAACTGTTTGACGAAGGTCATTTCGTCATGTAAACTTATGAATTGCATTTTACTCTGAAAGTGCATCATATGATAGTTAAGTACTTTACCATGTTGAAATCTGAATAAAATGACTAAATATTGTTAAATTATATTAACAGTTGCAGTGACTAAGACAAAGGATTATAAAATTACAAATCTTTTTTTCGTAAAAAATATAGTATATTTAAGATATTATGATAACTTTAAAAACACCTTGTTTACTGTGAAATCTGTTATTCTGGTCAAATTTCATTCTTGACAATAGTAAAAACATTCTAAAGACGGAGAAAAAATAGTCTAGAAAGTAAATTATGTAAAAACAAAATAGAAATATCTTATTTAAATTAAAGATAATATGAAAGTTCATTTAGTTCAATGTTTTCAATGTTAAATAGTTCATTCTGAAATGCTCAGCTCTCAACTAACAAGAATATAGGAAACAAATTAGATTTTGTTTTCCAGAGATTTTATAAAGCATTAATGGCCATCTATTTCTCTTGGAACGACTCTACAAAGTCAATCAAACTATCTCTATTGATCAGGATCGGTATAACCAACATTGGAGTAGTGTAAAGTTTTCAGAGTCTCATTTTCTGCTGCGCAACAATTTAAAAAAATAAAAAACCACATAAAATGTTGCCGGTATTTTATACTCATCACTCATTACTCACATGCTGTTTATTCACATAATCAGTAGCCATGAGAGGATATAAAAATTTTCAGTGATTTTATGAAAATAGTGCAGCATAATATAGTCTTACCGTTTGTGTAAATATGTTTAGCATAAAGAAAAATTTAGCAAATATAAGTTTGAATTTGAAAGTAAACCTTTAAGAATAAGGTTATCCAGTGATCGAACTACAGATCCAGTTTATCTTATTTTTACTTAATTATCTAACTTGATACAAACTATTCATTGAAATGAAAAATTCATTACCAGCAAACAAATAAGAAAGCAAGTTATTTTGTAAGGGATTTTTGAGTTTATCCTGTTGTTAGTATTCTTAGTTGAATTTTAAGCTGTCTTTGTCAGGATATTTGCATCCCATGTGGACTGCCTCAATAAAGATATTTTGTAACGGTTTTAATTCAGATGAATTATGGACAGTAGGTGGCGGGTCGGTTATAAGCGTTTCGTTTAAGATGGGATGTAGTTGCATCCCGGAATTCGTGTATATAAAAAGAATTCGACAAATCGAAATTCGACCAAGAATAGTTAAAATGGACAAACTCAAAAGTCTTCACAAATTAAACTGAATTCATAGCCGTCACTCAATTGAATAGCTATTTGGACTCAATGGATAATTTAATAACGCATGTTAATAACGCCGACAATTTCCGAACATGATAAAGCACACATCTTGGTCTCAACTTCTAGACAAATTCTATCTGTTCTTCACAATCTTCACTGATATCGATCACACCAAAGACTAAAGTTTTAATTGTACGTGAGATCTTTTGTTCACATTATTCAAAACAGTTTTCTCTTTGATTGTCCATAGTTCTCTTGGTAACGTGTCACTGTGTGGTGAAAATTGTGTTATAATTGGATAGGTCTATAGGATTTAGTTAACCTTTTTGATTCGTCATCAGAGACTGAGCAATCACCCTCTTATCTTCTCTTTTTTTCCAATTTACTATCAATCAATCAAGCCTTGTGAAAAACAACTGAATATACGACAAATGTTGTGTGATAAAATAGATGGAGAATATAAAGGTCAATTAACTGCATATTTTCCAAAACGTAAGTTACATTTTTTTGAAAGGATGATTTAATAAAGTGAATAAATTATAACCCATCAAACTTTAAGGTTTATTGTGAAAGCTGAAGAGTCCTGTTCTACCTCTTCCTGGTTCTAAATTGTACTCCAACTGAGATCAATCTGCCATGAATACAACCAACGAAATAATCATTTTGTCCATTCATACTGTTAGCATTGTACTGTATGAGAATGTGTTGCATTAAAAGTTTACTCTTAATTCACCAACTAGCAGTGTGTCGATTTATTGCGTGTTCTTAAGGTCGGTAATTAGCTCGTCCAGACAATCGTTACTAAGTAGCGTCTGACGGTTTAAAAATCAGAAGATGAACTCGTAGTGTTGAATACGTTTATTTGGGACACACCACAAAGCGGAGCGGAGAAGCAGTGAATAAAACGAGTGAAGCGACGTGAATTGGAGAAGGCTGTTGAGCCAACTCCTAGAGATCGAGCATGACTAAGAATATATAGTCAGACAAAAATAAGATTGACATATGACAAGCGAAATAGGCATGCACACACATAAATAAAAGCGACGAATGATTCACAAGATCAAAAGCAAGCGAGACAAGTCATGTGAGATCATAGGGATATTAGGAGATTAACATTAAAGCGAAAAGGATGAGTAAGCCCGTAGGAGTAAGCAATGCTCAGTCGTACAAGCTCATACAAACCAGACAATAAAAAATACCAATCGTACATATGGGTTGTTGCTATACGAATAGTTTGGTTACACAAGTTAATCGAAAGGCTTAATCAAATTAAATATGAGCGAACTCAAGTTTATGTGGAGGCATTACAAACTAATCAATAAATCCATCATCGGAAGTGTTTACAAACAATTCATCTTGAATAACTTTCATATTAGTGGTTTTTTTAACGTTAATGAAAATATGATTTACTAATCAATTCTTACAAATAAATAATAACACCTCAACATGGAAGAGATCTCGTTCAGGAGTGTTTCTACTTCCAGAAATTTGGATAACTTATATTCTATACAATGAATATGTTAATGTTACTGGACATTCGTCACATCAGAAGCCGATTTTCCCTACGATTTTTATAAAATCTATTTCCAAGAGTTAAATAACTTTTAATCTTAATCAAGAAATACATCAACAACTGATGTGTCAAAAATCTGATACATATGTGAATGTTACACTAAATTAAATTTAGTAAAAAAAGGCAAACAAATAACCTAATCAGAATCGAAATTTTCCCAATCATTTGCTTGTCGACGTCATTGGAAGACAGTTAATTAATATCATGAGTTGATTAAAGTTATAAATGTTGAATATTAGAAGCATACTCATTGGCCTTAAAGATATTAGGCGTGATTCTCGGTGAGGTAATGAGGGGTAGTGTCAAGGAATCACATACAAAGTTACAATAACTGTCTAGAACTTCCTGATTTGCAACGTTTTTCTACAAAAAGTCAATCCGTGATGTAAACGTTTTTCAAATCAGAAGTTGTTGACTCTGAATATATTCCATTTCTGTTGTGAGGAATATTGCTGATGATGTTGAATAAAACGTCCTAGTCTGTATTTCTAATTTATGAATTGGAAGTATTATAGTAAAAACAAATGAACAGTTTTCAAAGACTTGACTGGAAATTGAACATACTTTTCCTTACGAACAAAACTAGACATTGTTAGCTAGTTTGTCAGAATGAAATGTCTTGAGTACAAAGCTTCTATAAAGTGACTGTTGATCACATGTTTATGAAACATTTCTCTTTAATAATACATTTATTAACATAGTTGAAATCGATCAAGAAAGATTTATTTTTAAGTAAATAGATATTTTTCGAATTGCTTTGATTATTTCTTTATTAAATATTTTTTTAATTTACTATAACTTATAAATCCAATTACCTAATTATTCGACATAGTCTACAGAGGTTTAGTTACAATTATGTCAAAAAAATTTTCTAAAAGTATCATAGGTTGAAACACCGTTTCACTTGGTTCAGTTTTCGCCCTCACATGAACAGTCAGAGTTTAAACTTACACGTAAATCGCTTTTCGTAAATGAATTACATCGCTATTATTCATGTATTATGATGAAACAGGTATCCGATTATAATTTTTCAATTAGAGGTATGGAGATTAGTGTAGTTTTCACATTGAAATCATCAATCAGTCATTGTTAGACCACCATTAGAAACCTGGGACGCCTAACCCCTGGCGTTCACACACAAGACCAAAGGTCCTGGGTTAGAATCCTGCTAGGTGAAGGAGTCGTGGGTAACTTCTGTTAATGTAATACATTAAGTAAAAAATTTCACAAGCAAATTATAACGAATACGACAAAACTTTTGAAACAGATTACTATAAGTCTCCAAAAATTACCTTAAAATTGCATGGATAATAACTGCATGTTATAATGATTTACTTGAATTTGTATATGAGGCAAGTTATATATAGATTATGTTCAATTTCCTTTTACTGGATTCAACGTACAATAACTAAAACAGTATCTTGAACACGTAAATTAGTATTGAATTACTTCTTTTACACTAGAACCAACTAAAAAATATATAAGAAATTAAAATGAAACAATACATGTGACCATGACAATGGTACAACCAAGCACAACTGTATATAAATGCATAGAATTAATCTAACTAAATATTGTTTAAATAGACATTAATGATGTCGTATGTTATTGTCTATGGTATATATATATACATCTACAATTACAGTAAGTAATATTACACAATGAAGTAATATACAATTTTATTCAATAATCATTGCGTAAAAATGTTATCTCATAATAATGGCTGAACAAACAGGGAATATTGTTATGAGACTATTAAATATTGTATGTTCTTAACTGTAAAATGAATGAATATCATTACACAGAAACAACAAAAATCTAAAGTACTCTTTTTTTGTTACTTCATTTTGTAAGCAATGTATTCAGCACACTATTTGAAAAAGAAAAATTTTTTTCATAGAAATAAATTTAAATGAATTATTTATGTAAAGTTTAATAATATCATCACAATTCTATAGGTTAGATAAAAGTATTCACTAAACAAAATTGGTAGCACATGAAATTAATAGACCGAATTCATCTAGCTCTACGTGGTTTAGAAGCATATTTAAGTGAGACATTTATTTCAGCCAGGATAAGTTTGGAGTTTAAACTAGAAAAATTCTACTTTAGGCACATACGCCGGAGTACTGAAAATTATTTTGCGTGTTCACTAGTGATAAATGTTGATATGCAAAACATCTAATACAATAAGACAATATTCACTCTGCTATACGTCCTACTGAGGTTTAATAAAAAATCTCTGACATCATAAGCCCAAAGGCACCCTATAGGATCGTATTAACTGGTAGATGTTGAAAGTACTTAGCCAATCTACCGATCGGATGCTCGAACAATGGTGTGATAGGGCAGCGAAATCATTACCCGTGAAAGCTAGATAATTAGTCAGTTCGACTTGAATATTAACCACATTATTAACTATTATGCAAAAAACCTTGTATTTTTGATTCTATGTTTTGATGTCATGCGATGGTGAAGCGGAGAAATCAAAATGCGGACTATCTCTAATGCAGTAAAAAAATGCAGAACGCTTAATGTTACTTGGTCATAAGTCAGTGACTTATAAAATGTAAACATTTTAGTCCTACAGATGATCAATCTCAGCCTCAATAGCTTCATGTTAATGTTCAAGATCATGTGTCTCGGTGATGCCAATCGGAATCTTTCAAGACATATCAGTCTCCTGAAGATTACTGACGAGTGTCAGCTAACAGGAAACCCACGTTCAAGGTTTGCTAATGACTTCCGTTAGGCATCTAACATATTCAACTAATTTTTGCTAATACAAAGTAATTGATTCAGTCAGATTTTAAACTAGTTCATGAACATAATAACTTCCAATGAATTATTTTAAATTATATTTGACCGATGAAGTTGATTCATTTTATTTCACAAATTTTCATTATTGTTTATTTGTAGTTGGTGAATCTACAGCATGCAATTTGATTTGTTTGCATAATTCCCATTCTGTATTGCATAGTGTCAGTTTACCAGACGGTACACCGTGTTATGCACAAAGAGATGATATATGCATACAAGGCAAATGTTGGGTAGGTTGATAAATAACAATAAAAATAACATAATATGTGTAGTGGGACATTTCTTTTTCTTATAGCAACCAAATAGATAATTTCATTTTGCTTTATTACGTTATACAGGAGCAGCAGTAACTCATATAGTATTTTCAAAGTGAAAATTGTACTTAAGTGATCGTGTTAACTGTCTTAAAAATGAAACTCTGTGTAGTTATAGATAATCTAGAAACAATTGTATTAATTATCAAAAACAGGTGTTAATACTTTATCATCATATTAACAGGAATAGTTTGAACATATTACATGAAAATTAAATTGAATTGTTCTTACATAGTTAACACCATGAAATAATCTTGATTGAACAACCATTGAAAACCAGGAAACCACTAGACAGCTCCTTGGATGTAGTATGTAACTTCACCGGGAATCGAACCCATGACTTTGAGTACTTTGCTTGAACTTTTAACCTTTATAATCTACACAAGAATCGAGAAAAAACGAATGACTGAGTAGCGGTTGCGTAGTATTGTTAATTAATTAAAGTCAGTATTGAAAATTATTAGATGCTAACTCAGTAGCCTCATAGTGAAGCGGATCCAGATCGAGACATGATGGTTTTGAGTTCGGTCACCAGTTGCGAGGTCCGAATACATATTTATGAAAAGTCGCATACTAAAATGATACAGCTATCTAATGCCTCCTGGTTTGTGGTGGTTGTTTAACTAAGGACGATTCATGACATTTGTTTTTTACACTGCATTCTTCACTTTGCTAACCTATAATTAAAACAATACATACATACTCTGAATTTAGTCTATCTTGAAAGTATTATGTGTTATTATGTTCTTCACAATGCTATGACTTATATGAATGCAACACTGAAGATATATCGTTAACCATTATTTTATGATGATTTTTTTTTGCAGGAAACTGGTTGTGATGGTATTTTAGGATCACGATTACGCTTTGACCGTTGTCGTGTATGCGGTGGCGATAATAGTACTTGTGAAGAAATTAAAGGTGTTTTCAATGGAAATACATTAACCCAACCTGATACTTATCCACGTGGTATGTTTAATCAGTGAATTTACAAATTAAATGAAATAAAAAGAAGGCTTTATTTGTGTAAAATAAAAATTAAATTTTGTTTTTAAATTTTTTTTAAATAAATTGTTTTGTCTAGGTTTAATAACAGCTGTACGTATCCCTAGAGGAGTTACTAATGCATTTGTTAGAAAGGTGTCTGATCGTAATACCGCCTTCTCCTCAGATTCGTACGACGATTTTATGTTGTGTAAGTTATAACATTTGTTTTACGATTCATAAAATATGGATCGTTTTTGTAGTTTTTTTTCCATTTTTTAAAGTATTTTAAATATTTCACCACATTTTCCTTAGAGTATATGAAATAGATCAATGTTAAATTTTAATTTAGTAATCGACAAGTGATGCTTAAGTTGGCACCTAAATATGTATGTATGTTACTCAAGGATGAAAAAGCCTGAGTCTTAGGTTGAAATGGTTCAGCTTTACGTATACAGCAACATCACAAAGGAAAATGCCGATATTTTAACAACTGGTAACCTTTTTTCCAACATCATGAGAACCAACGTTATGATTGAAAGATATCAATAAAATACCAAGTTGAACATTTCAATAGTATGAATCTCTGTTGACAAGTATCATCGGTTGACTTCAATTTATTCAACACGAAATTGAATAACATGTATTATCAACTCATTTCATTTAAACATACCTACAATTTTGAATATTAATTAAAAATTAAAGTAATTATCTGCATGCTAAGCAATGATCAGCCATTAATAATTTATTTAAAATACTGAGATGAGGGATACATCCTATTTTCCAGAACTAATCAAATCCGATTGTTTCTTTTCAATTTAGTGATATTTGAAGAATTAAAAACTCAAATACGTAGAGGTGAAACACATGAACCATTCGCTGGAGCTGAACTTTACTATAGTGGTAGTCGTAGTCGTGAAGAAATTGTTTCAATTACTGGAAGACTCAATAAAGATGTGAATATTGTTGTAAGTAAAGCTTACTTTTATTAGATTCATTTTAAAATAACATTTATAGTTCAAAAACAAACATCAATAATTGATTCTCGATTTTGAATTTTACCCATTTTCCTTAAATGTCACATAAAAGTAGAAATAGAATTTTGTGAGAAAGTGAATTATATTTTGTGAAATTCAACACGCATCATGCATACTTTGGTGACACTATAGTACAGGAAAGACCGACAAACTCGATAAAATTTGCCACCAATTACAACTTAATCAAATAGTATTATTTATAAATAACTATTCGTAAAATAAGAGTATTTGAGTGAACAATTACTGTCAATTACAACAACATAAGACTACCACCAACAGACTACTACCACAACAATCAAAATAAAACATGCTAGCACATCAAAAGAATGTTATATGTCAAAAATTCCTTTTGGTGTTTAGATTTGACAAGGTTCATACTAAATCTACGCACTCATCTTTCTCAGTTCACATAAATTCCTGATCATGATCAACTTGTCCATGCCTCTCTTATTCTATACTACATACACATGACGCAATTGTTATTATTAGTATTATGAGCTCCATTAAGCCAACACAATTCTCCTAAAGTGCAATTTATTCACATAATTTCCGTTACTGTTACCAGGTTGATTATATCTGGACATCTTACAGTGTACCATTCTGATCTTTTGTAGACAACCTATCTAATTTATGAATGACAAAATTAAGAAATATTTCTGCCGTAACAGAAATGAAAACAATATTATTTAATTTTCAGTAAATGGATGTGGAGATTGTTGAATGTCACTGAAACCACGAACTGACCTAAGTTAGACAACCACTGGAAACCTGTCAGATACCCACTGAAGACAATGGAGGATAGTCACTCAGTATCGTGGATTGACTGAAGCTAGACTTGTATATCCTCGGATTCCGTCTGAGTGGTCTAGAAGTTCAGGGTTCACGTCCAATATCGAAGGTCTTTTGTTCAGTTTCCTATGGTGTGGTCATGGATGCACACTACTAAGGAGTCCCAAATTAAGACTAGATGGCTTCCTCATTTTTAATGATTATTTATCAATTCACAATTTTGAAGAAATTGTTTGATTCACAAGTGTAATTTATTTTAGTCCGTGTAATACTACACAATGATTTAGGACTTGCAACTAAAGAGCCAGTTGACAAAGTTAAATAATCTTCATTCAGAGTTATAGAGATTGTTGTTTATTACTGAAATGTAAATCAATCATTGTTAGACCACCATTAGAAACCTGAAAGCCCTGGACACAAGTTTCGTCCTGTTATGGGACTCCGTTAGATGCCGGCCCAGTGGTCCATAGGTTAGGCATTCGTGGTCGTGGATGAAAATCTTCCAAGTAGTAGAAGTCGTGGATGCGCATTGCTGAAGAGTCCCATACCAGGACGAAATAACCATTTAGTGCTTCCAGGTTTCCAATGGTGGTCTTACAAATTTAACCAAAACAAATTTTCATCCAGTATGTTTATTTTTTGAATAAAAATGAATAGTTTCTCAGAAGAAAACGACAATATCACAAAGGCGTAACATTTTTTACATCACTCACAAATTTATAAGAATCTTCTAAAATCTTTTTTTATGTAAACAGAAAAAAGATGACATCATGTAAACTCGTAAATATGAACGCAAGATATTCGTTTTCTCAAACTCTTATCGAGGAACAAGAAGCGTTTTAGATGGCCCCAGATTTGGTATTAAATGTAAAAGTTAGAAATTATAGTAAGAGTTTATATCACAAAATGACTTAAGCAACATGAATTGACGTTTAAGATTCAGAATTAGAGGTTCAAGATTAAGGATTAAGGGGTAGTAACTTGAAGTGTAGCAAAGGCTAAACAGTTTACAACTGTCATTTAAAAACATGCTACATAGTGAGGATTAAGCATTGTATAAAAAGATTATTTTGATTTGCGTTCAATGTCGCATAGACATTTTGATTTTTGTACACAGAAGCAGGTCAATAAAAATATGACAAATTTCAAGTTTTTACACACTCTTTTAACATTCAATCGATTGAAAAATCTAACAAACATGTCCAGACCAAATATTTATATATATATATACATAATAAGTACTAAAAAGAATAAAATTACCAATGATGATTCAATCATCATAACTAATTCCAGGGCAGTTTTTTTTACTCGAACTAGGGGAAAAAAGTCCATTAATTCTCCATATTTATAAACATTCAAAAAATGTGGAATTTTATTTTGCAAGAATTTCATCCTGATAAAATTATGTAATACATAATTAGTTTCTAGAATAAAATAACAGAACATTTTGTACATTTGACTTCTTAACTCAAAATATGTCTGTTTGATGTAAACTTGAATCTAATGAGGATCAACTATGACCACAAGTATTAATTAACACCACATCTATGTTCAACATTTTCTTTCGACAACCTACAATTGTCTAATATTCTATTATGTTGTTGTGAAGCAAGAACAGTATAACATGTAAGTGGTTTATAGATATTTTCATGGAGTAGGAATCAGGCAAGCACGTACAATTTTTGCTGATTAAAGTGAACCATTTTTTACATTAAACCCTTAGATTATATGTAAATAGTATTTCTTAATATCCGTTCATTGGTACAGTTTGAAACAGTTTGACAGAAGAAATAACTAAGTCTAATCAAAGTCAATTTACGTAGAAATGTAAACTTCAAACAATCTTTTTAAATTCCTGGTTGAAGTAAACTGTTCGACACCATCTCTCCACATCATAAAAACTAATCGATTAAATGCAGATCACAATCACTTTTCAGCTTAATCATGTACAATTGTCATTTTGTATTTATATTGTGATGCAATCTTTGTCTGCTTGAATATATACACTACGTCTGTTTGAAATAGAACTAAAACGGCGGCTGTTTCTGATTTCTGGAGCGAAGGTTATTATCTTTGAAATATATTCCGATTGGTGTTTTCGTCACGTGATTATTAATCATAATAATAATAGCTTTATTTAGTATCCTGTTTTCAGTATAATATGGAATTTCTAGCACGGAATATTTCAACAAGTTTCCCTGACAAAACAGTCAGTAGTTGACAGTTGTAAGTAAACAGTTCATGAACCCACATCTTATTAACGGTTCTTCCTCGATTTCTAGTACTGCAGATTTTTTTTATTTTGTAAAGCGACAGTTCTTAAGCCTCATATGCATACCTGAGTAGACTATGCGACCAATGGACATAACTGGTACGCTATAAGTGACAGAAAGAGGTAAGTTGTTGAAATATTTCAGTGTTAAGAAACAGGTAGCCCAAATATTTAGGCAGGCCGCCTACTTAAAAACATCGTTTACTTTTGAATTCCGCGCGAAAGATCAACGGTTATTTTTCGCACAACTTATTAGTTGGGCCCTATGGCGTATTTTCACTGTTAAACGGACGAAAATTTACCGTAATATTGTTTTCATTCTGACCAAACACAGTAATATTATTTTAGTAATTTGTCAAAGCCATGTAAATTTTCTTGTATTATTTTTAAGACCATATTAATTGTACGAAATAAATAATTTCATTTTTTCAGAATTAGTGTAATATTATTATCATTGTTATTGTATTTTATTAGATTCGTGTTGAAAACTCGCATACAACTCATTCTTTACCAAGAGTGGAGTATAGTTATTTTATTGATAAATCTCAAAAAAATAATTCATTATATTTTATCGCGGAAAATGAAGCACGTTTAGCTGAAGATAGAATTAATCGTCGTACAGGAAGATCACAAAATACTTTTCAAACAGTCGATAAATTGATTAACTCTGTACAGAATAATCCAAGTGAATTAGACAATCGTAAAATTAAGAAACAAAAACCACAAATCTATTTTGTATGGAGAATCAGTGAACTACCCACTGGTTGCACAACATGTGCAGGTAAGTGATGTGATGAAATATTTGTGAATATTTTTATTAGAGAACATGGTAACTTTATCGAAATTGATGATTTCAAAAGAAAAAGAAAAACGAATCGTTTACATTGAAGCTACTCGTATGCTTAAAATCATCAGATTAGTCAAATGTTCTTCATTGATATATATATATATATATATATATATATATATATATATATATTCCTGCATGTAAGAAGACAGGATGACACTTTCAGTCGTCATTATCTATAGATAACCAAATGTAATGCGTACAAAGTCAAGATAAATTTTTATTTTCCTTAACAATTTAAACACCTGTATTGTAGTTATATTGCTGAACAACTGATGCATAGATGTCGTTTCTTATCGTTTTCTCTATTTCTTTTTTTTATAACATATATAAACACTTCTATTTTATGGTTTACAATTATGAAGTGATTTTGTAATTTAAAACTAAGGAAATGTTCATCTAATTACTATGAAATGATTTACTTACCGACTTATTTTCTTCCTTAATATTGATCTAGTTCATGTGTTTATAGAACAAATTTATGTATTTATGCATTTCCTATCAATAAAAAAAAAGCATTAGAATGAAACAAGCAATTTTAACAGATAAAACTAGGTTTAAACAAAAATTATTATTGTATTTTCCACTAAACGTCATTTACTGTAATGAAGTCATTTCACTAATCTGTTTACATATTCATTTGTGTTTACATATTGATTATCGATTTTCATTCATTATTATATTGTTAGTTGTATACGACGTAATCAATGAAAAAAAAATTATAACTCATGTATAGTTTCATAGTGTGATATTCTAAGCATACATTAGATAATCTGTTCATTTAGATGGTTTGGTTGCTATCTTATGATCTGTTGAGTTAATTCACTTGTAATGAACATTCATTCTAATTCATATTTGGCTTTGAAGTTTCTCGAGTAGGATTAAACTGAACTATACTTCGACAATTAGCCAACAAATATTATAAACATGAAGTACTCGGTTATAGTTCAATTCAAAAATATCAAACCAACAATGATGATGAACTTGACAGAAGACGCACATTACAAATTTTTAATTTATTTGAAAAAATTTACCGACAACAGCTGCATTTCTAATATCGTGTTCGTCAATGATTTGGTCAATAAAAGTGTGTAATGTTCAGTGATTTGTAACAATTCGCTTCAAATAGTAAACTAACTTGACAATAACATTAATTTTAACAAATTTCTTAGCTGAACAAGATTCCTGTACTCAATATGTGCCATCTTCTTAAAGGATTCTTAAAGTTTTAGGTGAAAATTAGTCACTGATCATGTTTTGATATGCTGCAAGTGAGGGAATTACCTTTGAATGATATTACATGAATACAATTTAGAGCGATCGTACTAATGAAATCAATACAGTACACATTGTGCTCGCATTTTAATAATTCAATATCATTCAACTGTAATTCCCTCACTAATAAAACATCGTAACTAATTTACACCTAAAACTTTGAGATTCCCTTTTTTTAAGACAATTCTTGTTCAGCTAAGAAATTTGTTGAAATTGATTTTATTATAACACAGTACTCTGATGGTCAAACGAAAGACTTTGAAATCCACGTTTCTATATTTAATGCGATGAAATATGCGCAGTGTCGGAAAAGGAGACAAACAATATGATGAGGCTATACTAATCACTTATCATGTGGAATAGTTTGAAAATATCAGCCATTTTAGTGAATGATGTCGATAAATAAACAAAAACATGTTCCAAAAATGCAGTTGGTTGCTAAATACTTGCCATCTTTAACTATCATTCTAAATCATATAAGTGACAGGAAAACCTCTACTCAAGTTAAGTTCAAAAGCTGGAGAATATTGACTTATGAAACAGTATAAGGGACGGGAACCCATTAACCAAATCGTGTTTTTGCGCATAAATCATCATATTTCCATTCTAACTTTCGTTATCGCTCAATGGATATTATTTGTTTAATTCTCATGGCTGATTATCTACTACGTTGGGTTTCAAATTGGCATTCTAATAACTGATTAGTATAACCATTTGAACACGTCCTCGGGTACTGTAGTGAAACTAAAGAACTCATTTTATCCACAAATTCAAACTGATAAATAATACAATTTTTAACTTCCACAGGAAATGTCACAACACCTGCAGAATGTTATCCGTTGGTGCCGAAAGATTCTGAGAGAAGTCAATTTTCGCAGTTTGATTTGTTCCGACCAGTTGCTGATTATCTATGCGCCTCTATGCCCAGACCACCACCTGTTTTCAGGCGTTGTTCCGACTATTGTGGTGTACGATGGTCAGCTAAACCAGTACAATCGACGAAGTCATCAAATAATATTCATGGATTTATTACCAGTAGTTGTTCATCGCGATGTAATGAAGGTCATGAAGCTATTGAGTATGTTTGCGAAGAATATATTGTACCTGCTGAACAAAAAGACAAATCGAAAGGAATATGGAGAGTTTCTCAACTAGGAGAAATTGTATGCTATAAAGCAGGTTTAGGAAAAGCTCCATCCCAACCAGCTTATGTTACATGTAAAGGTTCATGTTATCCTGTGTATTGGGTTTTATCAAACTGGACAGAAGTAAGTTTAATTTAAAATTTCATTAGGTTAACATTTCGATTAATATTTAGATCTTTTAACAAGAAATTTGTCTTTCACTTAATGGACTTTTAATGAAGCTATTTACATTTCTCCACATTCGATAAATCCTTTGATGTAAATATGAACCTGATCGCTCTTACAACACAAACTAAAGTATTAAAACCCATGCTATTCCAAATGTCTACACCAGTCACTGTTTATAAGAGGTTGTTGTTCCACTATTAATTTATAATAAGGCCATAATATGTTCATAAGTTCAAACTGTTTTTATATAACTTTGTGGTACATATTTACACAGTATTATACACATACTACCAAGTGAGTGGTCACATAAAGTTGCATGTGGTTGCATGGTATGTGATAATTTTATCTCCGTCTACTAATGGGATAACATAGCCTTAACCGTGTTCTAGGTTCAACTTCCTATTTGAGTAACTGAATGAGTGCAGAGATGATTTATAAGTCTCTAAACTACCTTAACATATATCATATTCATAAAGATACTTTTGACAAAAATATACAGATAATCCTTGCATTACAGTATCAATTACCTTTTACTTTCTCTAGTGTACCAATTCTTGCGGTGATGGAACACGTAAACGAATTCTTTATTGTCAAGATGAAATTGGACAAAATTGGCCTCTTAGTGAATGTATGATACATGGTGAATCAAATATTCAACATTCCAAAGCTCCAAAACAATCAATCAGTATTCAATCAGCTCAAGAAATTATTCAACAATATCAACAAAATAACAATTTTCAAATATCATTTGAACACAACTTATATATTGAACAAATTAATGAATGTTTTTCTTTATCAAAATGTCGAAACGATATTAATTGGTCAGTAACTGAATGGTCTGAATGTGAACCATTAGATGAACAAATGAAATCCGATTGTCGTCTAGCTGATAATATTACACATCATAATGATTTAATTCATAAAATTATTGGTGTTCATTATCGAAATGTGTCATGTATTATTGGAAATAATGATAATTATCATAAATCACTTAACAAGTATATAATATCTGATCAACTGACATCTAGTTATGGTATGAACGAGATACAATTAGATATAAATTTTTGTCGTAAAGCAAGTATGCTTGGGGAACTAATGCCAGAACCTTATGATCGTGAAGCGTGTACTCAACCACAATGTTACAGATGGGGAAATGGACGAATTTCTGCGGTAAATTAAACAATATTAGCTTTCTTTTTTTCTTAAATACTATTACTACTACATTATTTCTGAATAATTGTGAAATGGACTACAATAGTTCTGAGAAGAAAAATATCAATCAAAAATAAGGCGAATTTATTGTGATTTATAAATGTAATGGTAGTTAGACTTTTCTTAGCTCTAATTATAGATAACTTCCCATGAAATTTACGTATCACCTGAATTTCGGCACAGTTTATAAAATCTTGTCTAATGATGTATAAAATATCTAAACAAGTTACAATCATAACACTATGATTTATTTACTTGTTTTAATATGAATTTAAAGCACGAGAAATGAGAGAAATCATTGACTTACTTGGAGAAACGCATACACTAGATTACCAAAATACGTAGACAGTTTTTGGTAAATGTGAATGGTCGATAGCAGTAAAATCTTATTTCAGACTCGTCAGCTGGATGTGCTTGCATCCGATTGTCGATCTTAACACCAGGACTCTTACTTAATATCGTTCTCCTTACTTAGCTAATAATTACAAACAATCAAATTTACACATGACTTGGAAAAGGTTTTGATCTCCTTGTGGTTGATATTAAACACTGAAATCAGTCAGCATATTTTAGAACATGTGAATGTTGAGTCGACTGCCCCAATATTGTCATATAGCCAAAAGCTTTAGGCAGTGATAAGAACATAGGAAACACTGTAAACACTCTTCTTCTTATTTGGGATTAACCAGTTGGATGTTCTTCTATCTGGCCGCTGATACTCACATCGATCAGACATTGTTGTTGGTGTTATGTTTCTACTTACTGCTTATAATAACCACTGTGGATACTAGTTTTTAGGGTTGAAAGAAAAATTATACACAACGTTAACGAAGACAAATAGAAAAGAGGAAGTAAACCGTAATGAAGCAATACATCAGGGCACGCTCAGTATTTTATATCATCATATGGTACATTCATCAATCAATGTTAATGTTATAAATTATTTGCTTGAATATGACTACCTAATTAAATCCCATGAAAACTGACACAAATATTGATTATTTTAAATAAGTTTTAAAAAATCTACTTTTCCCAGTATGTCATCTCATTTCGTCAACGCAAAGCATAAAACACTGAAATAGTATCTTCAAAAAAATAATTTAATTGATTGATGGTTCCAATTGTGTAAAAACACTAATCTCCATAACTCTAACTGGAAATATCGTAATATCTGCTCATTAGTGACTAGCTTCATGAGGAAATCCTCGGTGTTCTAGTGAGAAGACGTGACCAGTGGAGTTCAACCCTGTCGGGTGTAGGCAGTTACTACCGAAGGCGAATGGGTAGGTCACGCGAAATCCCTAGATCAGTCAGAGTTAGACATTAACACCGTTGGATGCCGGCCCAGTGGTCCGGAAATTAGGCATTCGCGTGTACGACCGAAGGTCCTAGGTTGGAATCTTGCGAGGTAAAGGCGTCGTGAATGTGCACTGCTGATGAGTCCCATACCAAGAGGAAACAGCCGTCCAGCGCTTGCAGGTTTCTAATGGTGGTCTAACAATGATTGATTGATGATTTCAAATGTGTAAAAGCACTAATCTCCATAACTCTAATTGAAAATAATTCTAGATTGTTAATTTACTTTAGTGTATCATTAAAATCCTAATAGTTAATGAACATATCCATTTAGTATTTTATTGATCTATGATGAATTAAATTATGCCTGTTTAAAAACAAGGACAGCATAATTTTCAATCATAATTTCAGAGATGAGTCTTCAGCGAGTAAGACTTAAGGTCCTGGGTTCGAATCCTGTGAGATGTGGATGCTCACTGTTGATGAGTCCAGTACTGGGACGAAATCTGAAGCAAATGTTACTCATCATAAAAAGGAAATTAACAAGTCTGCCAACAGATCGGAAGTATCTACTTTAGGGTAGAACGAGTTAATTACATTGAATTTTCTTTCCATTATCATTACTGGATTTAAAGTTTTTAAAAATGTTATTCTTCCTAGAAAAATGTTAATTCATGTACAATCTGAATGAGATGAGTTAAGGTTATTAAGCTTACAAGAACTGGTAGGTTGTATGTAGAATTCTAGTATTCCGTGTTAAATGCAACGCTATTTGAATAAATATATGAATTGCTAACTGTTAATATCATGAGTATAATAACATGAATAAGGTTAGTGAAACATTCTAAAAAGGGAATATGGAAATATTATTAACAAGAATACTAGAACGAGCATTTGTCTTGATCCTACAAATAACTCATTATAATTAATAGGCCAATTTTGTGTTATCCTCGTTGTCATCTCAACTGTTATATCTGGAGGAAGAGTCTCTACTATGTAAGTTGAGTCCGTAGTCCTACTGTTCATATGATTACCACGAATTAAAGGGAGAACACAAAAGAACACAATGAAACACACCTCCAAACAAGTCCTAAAATCACGTTTAAAAATTATATCTTCCTTTGACCACAATACGGTGATTGATTTCCAAAACGTTAACCATATATCAAGGAAAATGTTTAGGATTGCTGTAAAAATAAAAACAATAAATTTAGTTCACCTGAACATAGGATATAACTGACATGATGAAAGTTCACAACTGTCATATGTAACAAGCTTTATTCTACATTGATACAATGAAATATTGACCTTAAAATGTTACAATGAACGAATTTTTCACTTGTCACTTTGGCTGAAATTCATCCAGAATTGATACTAATAAAGATATTGACTTGAATAAGATTATATTATCCCGTTATATCATAACTAAACTATCTCTACATACTGCATAAGATGTCGAGTTACTTTAACTGGTAGTCACATTTATTTTTGTAAGCGTAAAAGAGCATAACAGACTTCACATTTATCACTAATCAGTAATATATATATCTTAGTACAACACTTATAAGCGAACAATATTGTTTTCGATTAGATCGTCCTGAGGCTTTACTTTAATAGACATGAATATTTATATGAAAATGTTAAACCAATTAAGGCAATTTAAGTGATAATCACAATGAAATGAAAAAAGATTACGTCACTGCATATAATAGGCAAAAGTTCAAGTGGATAGTAAGAAGACAGGTGTACTGATAGTAGTAAGAAAATTATAGAATATGATAACTAAAGTTTTATCAATAGTAGGTCAAAGGTGGATGAATAGACTTTAAATAATCATTAAAAAAACATCAAAACAATTACGTAATAAGCAGATGTGTAAAAATAATAAAATAAAATAAAAAATATAATGTCAAAAGTTAGTTACGTCATAACCGGCCACGGAAGAGATAGGGATGTCACTAATTTCTTCCGAACACATAAACTGGGGGTTGAATGTACGAATTCCTATGGCTTCTGCTATGTGTAGGAGACGAGATCGAACTTCGTTGGGAAATGATGGAGGTATACGATAGGTCACCTGAAAAGATCTAGATTCATCTACAATGTGACCACTATCTACCAGGTGTGCTAAGATAGAACTGCGTATTGTTTTTGACTGACCCTTCGTATATATATATATATATATATATATCATAGTCTTGCATGCGGTCAATCACAGCCCTAATATTTTACTGTTAAAGCCTTTTTTATGGAACTAGGTGACACGGTATCACGTTTCATAAGGTAGATCAGTTCCCTAAAGATAAAGTGTACAAAATCAATGACTACAGTTTCCTGTCGACAACCTTCAAATGCTTATTATATATTAGGGTTGTGTTTAACACAATACACCATTGGCGTTTATCGATCGATCTATGAAGTATGTTAACCTGAAATGATTGGTTTTACAAAATCACAGTTGACAAATATCCTTAAAAATCTGCTCAATTCTTTATATTTTATCCACTTTTTTTTTTAAAATTTAACAAACATTATTTGATCATTTCTTTTTTACATTTAATTATTTTTAGTGTTCTGTTACTTGTGGCAATGGTGTGAAACAAACGCAAATCACATGTGAACGTATTATGTTAAAATATGATTTAGATAATAGATCTAATGAAAAGAATATTATTTTAGATGGAATACATACTGTAGATAATGATAAATGTATACAAAATCTTCAATATATACCACGTTTATTCATTGATCAAACAAATAATACACTATTTGTAGAAACTATTGAAAGACGAATAGATAATAAACAAGAAATGATACCTTTAAATGTTGATAATATTAACAAACCAATTGTATTGATGTGCAATGAAGCTCCGTGTGATTCACGTGTACCAGCTTGGAGGACTACATCATGGAGTGCTGTTAGTTTTTTATTTATTGCTTTTATATAGTCTGTGTAACTTTTGAAATATTCTATTTGGATTATAAATTATTATTTCAGTTGGATGAATTCATTGGAATGGAATATTTAGGTGAACTATTTCAATCTATGCAACTTGCTTATATTAAGACCGTCAATTGACCAAAAGCTAGACATTAACACCGTTAGATACCGGCTCAGTGGTTAGGCGTTCAGGACCGAAAGTCCTGGGTTCGAATCCTGTGAGGTGCAGGGATCATGGATGCGAAATGTAAAAGAGTCCTATATTTTGATGAGACGGCCCTTCAATGCTTTGAGGTTTCTAATGGTGGTCTAACATTGATCGATTCACGATTCCAATAAGTAACTCATTATTATCCACAACCCCATAATGTAAACTAGAGATAACGAATAAAAATTTGTAAAGATGTAGGAATGAACAAACCCTAACCATATCAATGAAATGTAATTCCTTATTCTCAGCTGATAAGTCATTATAGTACATTGGATTAATGACTAAGAGAATGACGAAAAAATTAGTTCGGTTAAATTGTGCTGACAATTTATCTGCGTGTTTGAATAGTGCCTGACGGTTTATAAATCAGAAGGCGAATACGAAGTAATAAATACGTTTATATTTTGGACACACCACACAGCGAAGTTGAAAAGCAGCGAAAGGATGAGTGAAGGAAGCGAACGAATAGGTGAAGCGCTTTGGAGAAGGCTAAGATCCAACTCCTAGAGAAAGAGCGTGACTAAGAGTATATAGCCAGACAAATATAAGATAGATATGTGTCAAGCGAAATAGGCACACATGAACAAAGCGACGAATGATTGACAAGGTCAAATGACACGTCATGTGAGCTCATACAAACCAGACATTAATAAGAACGAATTGTACATATAAATTGTTGCTACACGAATGGCTTGGTTAAATAAATTAATCGAAAGGGCTTAACCAAGTTAGGTGTAAGCAAACTGGAATATATGTGGAGGCACTACAAAATGATACAAAACATTTTAAAATAGAAATTCATTTTTGTGATAAAATCTGTAAGTTACAACATTCTGTCGAAAATATAATATCGAATTCATCAAGATATCATCACAATACACTAGTGCATTTAGTGTACTTACAATAAGTAAAAACAACTATGAAGTTCTTTCTATTAAATGTTGTCATCTAACTTTGCCAGAATTTACTACTTATTTCATTCAATTTAACTGTCAAATTTGGAATTATTTTTTCTTATAAATTACAATTCTTGTTGTATTACTTAACTTCTGTTAGGTATGAAACAATATTTCACTAATTGTGAATCTATTATCATCTTAAAATAATTGTCCAGAACAAAACTTCTGTGACAAAAAATTCAATCAACACATATTTTTGAGTAAAATTCATACATGATATCCTTTTCAAAAATTACAATATATGTGTGAATATTTTAGTTTGAAAATCATTAACTGTCAACGAAATGTCACAGTAATGTTTAAACTGCATGTGTATATATGTAGATAACATCTTCAATGTTTTAGTGTAAAAAACGACGTGAACAGTCAAGTTCAGCCGTGTCGGTTGTAGGCAGTAACTACCGAAGACAGTGAGTGAGGTTGCACAGAATCCTTAGATTGATCTGAGTTAGACATTAACATCGTTGGATGGTGGTGCGGAAATTAATTGTTCTCGTGCAAAACCGAAGGTCCTGGGTAGAGTAGGAGTCGTGAATCCGCATTGCAGATGAATCCCATACCAGAACGAAACAGCTGTCCACAGCTTCTAACTTTCTAATGTTGGTCTAATGATGATTCACTCATGATTTCTATGTATAATTAAAATCCCTGACTGATCATTGTTTAATCTTTCTACAAATTTGAAAGCTGTTTTACGACAAATCACATGACTTACTTTCTCCTGCAAACTTTCGTGGAGCGTAGGCAGCCGACCAAGATTCTCCAACCAACTCTGTCCTGTAGTTCTTACCAAGTGCTTTTTATTCCTTTTATGTTTGCCTCTGATTCTCAACTTCATGGTTTCTTAAGCTGTTCTCATTTCTAATGGCCTTGAAGACTCCAAGTAATAAATCATATGCTCTGATTTGATTGGTTATATTTTTAACAATTATGAGGTGCTGTATGTATGAAGTAGAATCTACATATCCTAGAGTTGAATCAAATCAAATTATTGTCCTACTGTCTATTTATCTTTTGATTGAACTTCCTAATGTTGAATATGATATTATCTTCGTAAATTAAAGACAGAAACGACAATTAACTGTTATTTTTAACCCACTTATTAGTTGAAGAATATCGAGTGGGTTTTGTAATAAGAAGAATCTCTAATAAATGAACACATGGATTTTGAAGTGAAACTGAGTAGAGTCTAAGAGGTGATACCAGTCACTCAGTCAGTCAGTTGCAACGTAGAACTTCGTACGTATGTACATAAGTTCATGTTGCCATACCACATTATTAGCACAGAGACGCAAATGTCAAATCAAATCCCATAGTAATAAAGATAGTAGAGGTATTAATGGTAATGAAGAAGACTAGGGTTTAAGATATTATTCAAAAAATATAATTCAGTGAGATAAGGTTAGAAAGACAAACGTACAGGTGCTGGCTAATCCAGAAGATTAGGATTTGAGAGAGCTCAAAGAGTGGATGCACCTGCGCCATTGCAAACGATTTTGAGCCATGTCGTTCAAGGTCTCTAACCATTGATGACTTTCGTCTCGCGGACCCCAACCAGGTAGTCTACATCTACCAACATGACTCAGTCCACTTGTCAGGGACTTCATGGATTTCTGCCATGTTTTGGTCTGGCCGCCCCTAGCTTTCTTCCAACCTACTCCTACACCACAAAACATAGCTCGTCGAGGCAGTCGGTGGTTAGGCATACGTAACACATGTCCCAACCACCTCAACTGATGAAGTTTCACCACTTCATCGATTGATCTGCCATCCTTACCTGGTACTCGTTTCCTAACGACAGCATTGCTTACTCGGCTGTCCCACGATATACGAGCAATGCTTCTTAAACATCTATGATCGAATACTAGTAACCTACGAACATCTTCTACTCTTAACGGCCATGTTTCACAGCCATATAAGAGAACGGAGCGAACTGCTGCGCAGTACACCCGCCCTTTGGTTAGCGAACGGATATCACGCCTACGCCATAAGTGACGCAGGTTGGCAAAAGCCAATCGAGCTTTCTGTATCCGAGCTGAGATTTCGTCAGTCACCAGACCGTCAGCACTGATGAGACTCCCCAGATAAGTGAAGTGATCTACACGCTCAACTACTTCACTCCCTATCACCAGTTCAGGTGCCGAAGCAACCCAGTCTTGAAGCAACATTTTGCATTTCGAGGGGGAAAACCGCATCCCGAACATGCTCGCATTGTTGCTTATGGTAGTCAGAAGACTCTGCATTTTGTCAGCGTCTTCACCGAATAGAACTATGTCATCGGCATATTCTAGATCAGTAAGCGACTTTCCTGGTAGAAGGTCAACCCCTGAAAAATCTGACGAGCTTAATGTTAACTCTAAGAGGATGTCTACGACAAAGTTGAACAAGAATGGAGAGAGTGGACAGCCCTGACGGACACCACTTGATGTAGAGAATTCAGATGACAGTTCGCCATATGCTCTCACCCGACCAGTGGTGTTCGAGTAGAGTGCTTGTATAAGGTTAATGTACTTCTTTGGTACACCTTTCAATGACAGACACTGCCACAGAACCTCACGATCCACTGAGTCGAATGCCGCCTTAAGGTCCAGGAACACGACTATTGTCGGACGTCTAAATGTGTGTCTGTGTTCCAGGACCTGTCGTAGTGTGAAGATGTGGTCTATACAACCACGTCCAGGTCGAAAACCAGCCTGGTTTTCTCGAGTCTGCTCTTCGCGAGCTCTAGTTAGACGTCTAAGTATAATCGAGGCTAACAATTTAGAAACTATATTAGTTAATCTTATTCCCCTGTGATTGTCACAAGAGGACTTCTGTCCTTTCTTGTAGATTGGGACAATTAGCGACTGAGACCAGTCAGATGGGATTACGTCCATTTCCCAGATTCTACCTAGGATCTCGGTCAGTTTAACCGTTAAAACTGGACCACCATCCTTAAACATCTCAGGGGTAAGCCTATCGGGACCTGCCGCTCTACCTCTCCTTAGATTTCCTATAGCTTTCTCAACTTCATGTAAACTGGGAGGACTTAGATCGATTTGCCATTCAGGATGACTGGAGATCGTGGGCAACCGAAGAGTGGCTGAAGGCCAGTTGAACTGATCCCTAAAGTGTTCTGCCCATCGGTCCAGCCTCCTAGATTGAGAATGGATAATAAGACCATCCTTTTCCGAGATAGTCTCACTTACATTCGGGTTCATAATACCGGTTTCTTTGATAAGGCGGAAAAGTTGTCTAGTGTTGCCTATCGCTGCTGCCTTTTCCATCGCTTTTGCTTTCGCCACCCACCACTGTTCACGGTCGTTACGTAGGCTTTTTATAAGTCTGCGCCTAAGTTGAGTACGCTCTTCATCATGTTCAGAGTCAGGTGGGATGCGTTTTCGAGCATCCATCAGTTCGGTGGATGCGACTGAAATCCACTGCTTCATCCTAGCCTTGTGGTCTACCTTGCTAGCAGATACCATTGCTGTTTCCACAGCCTTCTTGATATGATTCCAACCTGCTTCAGGATGGGAATCACTCTCATGGCCGCCTAACTGTTTTTCTAGTTGTTCCTGAAATATTTTCTTAGCTTGATTATCATCAAGTAAAGCCCTAAGAGGCTTCCTTACGGTGTCTTTCCTACGTCCAGCAAGCCTCAAACAAATACGTGCTCGCACTAGGGCATGATCTGAATCTAAACATGTGCCCCAGAACGAGCGACAGTCCTCTATCGAACCCCTCCATCGGTGGCTGATGGCGATATGATCTAGTTGTGTCCAACGTTGAGACGACTTCGGGGGTCGCCAGGTCAAAAGGTGTTTTTCCTTATGCTTAAAATTAGTGTTTGCTAGAAATAGTTGGTTATCTGAGCACAGTTGCAACAGACGGTCGCCATTGTCTGTTCTTTGAGCCGCGAGACCGTAACATCCACCTAGGTGTCTTTCATTTTCACTTAGTCTACCTACTTGTGCATTGAAGTCACCAGCCATTATAACTATATCAGAGCGCTTAACTTTTTGGAGGAGGTCCGAAAGCTTTCTGTAAAACTCATCTGTTACATCATCTGGGCTGCAGTCAGTGGGGGCGTAGGCTGATATGACGAAGAGGCAACGGCGAGTGTCCCTATCTTTCCGAGTCCTTACTGTCCCGTTCAGTCGGACGGCGCACAAGCGACTATCTACAGGGATCCAGTCAAGGAGAGATTGTTCTGCCCTACGACTCAATGCTATACCTACACCGGCGAGGCCCCTAGAAGCAGCATCAGGGCTACCGGATACACGAAGGGTAAATCGAGCTGCTTCTTTATCTTGACATGGTGAGGTCAAATGAGTGATGCTACTCGGATCCTGTATGCGCGTTTCTGAGACGCAGCACACAACGATGGAACGAGATTCTAAAGTCCTAGCTAATGATGCCTGTTGCCCTATTTGACACAATGTCCGTACATTGAATGCTCCAACATGTAGTTTGGAACGGGGTTTAAGGAGACCAGGAACGACGTTTCGCAAACTCGCATCGTTTGCATTAGCTGTGCACTGTAATAAATGAATGTGAGAAGACTTAGTTGTGGAGATAAGAGAGGTATTAGGGAATGTAGGAAGGATTTGATTTTGAACAATTTGTCTCTTGTGCTGTTGCGGGTATGAGGGCGGTTATCACTTCCCGGCTGCCCACACCGTGGAAGGTTGTTTCTTGACGAACCTGAAAAGGAAGATGGATTAGTGTTGGTGCGTGACCGCAGAGTCCAAGGGACAACTGCTTGAGGCCGGTCACGCACGGCCTTTTTATGAGAGGTATTTAGAGGATTAGCTTCGTTCTTAAAGGCCCTTAGTGGGCACCCTTACCCAAGGAGACGGAAATCCGTGAGGTAGGGGAGGTGTGACATTTTTAGGGTCGACCTTTTCTAACCCTTCCTTCCTTGTGAGAAGGCAGCATCGCTGCAGATGCTGGTTGTCCGAGGGAAACACCTTACTGCTGTCACACCCCTCTGCAGTCAGCAGTACGACTTCGCCCTCAGACCTTGGGTAGCTGCTTTTAGTCTCATCGTTCTCCAATCGACCAGCCTGGCATGGTAGGACCTGCAGGAACATATGTTCCAACCAGTATAGCTCGGTTGGGTCATCACGATAGGCAAGCCCGACCACCACGTCAAGGTAGCAGCTTCGGTCGGGGATACCAGTCACTGACTGCACCTTGTAAGTTAATTTATGTGCATCGGATAATTGCACTTTTACTTTAGAAATATTTGAATAGGTAGGTAAATTTATTAACTGCAACAACTTGTATGAACCTAGTTTAAATACGAATAAACAAATAAACGAGCCATAATATCTTGCTGATAACATCTCTGATTCCATATGACACAAGTAGAAATCCCATGAGAAACCTTCTGAAAATTGATGATAAGTCTCAACCTATGACTTCTTATCAATTGCTTAGAATGTAACTGTATAAGCCACTTCATTAGTATCTGAAGTCTTCTGTTAAAAATTTTAGAATTACTAATATGTCTAGTGAATATTCACATCAATTAACGATTATTCTAGCAATAAATTGAAACACATTATTTATTTACTTTTATTTGTATTTTATTTTGTATTTAAATTTCAGTGTTCCAGCTCTTGTGGTCTCGGTGTCAGGAAAAGACAAGTTATATGTGTAATTGAAACACAAAATACAAATCTACATAAACCTCTTTCAGAATCATATACTTCTATATTTACAGCTAGTCGATCCAATGCTGAAGTAGTTGACTCACAAATATGTGATAATGCATTACTGCCTATGCCGACAGAACAAGAAACATGTCTTGAAGCTCCATGTCCTATATGGCATGCTGAAGAATGGGAAGAAGTAAGTTTTTACGCTACAATAACTAGTTAAATGAATATCCTACAAAACCGTCGTCGTTCTAATTTAAAAAACAAAAGTAATGATTAGCTTCAATACATTCTTTAGCTGAAAACCGAATAATCAGTTATTGTTAGTGTTAAGAACAAACGGATCTTAGAGTCATCAAGAGAAAATGCAAACTGTCATCCTTATTTAGTAAAACAGCTCTAATCTTCCAGCTACATGACGTGGATTACATTTTGTAAGGTCTTACTAAGTAAATTAGGACTATATGATTAGCGAATTCCTAGTGACGTCATACGGTGCACACCCTTTAGCATTAGGTACAGTCAAGCTATAAATGTTTATCAGTCTATTAGTAAAACAAAGTGTTCAGTCTCAAGTCCTTGTTAGCCATAAAAGCATAGTAAAAATATAAATAGAGATAGAGAAAACGACTGAAAATCACTGAAGTGATCAAAGCTCAGATGAAAACAAATGAGGATTCAACTACTATCAGCTTGAGTATTCAAGGACTTTGATTATTGAATGCTAACTTCTTAAGGAATTCAAAAATAAAATCAGAAATTTCATAAATAACATAGATTCAAGATGTTAACATTTATGAACTACTGGTAAAGTATTTCAGTCATTCAATCTGCTCTTATTTCAGACAAAACAGAATGTCGAATGGATGATGATTATATATATATAGGTAATATTTGCCTCAAACATTTCAGTTGATACTCATTTAAGATAATGTCGGTTAAATCATTTACCCTTCCACAAACCTTTAGTTTAAATCCAGGTTAATTCATTGAGTAATTCGATCATGCACAATAGGTGCATTTTTGGAACATTATCCAACAAGAGTAAATTTGTGTGCGTACAGTTTTCTAAGTGGAATCAATGAAGTATTTTCTGCAAGATACTTGAAAACTTGATTTATGTCCTCTATATGAGTTTTTCTATGTAATAATACTAAAATGGATAGACCATAGAAAAATTAACACATTCTTACTTCATAAATCTTCAAGGAACTCAAGTCAATTTGACTTCAGTATGATTATATTCAGCAGTAGTTAAAATTAAATTAGAGATTGTTGAATGTCATCAAAAATATAGACCAATGAAGGTAGGATAACCACTGTAAACCTGAAAGCACTGGAAGACCACTCCATTTCGGTATGGGACCATTCGACATCGAATATCCATCACACTGTGGTCAAGGATCGAATCCAAGATCTTCGGTTTCGTACGTGGATCCTCTGAGCACTAAGCCGGTATCTAATCATATTCAAGTTGAACTTGAATCAGTTCTCTCGAAGTGAGTCACTAGTGAACACATAACATATGTCATTATGAGGTTCTAGAGATTAACGAATTTCACTGAATAAACTAATCTATCTGAGTACAAAAATGTTTCAGTTGAAGTTAGACTTGTACACCATTCGATAAAAACTCAGTGATTTAGAGTCATGGATGTTCGTTGTTGAGGAGTCTCATACTTAGACAAAATGTTCTGGCAGTGTTGCTAGATTTTCAATATTTGCTTAACCTTGATTGACTCGCGATTTCAATGAAATCATTTTCAATAACTGATAGATTATAGCTAATAGGGATGACAAAAATTCACTTTTTGTCTTTCATGGTAAGCAACAACTAGATGTACTTACATCCTAGTGTTCAAGTTCATATAAGAACTCGAAACCATAACGTTTTGTTCTAAACAACAATGCATAATCCATTGAGCTATTAATTCTGTTCAACAAGTATGAGATATGTATTATCAGTAGTAAACGTTGGATTTTTGTTCTGTCGTTGTTCAGGAATTTTTTTGTCACAAATGAATTAATTCCATTGTGCTTATTTTTTTTTTTGTGTTTCAGTGTATGGGTGAATGTGAATATGGAGTACAACATCGAAAAATTAGATGTATTATTGAATTGATTCCATCACAACAAATAATAACTAATCATTCACAAAAGTTGGAAGATGATGATAATTCATTACGTTTCTCAATAAATCACCTTGATACTTCTCTAGTTCGACGATCACGTTCAGCAAATATCATGGATATTGATGAACAACGTTGTCGAAATGCCGGTCCTAAACCAATAGCAGAAAGACCATGTTTAATAAATATAAGTTGTCCGTATTGGTATAAAAGTAAATGGTCAAAAGTAAGCTGACTTTCCTAATATTCTGATCATTGAACGAAAAGTATTTACCAGTTATATAGTGAACTGTTTAATAGAGAGCATGCTCATTATGTAGTGGATTGATAGAAGCTAATCTATTGTATCATTTCATAAACATTGATGATTTTATATGAAGCCAAATATCTATATGAATGAAAGATAAATTAATTTGATAGAACAGTGAGAAAACTTAGCTGACCTGAAAAAATGTGATGTATCGGCGCAAAACATTTCGAACAATCTGGTCATACATCCACACTTTTAATATGAAAATTAATCAAAGGTCAATAAAACAAAAATTCAAATAAACGGGGTATCGAATTGACATCAAGACAGATTTCAAAAACATTGTTTAGAAATAGTGAAGGACGAATTTTGAGGTTTATAGATGTCTTTGCCATCCGGCAATCTAAACCCCCTCATGTGAACACAAACAATATGTTGTAACCTCGAATTTACTCTGGTAGTCTTTAAGCCATTTTATGGTCTAGAGCAATATGGCAGATACCTATTCTTTCTATATTGTGTTAATTTTCTCTCTCTTTTATTTGCAGTTATCACGTTATGATTATTTGAAATTATATTTAATTTACCTTTACTAATTTTCATGTAAAATGCCCTGATGAGTAGATGTGTCCAAATTGTTCGAAATGTATAGTGCGAAAACACCACCTATTTTCCAATCAACTACGTCTTTTTAATTGTTCTATCATAATTTATAAAAGGAACTAATTGTTTTAGATACAAATGATGTTTGCAGCGTTTGGTTACGTTTAACTGTTTTATAAGTAACGATATTAATGATTTATTGGGTAATGGATATTCATGTGGTGTACGGCTATCTCGTGGACTCGCTTTCACAATACAAACAAGACAGAGAATTAGCGATAGAAATTTACTCTAAAAACTATTTACAATCCTAGAAAAAGATAGGACTGAATCGAACAAGGGCCAGTTCCTGTGTCACTGATTCGTTAGCCACAATATTAGAAACAGATTATAAACATGACAATATTGACATAAAAATAGCTGTACACATTCTGGTTTGCGTAATGTTTCTTAATATGATCTAAGTATTACTTATAAATAATTATTGTCTTTGCAGAGATATTTAAAGTCTCATTTCTACTTAACAGTCGGTAGTATAGATAGCATAATTGTACTGGTGAAACAAAAGTTATTCACAAACAGTAACTTACAGAACAAAAGTAATTATTCCATGAACCATATTCTCATGTAAGATTTTATGTTGTATATATTGAGAAATATACATGTCTTGTAATTTAAGCCTACATAGATTAATCATTTGAAAATTATATTTTAGAGTTAGTTATGTTAATGTTTCATTAACTGTTTAGAATTAGAATTTTTTTGTTAGACAATCCTTCATCAATGTTTTACCGATAGTATTTTAAACACTTTTATTTCCTAGTGTTCAGTAAAATGTGGCATGGGGATTCGATCACGTCAAGTTGATTGTCGATCTCCAAATGGAACTGTAATTAATGTTGATGCAACAAAGGATAATCAGACAGTTTATTACAACGCAGATATATCTTATGAAAATTCACTACAACATGTCATACAAACTATAAAAAAGAGTAGTACAATAATGCATAAATGTCAAAGTCCACGTCCTATTGATCGAATTTCATGTAGAACACGTCCATGTACAGGAATGAAAGTATTCTGGTGGCCTGTTACATCATCTGAAGTATGTGAAACTGTAAAATGTGTTTGTTTAAACAGAAATTTAAAATTTCTTGTTAACTTTTTACTAACTTTTGATTTCAGATTAAATTGTAAATCATTTGTTTAATTCAATATATAAGAGACGTTAAATGAATTGTCGTCATTCAATCCAATACTGTTCTAATGACATAAAATTAAGAAATAAGTTTCAGGCACTTCGTACAGAGTAATAATCTACACTACACCAGGAACTTTCTTTGAAATTTATGGATTATTACTATTATTATTATTGTTGTGTATAACCTTATTGTAACTAAACTCTAATGAATTTTTTGACGGCTTGATTGAGGACTTCTTGACTAAAAGGCGGTAAAGTAGAGAGAAAAGGGTTATCGATTTGTAAAACAATAAGGATTGAAAGTTGGTTCACAGTTTCTGTTGCTAAATGTAAATCTGATTAGTGTTTTGTCTTGTTCATGTGACATTGATAAACAGTTAAGGATACAATGGACGCAATGTTGTGTAGTATTTCTTGATAATTCTAGTTCCGTTATGACCTTAATTTTACATGAAAAGTTCAATAGTTCCATGTCCATTTTCAAATGTATCAATTCATAATTCAACCAAAAAAGGTAAAACTTTTCTTGTACAATGAACTAACACATTCTACTGATACAAATTAAATAACTATTAAATGTCAGTAAATTACATCATACATTTTTGAATAACTATTCATATATTTCTTATAGTTAGCTTTTACGAGTCCAGTAGTTAAGTTTTAATTATACCGTTAATCAAATATATTACAACAGGTTCTATAAATATGCAGAATCATTATCATACTACCCATTTAACATTTTCGTTTTTAGAAAGTGCTGAAAAATGAAACATCACAAAATGTATCGTCTAGACAAAATGACTTGATTTATTGTGTTGCATTCTATCTAACATTAATTGAGTTTTTCCACACAGGTTGTAAATAATTATTCAAAACGCTCTGAATTTTTTTTAAAAAAAAGAATATTCTTGATGATATATTTGTCAAAATTAAACGTTAAAATAGAAAATTAATGGAGCTTAATTAGTTAAAATAACTCAAAAACTAGCGCTCCCAAAATTTCAGATACTAAAGCCATATTGGAACTTGACCTTGAAAATCCTATAAGCACCAGAGGACTGGACAAAAACGACAATGATCATTACTCATCTACCAATTCATTGTAAATACCTCTCAGTCTTGAATGATATTACTGAAATCAACTGATCATAGTTATTCAACTAGCATCCATGAAATCGTAACTAAGAATCCAACCCGAGATCCTCGGTCTCGTAAGCGAACGCCTAACCTGCGTATTATAAGCCTTAATCCAATGGTGTAAAAGTCTAGCTTCAAACAGTCATTGATATTGCTCTACTTCCCCCTAACCCAGATATATTCATAACTTCCCTAATTAGTCTATCATTCCGGAACTCAATATCCCCATCCATGTTGCATGGTAGTTTTATATAGAAAAGATCTTTCAAAAAATCCATATCTCTGATTTCTTTAAACATCTCTATGGTGGCTCATTCATATGTGGAAATACTATGTATAAATGCAAAGATTGATGAAGATTCGACTGAGAACGATATTGTTCACCAATAGATGAATCAATGAACATACATAAAATTAAAAGAAGGCTTGAATAATAAGTTACATAACCAATCTAACGAAGCTGCATATATTGATCACCGTTTAAAACATATAACATTTTCCAGATAACCAAAATTTGTGGTTTGTAGAGATCGGTTGAATGAAGGTAGTTAGTGCAGTAAAATGACTTAACTTAGACAACAGCCATTAGAGATGTAGAACTCTGTTTTAAAGCTCCACAGCAGCTAATCAACATGGCCTCATCAGGTATCAAACATGGAAGATTTATTTCTGTTAACAACATTAAATCTCAGCTCAATGGTCAGCGTTTCTAATGTAGTTGAATTTGTACACTACGAAACAATCATAATCATCGGTTATATTGATTAGTGAATACAATGTTTATCATTAAGATAGATTATTCAAGAACTTGGTACAGATTGATAATTGTATAAAACAACATAAATTAGTGTAGCTGAACACAGTAATTGAATATAATGGATTAATGATAATTTTTAATAGGCTAGAAAATGGCAGAGTATTTGCTTGAATTGCTTCTGATCTAGAATTAATTTTGGAATTCACTAAAATTAACACCGACTTTTTCAATATATCAATCATAATTAACTGACATTTTCCAATACTGTGCTATTGTGAAGAATAATTTTATGTACATAATTGATACCTTCAAGCTTTATCACTTGATTATGAAATATCATGGAAACCTAATTCACATAGTAGCCATCACTTTAGCCATGAGTTTAGAATGGTTATTAATTATTAAAAGTAAGTTCATTTCGTTAAAGCGATTCATTTTGAGATAAAGTGGTTAACTGCTCAAATTGTATTATTCAGAACTTTCCCGTTAACCCTTCAAAATATCAGCGAGACAATATGATTTATATGAAAACACGATAAATTTTTATCAGAAACCTATATAATTGATTCTTTAAGCAGAAGGTTTTCTAACCTGAAACGAACTTGCTGAATGACTAGACAAAAATTAAACTATGAAAACCTTGTATTTGATTAACTTAAAATTTGAAACATTGACCGATTCAACTTTTAAAATGTTGATCCTATATGAACTTCAAATCAATTCTTCTGTCTTTCAGTGTAGCGTAAAAGGATGTGAATTGACTAAACGTGAAAGAACAATCAAATGTATCAATCCGAAACGTGGCCCAGTTCAAGATGAAGCTTGTAATCATCTAGAGAGACCATTGAATTGGACTATTTGTGAATTATTTAAATGCAAACGATTTGAATGGAGTACAGGACCTTGGAGTTTAGTAAGTCATAATTCAATTAGTTTGTTTATCACTTGTCTAAATGAAAGTATTCTGCTGAACGAATCAGGAACTATTAAATGATTCCTCTTGAAATCCCAAATTCTGTATTTTCAACAAAAGAAAAAATCACTAAACATCTAGATACATTTATCTTTTAGTTAGATGTGACCGATTACATAAAACTTGTCTGGTTGGATTGATTACTGGCTATCTCAACGAAATTTTATTGCTGTTCAAGTCTTCATATTTCTAATGCAAATGGTAATATGATAAGTGTTCATTACCAATGTTTCGATCATTCCCCAATAACAAAGATTTCATTTTTGACTGTCATAAACCAATCGATATCTATTCTATCATACAATCGTTTTTATTGATGTTAAGCTATGCAAGAAAAAATGAAACCATAACTCAATTACTCAGTAAAAGAATATGTAGAAGTGAATCAATGGGAGTTAACAATGTAACTGTTAAGCTGTCGCACTCAGGTCAAATATTATGTCCAACGATTTGAAAAAATACTGTTTAAAACGTTCGATATGACAGCGAAAACCTATGTTTAGGAACTATAGAGTAAAAATATGAGTGTCCAACTTATTGACTGGTTAAATCTGCCTCGATAAATTGTATGTAATTGGCAAATCGAAACTATGCTTACATCTTAACCCTAAACTTGTAATTCTGAAAAAACTATAACCAAATAATTGAACCTTTTTATGGAAAAACTAATCGGATATTATATGTTGCATTTTTCACAACAGTCATTCATTCATGTCTACAGAGCATGTTTAAATCATAACTGATGTCAGTTTGTGATGAAAGACCCAACTCTAAACCCTTAATCCTAACATTAAGTACCTAACTCTAACTACGAACAATATAAGTATTCTGTTAGGGTCCTAATAAAAGCTCAAACATATAGACGATCTGTATCCATAAGGACAAGCTTAAGTTGTTGTTTTTTCGATTTACATATAGAGTAACCCGTAGAAAATGCATCAATTTATTTAAGTAAACTCTGTTAACACTTCCCAATATTACTGTCTTCTTTTTCATAAACTGTTCATTTACAAAAGCTGTTTTCTGACTGGCTAAAAAAATAGATGAAAAGTTAACGAGGTCGCTGTAAGCGCACCCCTACTTTAATCAGAAAGTCTTTTTTAATCAGTAAACTCCAAAAACCTTCAAATTTTACAAAATTCATCTAATCAATAATTTTTCCTCCTTTTATGCTGTTTTATTTTTTGACTTTAGTGTCCAGATACTTGTGGATCACGAATAAGGTATCGTCATGTAAAATGTGTGGATGATTTAGGTAATGAATATTCAGAGACTTTATGTCCAGCAAATTTGAAACCCAGCAATCGTGGTGTATGTCCAAATTTATGTTCAGGTATGTGTACTAATCATTCAAATATTTACATGTGATATTGATTACAATATATTTCAAAGATGATTGATAACACAGACTGTTTTTAATCAAGTAGCAATTAAAAAAACAGATATTTTGGGAACAGTTATTTTTCCCTGATGTGGAAATTCGCGGTCATGCCCATACTTAATCCTGCTATAGAGAAAACCTCGGATTTTCATGCTTAGCGGTGGCGGTCTTGGGACGAAACTGTTGAGTAGTGCTCTTCAGTTTTCACTGGTCGTCTCTCGATCTTTACAGACTTACCATTCTGCAAAATCATCAATTCATGCTTAAGACACAAAACGATACAACTTTCGACTTGTGTTGGATGTCTGTAAACCTATTCGTTGTAAAACAATATAACTGGTCCATTCAATCATAAAGTGAGTTTGAATAGATCATTTTTGTTGACTGTAAGAGTTTGCATTTTCCCGTCAAGCACTACAGGTCAGTCAGTCAGTTACAATGTAGAACTTCGTACGTACGTACACTATTTCACGTTGCCATGCCACATTAGTACAGAGACACAATTTTCAATTCAAATCCCATAGTAGTAGAGGAAGTAGAAGTATCAGCAGTAATTGTAAAGATTAGGGTGCGAAGATTTTATTCAAGAAGTTTAATCTAGCAAAATAAACTTAAAAAAAGAAAGATTAAGGTAATGAAGAGTTCAGAAGGCTAGAGTTTGAGAGAACACAAAGAATGGATGCACCTGAGCCACTGCAAATGATTTTAAGCCGTAATTAAAAGTCTCTAACCATCGGTCACTATCACCTCGCAGACCTCAACCAGGTAGTCTGCACTTACCAACATGATTCGATCAAGTTGTCAGTGACTTCATGGATATGTGCCATATTTCGGTTCGGAAGCACTACAAAGTAATCACTATTTTGTTGGAATAAGTATAAATAAGATTAAACAAACGTCATTGATTCCATCAATTGCCACTATTCAATTTCAATAATAATTGATCATCAATGCTTAAAATGCAATTGACTCAATTTCCAACTGGAAAGACATTAATTCATTAAATACATAGTGTGATAAGTAAATGAAGATTATTAGAACCATATAATACATTGACTTGATACATTTCAAACAATCTGATCATATAAACACTGGGTCAGATCATTTGCATGAGGAAAAAAAGAATAAAAGTTCAACTAAAAAATATAGAAGGAAAGAAAAATCAAAGATAATAGAAAAGATAATATACAAAACAATATGAAACCACCTTAAATTATAAAACAATATTACCAAGGTTGGTTTAAGTTGAGAACAATCTGTTTTTTGGAGTAAATAACGAGGGTTTAAAGTTTCAGATAGCCAAGGCTAAAAATAAACCCTTCAAAACTTGTACAAACTGAGAACGATGGATGCCTTTCATTCATCTCTTACTTTTTCATATAAAAAAATGTTCCAAACAAGTAACTATTTGAACAGTTTGTTTGAAATGTATGGTTCTGAAAATCTTTGACTTCTTATCACACCATTCGAACATTGAATTAAAACAAAAATATTTTATTAGAGTGAAAATTATGAACAATCGAGAAAACATAATAATAATAATGTAAACTTTGGTATTGAAACAGAGTTGTCAGAAGTGAGATACATTGTCAACATTTAGTTTTTCAACTCATTTAAAGATGTATTGCCAACAGATATCTTTCAGGTGAACTATCCCGTCTCAACAATAATTTCACATTGGAGATAGACTGATAAAATGTAAGGAACAAGGCATTGAGCCCTACAGAGTTCATCAATTCCTTCGTAATCATATATGCCTTCATTTAAATACCGCTTTATGAAAGGGAGCTGAATGAATTATAACCTATGTCAGGTCATTAAACTAATTTTATAGAGATTGCCTTAATGAAATTTTACAAACACTCTATTTCATCAGTTTACTCGCCTAATATCTAGCAATCTTAATGCAGAAACTGTATTTGTTCACTTTTTTCAATATTGATACAGACGTCCCTAAAAGTTGTTGGGAGTTAAAACATCGTTATCCTTCAGCTGATGATGGTACATATCAGCTGTTAATTGAACAATCATTAGTTTATGTAAGTTGAATGTTATCGCCTACTGTTTAATAATAATTATTATTATTATGTATAGATTACTATTTGGTTGTAATGAATTTTTGTCAATAGTTGAATAAACTTTCGAGATCATAAGTTTTGATAAGTTTAATGGAATGAATTTTTAATTCTTTAATTCATCAAACTGTATGTATATCATAATGTTTACTATGATATCATTTTTCTTTACAACCAACCGAATCCCAAATTTCGTATAATAACGGTATAACACCAAATTGCTTTCATTTATTTTATGATTGAATGCTCACTGTCATGTTCGCATAGTCTTTTTATGTCGATAGGATATTTTCAATCAGGTTCCAATAACACCGTTAATCTACCTAACATGACTCCTCGCGTGCTCACTATGTGAGATCTAAGATAGTCAAATATAGTCGACAACAAACCATAGGTTAAGATTTCATGTTAGTTGATATTTGTCAGTTACGTGTACCTGTTATCTTGAGGGAACTGATGTCAGTTATCTAAAAAGCTTTGCAGTAATAGCACAAAGTTGCAAAATAATCAGTTACTTAAAATAAAACTGGACAATCGACTGATGAACAGAAACTACTTACACTTGGTCAATATTAAATACAGATATAGGAAATAAGGATAAACAAAAATAGTCTGATCTCTTTTCATCATAAATTTGTATTCAAATCTCATTCAACATTCAGTACACTTGACTCCCAAATTATTTTCCAAGCTTTTATAACAAAGTATACTGACTTCATTTTAAGTGCGTCTTACATTTATTGTTGAATGCGTCAAAGTAGTTAGTAAGCACAATTTATTTCCATTACGACATATATATACCGGATAAATAGAATAAATTCAGTTCGTTAAATGATCAATAAATGAGAAGCAAATCTCGAAAGTTAAATTAATCTCCACTACTAACTAGTGATTAGCTCTGAATAGCGCATTATCAATAAGAGTGGACAATTATCACAAAATATCACAAATTGATTGAATTCCGACTCATTGTAGTAATCACTACCGTTCTGTTGGGGAATCTGAAAGTCTTAGACTGAGACTCTGATGTTGTTGTAGGCTTGTGTTGCTGGAATGTTCTAGAATAAGACGAATCAATCGTTTAATACTTCATAGTTTTCAGTGATTCACTAACCGACTGATTAATGTCAGCAGCATCTCAAGTAATAAGTTGAATTTATTATTAGTATTTAGTGGAGCTTATAATCTATTTAAATATTTTAGTCAGTATATTTGGTATGCGACTGACAGTGGAATCCTTGGAATTTTTCCTGGTGTATTAGTGGTCTGTCACCTGGATGCACCTAGATCTAAGCAGTGATATTCATGCTGTGTCAAACCCCTCTTATTTGACTGACTGTACTATTGAATTCAGATAACCAATAACTTATCTAAAATTTTGACATTTCTCAACAAGCATATTCATCACTTCGACTGATTAGTCCTTATTACTGTATACACCATCTCGAGCAGATTTACTATATATATTTAAGTCAAATTTTGTTGACATATTAACGAATTCAATTTACAACTAAAAACTATGGGACAATTTTTCTTGTTTATTCTTTTTAATTGATGACGCAATTAAAATCATACTGGTGATTTCATCGGTATAGAGAAGTGTATTCACAACCGAAACCGATGAATGTTATCAAACTTCTAATTTTCCCTATACAGAATTTCATAGTTTATTAGGATAGTTTATTGGAATTAGATATATACTTATCTTCTCATGTATTTTACAGATTTACTGTGCAAACATGGAATCATTAAATCCATCTGAATATATTAATTTACGTCAAGTTAACTATGCTTCATCATCAGAATTCTTACAACCGTAAGTATAAAATTGTATTTTACATTTGTCATTTTTTAAAAACATTCTCAGAATATTTTTTTCCAATGAACAAAGGTGTGAGTAGGATATTTGTGGCATATGATACTAGCTATGAGTCCCATTGGAAAGCATTACACTGAGATTCAGTTATATCAAACTAAGGAGTCATAAATAGGACAAAATATGCATTCAGTATTCCACCTTTAGTCACAATTCATCCAATCCATAAAACTTTTGATATATTTGATGTTTCAAGGCACGGTAAATAAATTTGTATCAACAAAAACTGATCACAATTTAATTTTCAATATCAACGATGGGATAATTCAAAATATTACTAATAACGATATAAATTGAATCGAGACGAATCTTACTAACAGTTTTAACAATTTGTTTAACAATAGAGGATGGTCAGTGTTTACATATGCTTCATTGAAACTTATTTGTAAACAACATCTTTATATCTGATAGTGTTTAGCTATTTGAATGATTATGTTTGTTTGATAATATTTAAATACATAGGGTTGAGTAGTCGTGATTTACATGGACGTATTAGTGAATTTATACCCCAATACATCTGTATTGGTTGCTTGATGCCCCTGATTCATCTTTTGGCCTGCAAATGGTCAGTTTCTTTTGGTACAAGTACGTCCTATGCGGTTTGCCTTATCAGCGCCGTTAAATCATAAGGATTACAAGCAGTAAAAGATGGTAGCTAACAGTAGAGTCCAGGACGCGAGTCTTTTTTATGACTTGTCAGCTGAGTATACCTACATCCTAGAGTAGAGGTTGATGCACATACATCCAGCTGATGAGTCCGAAATAAGATGAAACCCGCCTCTTGGATTCCACTGCTTGTAATTTTTCTGTAACCAAATAGTTTCAAAAATAAACAATTTATAATTATCAAATTTGAATGGCTGCTAAATGTTACTACTTGTTATTCTTTCTTTAAAGACAGTTGAAATAGGTTACTGGATTGACTTCAAACTTATTCTTTGTAGGTTTGTAATAAAAACAATAGTCTAAGATTAATACTTAAGTATGTTGAAGTTTTAGTCATACAACAATTAAAATCGAACTCTTGTACAAATGAACTGTGTGATAAAATATTTAAATTTTGCACAGTACGCAAGCTTTTCTATACAAATACTGGATGACTTTTTCATTTCTAAGGGTTATTCGAATCTTACCATTATTGATTCTAAAGGCTGTAAATGATGAGGTTCTTTGTATATATGTGGTTACTAAATTGATTGCCTTACTAGTTTTATTTATTCACAAGCATTTTAAAGACAGTTAGACAAAAGAACACAGCGAAATCTATGATGTGTGTTTCGCCTCTTTGACGGCTCGTCAGATAGGTATAAGTACAAGCAACCCATTGTTTATATTTACATCGAAATTCGAACCCAGTACCTTTTTGGTTCAAACTTTCTGCACGTTATCACCTTCGCTACTGGGTTTTAATAGGCACAGGCGTATTTAACGGACTCCAGTGGTAAGTGAATAAGATATTGAGAGCTTGAGACAAAAGATGCTAGGTTCTAATCCCGCTATAGAAATATACACTAGGATGTTTGTACATCCGGGTGACAATACATAACCAGGAAGAGATGAGAGTCGTGGATCCCACTGCTGGTTATTATACAGCTCTGATTATAATATTCGGTGGGTTGATAGGTTTTTGGTAGTGCTGTATTTTCTATTCAGTTTAACTGAAGAACCTTCATTATCGCTCTGAACGATATCATCAAAGCTTACTGCACCATTGAAATCATCTAGGTAAGCGGAAAATCTCAATCATAATTTTCGCTGACTGATAATGTGATTTTTAATTTATCTAATAACACTGTTTTAAAACCACTGATTGTTAGTCAGTGTTTTTTACATTATTATACAAAGTGAGTATTTTCAATGTTTATTGAAGAGCTATAGTTATGTTTTGATGTTCTGTGAAACAACAGTGAAACTCTAACTTTGAATAATCTGAAATTCAATATATTTGTGTAATAAATAGAACGACTGGTAAAAAACTAATATGCCTCAATAATTTACTTGATGAATTAATGAACTATTGAAAATTAAACAAAACTCAATAACTGTTTAAATCTAATCTTGAATTAGCCACCAAATACATTTATCAAAATAACAATTTAATATAAATAATTAATTAATTAGTTTACTTGGCAAAGTAAATTTATGTGACAGTTAATTAAATTATATTCAACTGTGTACACTTCATGGTGTTTTAGAAATACGAATGCTAATTATTTTCTTGACGAACTTGCATTTATTTTCTTTTTGCGATGAGACTTTGATTTACCGTGTTATTGATTTTGTCAGAAGAAAATGTATAAATCATTTTATAACTATTTAATTGAATTTAAATCACTGTTCAACAGTTTGAGAAGACTGAGGCAGGCTCAATAGATTGTATTTAGCCAATTTACACTCTTAGTCAATTAAAAACGATAACATTGCATTGAACACTCCATTTGCACACCATCTTTGAGTCCTGACTTCCAACGCTCCAGCCTTCTTCCATTCCTGCTGTTGCTTCCTTTACTTCCTGTTGGTGCTCTATTTCTTTCTTGCTTTTGCTCTATTTGCTTTCCGTTTTCCTCTTCTGACCGTAAGACTTCTTCTTTCACGTCCATTCTTATACTACTTATATCGTTCGTATAAGTAGCACACACCACAAGTTTGTAATCATTTTATTTTGAATTGAAATTTCGCTTCTGGTTAAAATACAACACATATCGTGAGTCTCCTATTGAAATACAAAAACACTAGGTTCTATGAATCAATGAATGATCCCATGTTAAGTAACAATTATCTATTCTAACCTTACTAATAATTCAATTGAAGATGAATTCCTGAATTTCCGGTGAAAAGTCACTGCTGTCGCCGCCGAATGCGTTTGTAGGTCGTCGTTCTATACGGTGAATCGACTGAAGCTTCAGACGTAGTATTCCTGAGCCCCAACCAAATTAATTAGTAATTTTGCGGTTTGAGCAAGACATTCATTCTCTGGGTTGTAAGTGATCACTGCTAGAGAGTAACGATGGAGGAAAACTGTGTAAATCGTGTTAAATGAAATTCATCTGCTGATCGATGCCAATAGCATGTTAGTGATAATTCCTCAGTGAAGGCAAACTGTTATGTCGAAAATCCTCAATAAACTGATGACAAGATGAAGCAACAAAGATATATATAATTTAAAACCCAAACTGATCTCTGTTAAAGGAAGATTAAACAATAATCAGTCAGAGATTTTAATTATACATAGAAATCATGAGTGAATCATTATCACACCAACATTAGAAAGTTAGAAGCAGTGGACAGCTGTTTCGTTCTGGTATGGGATTCATCTGCAATGCGGATTCACGACTCCTACTCTACCCAGGACCTTCGGTTTTGCACGAGAACACTTCATTTCTGCACCACCATCCAACGATGTTAATGTCCAACTCAGATCAATCTAAGGATTCTGTGCAACCTCACTCACTGTCTTCGGTAGTTACTGCCTACAACCGACACGGCTGAACTTGACTGTTCACGTCGTTTGTTACACTAAAACATTGAAGATGTTATCTACATATATACACATGCAGTTTAAACATTACTGTGACATTTCGTTGACAGTTAATGATTTTCAAACTAGAATGTTCACACATATATTGTAATTTTTGAAAAGGATATCATGTATTAATTTTACTCAAAAATATGTGTTGATTGAATTTTTTGTCAGAGAAGTTTTGTTCTGGACAATTATTTTAAGATGATAATAGATTCACAATTAGTGAAATATTGTTTCATACCTAATAGAAGTTAAGTAATACAACAAGAACTGTAATTTATAAGAAAAAATAATTCCAAATTTGACAGTTAAATTGAATGAAATAAGTAGTAAATTCTGGCAAAGTTAGATGACAACATTTAATAGAACTTCATAGTTGTTTTTACTTATTGAAATTAAACTAAATGCACTAGTGTATTGTGATAATATCTTGATGAATTTGATATTATATTTTCGACAGAATGTTGTAACTTACAGATTTTATCACAGAAATGAATTTCTAATTTAAAATATTTTGTATCATTTAACCGAACTAATTTTTTTGTCATAATCCTGCGAGTTACGGAAGTCGCGGATAAGCACTGCTAATGAGTTCCATACCAAGAGGAAACATCCGTCCAGTGCTTCCGGGTTTCTGATGGTGGTCGAACAATGACTGATACATGATTTTAATGTTAATCAACGATCTTCACAATGCTGTGATGTTTGATAGATTGTAGTTTTGTAGGTTACCCGGCAGCCTACGAAATGATTATATAACTATAAGCCTTGTTAATTACTTTTCATATTAAATAAGAAAATCGATTTTTTTTAATAACCTTAAAAATTGGCTATTTTGAGTTTTACTTCAATATGTATAAATAAGTTATGCGATTGAAATTGGAATTAGGATATGTATTCGTAAATAAAGGATTTCTTTCGGAGCAGAGTCTGTGATGATGACTATTACCATTACAGAAATTAATAATTGTTGTTCAAATAGTGTCTTAGTCAAACGATAAACTTGGTCTTTTGTGCCATACATAAGGATCAGTGACAGTGATACATGGCTTATCAAGCCTCTAACTAGTAGTCTACACACTTAACTTGCATAAATCTCACTATTTCATAATCAGCCGATCCCGCAATTATTTGCTATGAAACGTTATATCAAACGTTTGAAAAACAATGTTCATTGCCCTGTATTCTGTAAGATTATTTGAAAACTATGGAATAAACTGATATTAATCTAAATATTTGACACGTACCTTGATTTCTTCTCAAACTCAAAGGTATCCCGATTCAAAATGGTGTCCTTCAGTCAATCAAACTGTTTCAATGTTCAATTCATCTGAAAATATTCACCAAGCTAATTCAAACGTTGATTTATCGACAGATATTACTGAATCACTTTTAACTAGTATGGAAGTTACTAGCGTCAACTGTCCCAATTGTCCGACAGTGTCAAATTTAGCATCCAAAACATTTTATCATAAAATTAGATTGGATATATACAGTTTGCAAGTGAAAAGTTAGTTGATATATTATTTTTTTATTTTGATAATGCTTGCTTATGAATAGACAGATAGGTAAATGACATACTATGGTTGTTTAGTTGCATAATGAGCATCAAGATGTTCTCAATAAACCGAAACTATGTACTATACCATCGTTCAATCATTTTTACCATATGGAATCACTTCTTCTGATACAGCACATTTCATAACAATGACTAGTATTCACATGGGCACTTAAACAAATTCCAAATTCAACTAGTGTAATACACGATTGTCTCATGAACCTATTTTAATTTTTGACGATTTTCCTGAAAAACATCGGAAGAGACTGCCAGGAAAAAACATGAAAGTTATTTCTTAATTACAACGGCAAAGATTTACACGAATATAATTTCCTTTACAAAATTCAACAAACATTACAGAAATACAAATTATAAGAAGTGTATTATTATTATTATTACAGTTTAAGTTGATGAAGTTCTCTTAGATTAGCTTTACCAAATATTATTAGTTCTGTTACGGACATTCAAGAAGGAATTTTACAGTAGTTTCTGATCAGATTAATGAATTTCAATAACCCGATTTTTGTTTTCTACAAGGCGTATTCGACAAAATCAATAGTTATCGCTTTTTGTAAACATGGAAAACGCTCCCCGAATTACAAAATTTCTGAGGAGAATAAAAGTGATTTGTTTTACTACTTAAAAATTATGACCAAAAGTTTACTTTCATTGATCATAGTCTTAAAGATTTCTATAGGATTTCATCATAAGGAATTTCAAGAGGGAAATTCAAAACACTATCTGAAACCCATTAATTCAAAGAAGTGAATAGGACACGCTCTAATGAAAGCACCCAACTGCATCACAGGACAAGCCCTCACTTGGAACCCCCAACGACAAAGGAAAAGAGGAAGGTCAAGAAACACATTACTCCGAGAAATGGAGACGGAATTGAGAAAAATAAACAAAAATTGGACGGAGCTGTAAAGGAAGGCCCAGGGCTGAGTTGGTTGGAGGATGCTGTTCAGCAACCTATGCTCCATTGGAGGTAACAGACGTAATCAAGTAAAACACATCGGGTAACGATCTGAGTGATTGAAGTGCAAGTAACCTAGAATACTAATTTTCCTCCAGTCTTATATGAAATTCATTGACGTTGAGGTTTCTGTGAATATTTTGTTTATAAACATTATTTTTATTACGATAATTACCTATCCTACTGAACGGCTGTCTTATCACTTCAATTAGATACAAGGTACATTAATTATCCAATTTGATAGTCAGCTAACAATCGGCCGCATAGTATTATTTTCTATTATTTGTTGATCAGCATTCTTTCACCTAATTTTAACAGTTCACACTTCAATTTTATCAAATCATATTATATAGCATTAAATCAGTAAGATTATAATTTCCTATTCAAACTAAGTGATTTTCTCTTTTACGATTAATACAAATAAAAAAACTAACCTGTTTGATGAATTAACTTTTCTCAACAATTTTTTTTAGTCGATGACAGCCGATTCTCTCATACTCTCGGTCCATCAATGATGCCATATGGGACTGCAAAAGATTGTTTCTCATCAACCACTTGTCCTCAGGTTAGAAATTAACTGAACACTTTCGATTTATATTGTTTACATTGACGATTTTACTACAGTAGCTATAATCACGATAAATCGACGTACAATTATGTGATTATAGATTCACTCTTGATGAACTAACTATTTCGTAGAAAGTTTTTACGATGATAAGAAATGATCATTTAGTCTACAATACAATAAATGAATAAGCAATTAGTGGTATTAAAATAATTTTTTAGCTACTTTTGTATCTAATTTTGCAACGAAGACCGGATAGATCTCAAAGCGATCGTTGTACAAAAAGCCAACCTGGAACAGGCAGAATACGAACTTCAAAGGTTGTGTTATGCAGAGTAAGAAGATAAATTCGATTCATTCTTTATCCTCAAAAAACCAGACAAATATGCACCAAAGACACATTAGCTGATGAGCTAAATGTAATAAGATGAACACTTCTGGGGAATGGCTCCCCATCTAGGTTTATCAAGCATAATCTAAAACCCAAACGTTGAGTTGAAAGTATCCCAACTATTACGAAGAAAGATTTATTCCTGAAAATTGAATTCAAGGGAGATACATCAGCCAATAAACTAAAGAACCGACTATTCAAATCCCTGAAGAAGACTTTTTATTCATATGAGCAACGAACTGTTTTCTCCAAAAAAAATTCGTTCAGGAGTGTTTTGAAGATAGGCTGCAGCTTCGGGCCACCTCACTGCGTACTTAACAGTTTACTTTGTCTTGTGGAACAAGTTACAATAGACTTACAAAGCGTACACTCGTTGAATGGACATCTAAACACTATCCTGCATGGTTATCTAAAGTAGAAGACAGATCGCTCAGTTTTTGAACACATGGTCAATACAAGTTACAACCTCCTGCGTGATTCTTCCTTCAATATTACCTATAAGGTGAAAATAACCGGCTTAAAATTGGACGAGGAATTAGTTCACAGCTGATGCCTTAGCAGTTCATCATATTTAACTCAACCTATCAATTCAGAAGAGCTATGTTCAATCTCTTACTTTCGCATGGTCATAGCACCACTTTAGATTTTTACAAATTACTAGCGCTAATTATTATCTTCGTCTTCTTCTCCTTTACAAAGTAGACAATTGTCTTTAATTATTATTCTACAAACTTTTACCTCTTATTGCTATTACATAGTATAAGCTCTTGATGATTTTTGATTACTTTGCCAAAGATATAACCTATTTTTATTTAATGCTTGAAAAAAATTATTTACACTGTAGTAATACTCTTCCATTTACAAATTATTATTACTATTATGTTGGATTTGTATCAATGTATATTTCAAAAAACCAGCATACTGATTATTACAACAATTTGAAATCAATATCATTCCCGATGTATGTACTATATTTCAAAAGTATTGGTCAGTATATATTAAATCATCAAGTCACTTATTAAAAATTCATTATTAATAGTTGTTGATTTGCAATTACTGGTTACTATTTGCTCTTCAACGTTTAACACCTAATTTTTCTCAAATTTATTTTAACTAGGGACAATTTCAAATTGATCTGAGAGGTACAAATTTCAAAGTGAGCGTTAAAACACGTTGGACCGTTAATAAAATTACTGACGGTGTATCTCATATTCATCGACTCCAAGTAAGTTCATTTGCATAAAACAGTATATGAAGTAATTGAGTTATAAATTGTTAATGATATAATTTTGTGTTCAATATCTTATAAATCAATATGCCAGTATTTATACTTTAACTCGGTAATAATAACCTAAATAATTGGTAATTCGACCCTAATTCACGAACGGAAAAGGATATTTTTAAAGTTAACTACTTTTTAGGAATTCAGATCATTAATAATCATCCAATCAACTTTTTGAAATGATTTTACCTTGAAAACATTTACGACCAACATTAGAAACCTGGAAGCACTAAACGGAAATTTCGTCCTAGTATGAGACTCATCAGCAGTGCAATCCCATGACTCCTGCTACTCGTAGGATTCCAACCAAGGACCCTCGGCCTTGCGGGCGGAGACCTAGCCTCTGGACCACTGGGTCCGCACCCAACGATGTTAATGTCTAACACTGATCAATCTAAGGATTTTGCGCAACCTCACCTGTTGTCTTCAGTAGTAACTGTCTACACACGACAGGGTTGAACTCCACCAGTCACATCTTATTATTACTGTTATGATTAGTTAAATTAATATCATTTATTTACATAAAAAAAGGAAAAACAGTTCAATCAATAGGATATTCTTTCAAATGATTTCATTTACTCAAACGGTACAATAGTATTTAAAGATATTTATCGATCATCATTTTATTCACTGCCATGTATATTCATTTAATAGTAGTAAAGATTTAGTGATATAAATGTTCGATATAGTAATAATCCACTTGTGAATATTGGAAAAAACATTTGTAAAGAGTGATTAGCTACCATTAATCGTCATTCACGAAGTTTTTTTTAATAACAAATACATACAACTTATATTTTAATTACATCTTGCTCAACCTCCAGTGAATACATAAGAAGGGAAATATAGCAACCAGCATGGTGACTCAGTATGAATTGTTCAGTAATTCGAATCATAATAAGATTTACACAGTTCATAAAACGCTTGAATGTATTTGGTAAACGCATAAAACTAACCAATTAGGACATATATTAAACAACAAGCTTTATCGCAATATTTTTCTATTTTCGAAAACATCCGACTCAAAAGATTCAACGCACAACTATCTAGTATAAAGTAAGTGCATCTTCATCACTAGAAAACTGTTCACTAATTTCAAGTTAGACATCAGAACCTTTGGATGTTATAACATTGTTCTAGAGGTTAAGAGTTAGCTCTCGAGACCGAAGGTCCACGTTCCAATTTCCTTTTATGGCATCGTAGGTACGCAGTGCCGACGAGCCCTGAATTCAGAGCAAAACATGTTAAACTAGCCAAGCTTTAAAGTATAAACCACTGGAAAGTAACTTACGGATTTCCAGGTAATCTGGTCATTAAATAATCTGAAGTTCTTGCGTTTAATCACTGTTTACTTGATGAGTACATCGTGCTAAGGAGTTACATGATAGGTCCAATGCTCTATCGTTCTCAATAGTTGTCTAACTAAAGTCACAATATCTGGTTAAGAAAAAAGACAATGTAGTTTAGGCAAAAAGTGAATACTATCCTGATAAAAATGAAACATTTCAAAACCATAAAAATTACACATGAGTTAAAATTTATATGATCACTTTATTTGATTTATCCCTTCCTTTAGGATGGTCAATTAATATTTGGTCGGTGTGGAGGAAACTGTACAGGATGTTGGCCTCAATCTGGATTATTTCTTGAACTTAAACCAGACTGAAGCATAAATTACTCATTGAATCGTGTACAAAATGATAATACTAATAAGAAAATCAAATTAATAATTTGTTAACATATATACATAAACAATTTTCATAAATTAGGCAGCTTTAAGAAACATTGATAATAGACCACAATTCATACAAACAAATTCAATCAATAAATTCTATTTTAAAGAATATCAGTAAGAGTAGGACTCTGGAATCATTGTTTTTTTTTATTATTGTAAATAAAGCTATTTGAAATGAATAACAATTGAGTTAATTGTCTATTGAAAGAGTCAATTTATTCAATTTTGTTCCCGTCTATTTAGCTCATTATGCTGAAGTTTATCTCTTCTTCAGTTTATTTTTATTTTGAAACAGTAATATAATTTAAACGAACAGAATGATGAATTAGAAAATTTAAAATATGAATTCTTTTTTTTTTCTCTCTAATTAGTAAAATATTGTTTTGTTTTGTTTTTTCGGCTGGGAATAGTTTAGTTATCTTTTCCTATTCTCAAATTATTCAAATTAAATTGTTTTTTCAAAGATTCTATAGTAGTAATACATTGTTAAATTATATTATTCTTAGTTGAATTTATAACAGAACAAACAACACTATAAAAATAAAACTACCTCTATTCTTGTTAAATTAAAGTTTGAATAATTAATAGTCAAGGTAATTTATTAGTTACATTGTTCAATTTATTCATTCAAACAAAAAGAAAGAAAATGAATTCTATCCAATATAATTTAGTGATTTTACTGTCTCTTCATTTAAATCTCAGTTTCTACATTAGTTCGAATTGAGCACATTATGATAGATAACATTTTTGTAAATGTTCCAATCAGTCAATAGCATATGAAAAGTTTTGACATTTTAATATTAATAAAGTTTCATATCTACAAAGCTTTGAATGTTGTCAAATAAAAATTATCCTTTCAGTTGAATACTGGTCCCTAAACATAGTACGCATGACTACAAATATTTTATTATGATTATTATTGTCTAACAAAAATGTTACATTCCAATTCTATGGGACTTTATCAATTCAATGTTCAATTTTTGTGCAACTGTTTTTAGCAATGTTCATTCACTATAATGTACAAAAAATGTCTTCTTTACAACAATCATTCAAACTATTGAACACTTTAAAGAAAACAAAACTAGAAAAGTATTTTAATGGTCTATGTGGAAGGAATGGACAAAAATGATCAGGATTATCAATACTACAATTGTTACAATCGTGGGACTTGATAATGTTACTGTCTTATTCAATACTGTTAAATCTATATCTCTTATTATCACTCTACTTAGTTTATTGATATTGTTTCATCTTAACATGAATACTCTTCGATTTTAAAGCTTCTTAATCATTATGAAGTGCAAACTTGGTGGAAGAAGAATCATCAAATGAATTTATCTAATCACTAGTTCAACACAATTATCATACACTCGTTACTATTATTAATATTATCCTATTCATAATTGATTCTTTCCAACTGTCGTAAACAGATACACTGATTCAGTGGTACAAAATAAAACATTTCCAAATTTAGGTAACATTTTCCATGTTACCTTGTTGTAATTTTTATTTCGGAGTGTTAAATTTTTACTAAAAAAGAATTTGTTTATGTTACTCTTTTTCAGACCAGTTTTTTTAATGATAAAAACCTTGTTTTTATTATTAGGAATATTTACTTTTTCAAGCGTTCAATGTGAAATTATTTTACATTGAAATGATGATCAGTAGAAGAAACCTTTTATGTTACAAATTCTTAATGTACGGTTTTGCACATAATATTTTTTTGCTAATAGATATATTTGTTCTATTTCACTGTGTGTGAGCATAAGTTTATGTGTATTGAATGACGAATAATAATTTTATTCGATATATATATATATATATATATATATATATACTACTGTGTAATATGAATTTATATATATATATATATGTATTAGTGGATGACGAATTAACATGTATTCTTGTTATTTATCTGAATTGACTTAACCTTGAATATTGTAACTGAGGCTATTTACTATCTTACTAGCTTCAAACAATTATAACGTCATAAAAAGTGATCAAACGACTTAAGTCTAAATGGCTAATTACCAATTAGGAAACTGGAAGAATTCGGTTTACTATTATGTGGCGACTAATCCCAGTAAGGAAAGTTACAGGTACATTATTGAAACTGCTCATTACTTAACACTTCAAAAAATTATATATTTCGTCACATGTTATGCATATAGGATTCTCAAGAGGGTGATGAAGTTTATCTAAGACAGCTGTGAATTACTCATACAGAGAGATACCAATGTCATCATCTCATGGTTCAGTGATTTACGGACTAAATCAAATATTCTGATCATTTGTAGGCAGAGTATCAGCTCTTTCTAATCCTGTTGGAAATTTACTTCATAAAATTTATAACAAACTTGATTACTACCTGAGATCATGCATAAGTTCTCAAAAGTAGTTTAAAATTCCGCATATTTAGGAAGCAATGACCGGAAGTCCAATTGATGAAATAACCCTTATTAACATTATTCTCGTCTGGTACTATCAGAGACTACATTTTTCTGTTATAGACCAGATATGTAGTGTTCCTCTGTCGGTAATTCTCAGTACGCATTAAACTTTGCCAAATTTAAATAATGTTAATCAAGATTTTTCTATCAAAGATGGTCAACAGCTTTCGATAATCATTAGCACCTAGTTCTAACACTGTATAAACAACATTAAGAACTAACTACATTTTTGAGCGTAATATTGAAAACAGGATTTTCTTATATTGTACCAGAAACTCCGGTTTAAATAATTTTAAAATGTACCATTTTATCAGCATTCACAATAATTACTGTTTGCTGTGACTGTTATCAACAGAAAAAAATACTGATATGCATTGGCGTTGTAAAATTGAAACAGCCTTGTTCCTCAGTTCAAAATATAATCAATTTTATTCGTTTGAAACAGGTGGAATCTGCTTCATGGCTCATTGAATTATCGTTGGACATCAAGTATGTTGAAAGCCACCAAGAGACACAAATGTTTTTTGAGATGAAAGTTTCTATAGGCATTTCACAGATCGCTGTCAGAATAGCTTACTTCAAGAACTGATATCACTTAGCGATAAACTGAAAATCAGAGAGTACAGGACAGTTGCTTTTTCTAGTTATGAGACTGCTTTGCAACACCCATCCATGATCTTTTCCGAACCGAACCCTGAACCTTAAAATATCACAGCCAGAAAAATGATCTCGCATCCAGAGGTCTAACTTGGATGTAACGGTCATTCGTTATCATCGACTGGTTGACAATTTTATTATTCTGAAAATGAAGAGATATAAAAAAAGATAAGACACATGTTTATCCTCTCTTGCTCTCCATTCGTTCCTCAACAAATCTCCACGATCTATCTACTCAGCTGAACCTGACAGATTACTTACATATTTTCGCATGTTACCCTCAATGGAGCATAGGCCGCCGACAATCATGCTCCAACCTACTCTGTCTTGGGCCTTCCTTTCCAGGTCTGTCCAATTTTCGTTCATTCTTCTCTTATCTTCCTCTATTTCTTGACGTAATGTGTTTCTTGGCCTTGCTCTCTTCCTTTGACATTAAGGATTCCAAGTGGGGGCTTGTCTTGTGACGCAGTTGGGTGCTTTTCGCACCTGTCCACTTCCACTGCTTCTTCCCGAATTCTTCCTCCGCTGGAATCTGGTTTGTTCACTCCCACAATCTGTTGTTGCCGATGGTGTCTGGCCAACGGATCCTCAGTATCTTGCATAGACAACTCTTATAAAACACCTGCATCTTTTGGTTGATGGCTTTCGTAGTTCTCCGAGTTTCCACTCCATACAATTAAAATGTCTTGACCTTCGTATTGCAAATTCTGACTCTGATTTTGGTTGAGTTCCAAATGTTCTTCAGTTGTAGAAATGCTGCCCGTGCTTTGCCAATCCGTGTCTTAAAATCTGCGTCAAATCCACCGTGCTCATCATTGATGCTGCCCAAATATGTAAAGCTTTTTACGTCCTCTTAGGCATCCCCGTCAAGTGTGATTTGGTTCGTGCTCGTTGTGGTTTTTTCGGGGAATCTTGCTTTCCCCTTTGTGTATGTTGAGATCTGCTGCTACACTGGTCGTCTTCTCTTGCATCTGTTGTTTCGTCTGGGATCGAAGAGCCAGATCATCTGCGAAGTGTCGATCGTCCAGCTGCATCCTAGTTGTCCACTGTATCGCGCGCTTCCCTTCAGATATTGACGTCTTCATTATCCGGTCGACCATCAGGAGACGGAGAAAGGGTGAGAGTAAGCAACCTTGCCTCACACCAGCCTACACATGGGACAAGTCTGTGAGCTGTCCTCCATTAATGATTTCGCAGTTTAATGCATCATAAAAATTCCGTATGAAGTTGACTATCTTCTCATACACACCGTGATGTCGAAGACGCCTACATCGTGTTGTCCTGTCCACGCTATCAAATGTTTTCTCGCAGTCAATGAAGTTGATGTAGAGTGGTGAATTCTATTCAATTGATTGTTGCACAATCATCAGTACTGTCGCGATTTGGACAGTACATGATTGATCCCTACGGAATCCATACAGTTGATCTTGAAGTTGAGCATTTACGAAGTCCTTCATTCTGTTTAACAAGACGCCGTTGAAGACTTTTCCTGGCATTGAGAGAAGAGTGATGCGTCTGTAGTTCCCACACTTGTTGAGATCTCCTTCCTTTGTATCTTGATCAGGTATCCTTATTTCCAGTCTGTTGGTACTTGTTCTTCATCGCAAATCTTGTTGAAGAGAATGTGAAATATTTTTGCAGTTGATGCCTTGTCTGCTTTCATTGCCTCTGCTGGAATGTTGTCTGGTCCCGCTGCTTTCTGCTCTTGATTTGTCTGATGGCCATACTAATCTATTCAACTGTTGGTGGGGGGCAACACTGATTGGGAGATCCGTGGATGCCGCTACGATGTTGGGTGGGTTCGTTGGTGCCAATCAATTCAAGCATTCTGCAATGTGCTCTACCAACCTGTTTTGCTGTTCTTCATTGTTGGTGATTGCCTTGCCTTGCCTGCTTTTCACGAGTCGTTCGGGTTTACGATAATTTCCAGCGAGGTTCTCTGTTGTATCGTACAATTGTCTCATGTTTCCTTCTCTCGTAACCTTTCCAGCTGTCACTGCTAGATCTTCCACATATTTTCGTTTGTCGGCTTTAATGCTCCTCTTCACCTGCATGTCTGCTTCTGTGTATTCAGCTTGTGCCTTAACTTTCTCTGCTCTTGTTCGGCTGACACTGATTACTGCCTTCTTGTTCCTCCTTTCTTCCATTTTTTGAAGAGTATCAACAGAGATCCACTCCTTGTGATGGTGCTTCTTGTGGCTCAGAACCTCGTTACATGTTGAAATGATTGCCTCCTTGATCCCTTTCCTGTTGTTCTTCATGGTTGTTTCCTCTCCACCGAGTAGATAATGAATGAGCTGAAACCTATTGCTGAGAGCTATCTTGAATTAGTTGCGTTTTCCAGTATCCCGTATTAAGCTTTTGTGATTTTGTCCTCCCCGCTTTCCAATGTTTCTTCTCTTTCAGTTTCATTTTGGCAACCAGCAAGTGGTGATCTGAGGCTATATCAGCTTCTCTCTTGGTTCTCACATCTTCAGTGGTCCTTCTGAACATTTTATCGACGCAGATATGGTCGTTTCATTTCCATGTGGTGTGATGGGGGAAAATCCACGTACCTTTGTGCATGCGTTTATGTGGCAATATTGTGCCGCCTATGATCACTTTGTTCGAGGCACATAGTTTTGCGAATCTCTGATCATTTTCGTTGTTTTTTGCCGGATCATGTCGTCCCATGATGTCTTCACATCTACTGTTGTCCATCACAACCTTGTCATTTAGGGCTCCCATCAGAATCGTCAAACCCTTTGATGAGCATCTGTCAACGATTGACTGCAGCCTTTCGTAGAATTCTAGTCATTGTAGTCATTAGTGGGTGAATAGCATAGGCTGACGTCTATTCTAATGTCCTCTTTCTTTGTTTTGAAATATGCTTTGATGATCCTGGGTACATGAGATTCCCATACAAAAGAATAAATTTACTGGCGATTTCGTGGCATCTAAATGATACTAAAATCGTGCTAGAAAAGAGGGGTGAAACTACGGACAGTGGAGCCAAAATGGCAGAAACACTAACGGAAAGTTTGGGTGTACAGAGTAGTAATGAACAAAGAGGCTCAGTAAAACAATCACCGGTACAATTGGTTACAATAATGATTGTTTCTATCAAACCAGTCGCGTTCTCTTTATAAAAGTGGAGTCACTACAGACTTTTCGTTAGATTTTAGAACATGAGGGTACTCTCCAACAACTAACTACTTTTGTATTCTTTGATCTTAAGACATCATTCGACTTAGTCAACTGAGAGGTAAGATGCCAGTATGTCATTAAAAGGTGAACCAAAGTACATCAAGCTTGTGTAGCCTGTCCACTTAAGCACTACTAGTATAGTCAGAACTTACGTCGAACCGTCATCAAAATTATGTTCGTCAAAGCTGGCCAGCTTCTCCATTTCTATTAGTCACAAGCACTCTTTTAGAAAAAACTCTTGTCATCTAAATTCTCAAGGATCGTTCTTTCATCGGGAGAAGCACTTACTGACTTAGAATATTTAGATGATCTAGTTCTGTTTGGTAAATACGCTAACAAAACTCGGCCTTTTGATGGTCATAGGCAACAACTCTAGTATGTTTGGGATGCAGTTCTCTTCCTCTAAATGCAAAATGTTACTTTACGTTTGGCCTAAATTAATCATAGGGAATGAGGTAGTTAAATGAGTCGTTTTATTTATCTTCCAAGTACCACCAACTGGTATCTGTCGAAATTTCAACACGGATTCGAAAAACTACATTAGAATTTGCCAACTTGCATCACCTGTGGTGTATACGGGATGTCTGTTTGCCAAACAACGAACTAGTTTACTGCACAACAGTCCATTCGCTTCCACATTATCGGTAGGAAGCGTTATCATTAAAAGTAGTGGCTACTCATAGGTTACTAGCATTTGATTATGTATCGTCGAATCATCTACCGTGTATTTTAGGACCACCGAGTGGGTAACGCTGACACTAGGCATAGGGTGTGAAGTAAAGTGACTGGGAAATGTGCTATGTAAATCTAACAACCACCAATCTCTACGGGTGTGCTATCTAGTGACCAAATCATGAAGTCATTGACAACCTAATGAGGCATGTCAGGAGATGGAAACTGCCTGGTTTTGGTTCGCGTGATTATCGTAACTAGTAGTCAGAGACTTTACATGACATGGCTCATGATCGTTTAAAGTGGCACAGGTGCATTGCCTTTCCACGTTCTCAGTCCATGAATCATAAAACCTTCTCTGATCTTTTCACTTTTTTCTACACCTCATCTTTCTTATTACTACTAATTTTACTAATCTAAGATTTATCTTGATAACCTTATCTCGCTGGACTGATGTAATGTAGTAAATTGGGCCGATGCACGTGTCAGGTTCTACCCTGTACATGGCTGACTGACTGGCATCAAACAAAAATCCGACTGGTAACACCGATCCTAACCAAGAGCAAATAAAACTTTTTGTCTTAATAGGGGTTTGAGATGAAGGATGTCGTTATTTCTCAAAAACTGAAAAAACCTAAACAGATTCACTACGTAAAATCTCTGTAATGTTGCTTTTTCCCCCATAAAATATTCATTTGAAATACATGTTAGCTGATTGGTTAACAACGAGCTAAGAAAAATTGTCACAGATATTTTAAGAATTACACAAACTCTTATGAAATACTCTTATGAAATATTCCTTATAATTCATATGAAATTTAAGCAGTCAATCAATCAATAACAACTTGAAATACTTTGTGGTAGAACAAAATCAAAGCACAAAACAAATAATTAACATGAACCGATAGCTATATATATAAATAACTCGAGTATAATTTAAATACAAAAATACCCAGCTTTATACATTGACACAATTAATAAGAAGTTCACCGAATTCTATAGTATTATCATAAAATGAACAAGAAACTACAGTAGATTTAATAAAATCCGTTTTTGTTTGATTCATTTCATCATTGAATAATAACCAGTCAATACCATAAGCTAATTGTCCATTAGTCGAACGAAATTTATACACAGAATCTATTTCATTTTCACAATTAAACGGTTTTTGCAATGGTAAATGTGTAACAGCGAAACCATCATATATTGCACTGACTATAACATAATTATATGAATTCCATTTATGACGCCAAACTCCACCACCGAATTGACATTTCTGTATAGGGGTAGTAGTAGTAGTAGTAGTACGGAACTTGTCAGATGACTGAATCATACGTAAATCCCATATGCACAAAGTTTCATCATAACTGCAACAATATTAATATATATATTTGACAATAAACCAAAGATTACTTGATGATAATAATAACAAAAATAAAACAAACTATTAAAACTAAACAACTTATTAGCATTAATTAAGTTCAAAATACATTGATAGTACAAGCTGAAAAAACTCAAATGTACTGTATTCAAGTGTTACAGTAAATAGAGTTCAGGCAGAAAATTTTAATATGGAACATTAACAGTTTAGATTTAATGAATTCATTCGTTAACTAGGCACAAAATTCATGTACTATGATTCTAATCATAATCTAGCTGTATGTCAAGTGGTCGTTCAAATGGACATAGACAAAGTGGAGTGTTTTGAAGCCACAAGATTTAGTGTGTGAAAATTGAAACTTTTAAGCATTGTGTTACTCTGCTTTACATAAAAATGAAACATTAATTGTCAAAATATAAGTTTAGATTCGAAAAGTTCTAAATAGATGGAAGTTTAATCTAGAGGTTAGACGGGAAACTGATCATTCCAGAAATCAAAATATATAGAATATTGAAGGAAATTCATGTCAGAAAGAAACTTTATTTATATATACACTGAAGACTTAATTTGAATAAATTAACGTTCGTTTTTATTTATTTTCTTCGAACGATGGCACTTAGATAAAATGTATTGTCTGTTCGAAAAATGTAATAATTTCAATAACATCATTGAAATTAATTTAATTTGAAATGGTTTGGAATATTCCGTTATTGGGCAAACTGCCTCAATATTATAACCTTTATGAAACAAGTCAAAAATATAAAAAAAAAGAGATATTCAGAACCACGTTAATGGCTATTTGAACTCAGTAGTTAAGTAGACAACGCGATAGTGTTCGAAGCGAACAGTAATGTACTTGAGATTACTAAGACAAGTTCCAGAGCGATGAAAGTAGTAACAGTATCAATAGTAGCAGAAAATGATAAACACAGACAATTAAGATTGAAGAAGAATGAATGGACCAGAGGAATGAGAAGTATGAGATAATTTCGAAACTCAGAATATAGAGGAAAACAAAGTGGACGCATATGCATCAATGTGACTGGTTGAGAACCACAACACGTCCTAATCTGATTGCCCCTAGCTTTCCTCAGACCTAATTCTAAACTAATAAACATTGTCGATTGAGGTAGGAGGTAGTTGGATATGCGTAGTTCATGTTGCAATCCCGTCATTCAATCAAAATTCACTAACTTATCAACCAGTTTGTCATCGTTACCGAGTATATTATACATTGCCTCAGTATTTATTACTCGGTAGTCTCAACAAACGTGAGTAGCGCTTTAAACGCATCCATGATCAAACGATAGTAGTAATCCATTGAGTCACAAGTTGTGTCAAGAATAGTGATAAGACTCGGTTGCCGAAACTACAGTAGACTGAATCGGATTTGTAGCTCTGGCCTGGTAACTGAAAGTTGAATGTTCTAACCACTAACCTGTAGCTTCAGAACTAATAACCTGCAATTATAATCTTTTTAGAGGCTATGTTTTTCATCTGGAAGGCAGAACACAACGAACAAATACGCATGTAGTACTCCGCGAATAAATAATAAACTTATTGATGAAAATCGTATGCGAAATTGCATTTCGCTTTGTTAATAAAAAAACTAACCTTCCAGTAGAAATGGCATAATCTACGTTAGGATAATTTTGAATACTACAAACACCGGCACTATGTCTGAAAACAAACAGCAAAACAGGGAAAAGAGAAATAAAAGAACCATCAGGCTAAGTCAAAGTTTAAAAACTTATCAATGAGAAATTAATCCACATAAAGTAAGGTTATGTGTATAAAAACTGAAGAAAGAAAATTTTACATTCGATAGTTGTTCAAATCCAGTTAGGAAAATCTTAGTGATATAGCTATATTTAGCTGTATAGTGCATAATTCTATATGAGTATCTTTTTTCATTTATATCGGTGTTCAAACATTATTTCCAAAAAAGAAACATCACTGAACATTTAAAAGATTTTCATCAAAACTTGGAGACATTTTAAGCTAAACTCCGCCAATAACTTGATGGTACATGGTTATGCATCTTCTTGGTCTATAGAGTAAGAAAATACTACTCATTATAAATTGTGATTAAGACCAAAATCTAATGTTTACCCTCGATATTTTTTTATAAAGTATCGGTTAAACAGTTATGCGAACCTAAAGAATTTGAATTTAAACCTTAAGCGACTTGAAAAGTCTTACTGATCAATCGTTTAAGACTTAGTGAACGAACTTGAACAAATAAAAAACCAATACATTTAAAGTGATTATATCTTCAAAACTATGAAATCAAAAATCACAAAAACATCTAATAATATGAGAATTCTAATGTAGAAATAATCATCGTTATACTGATCAAAGAAATATGTTTCAATGAATTGGGCAAGAATTAAGTTTGTTCATCACATTCACCTTATCTATACGTGAATGATACAAAACCCATATCTTACAATTTCTTTTTTCAAATAATTTGCAAGCATGTTTTTTTTCTAGCGTTCTTATGTGGTATATAAGTTTGTAGTGGCTAACGTACTAGACTTTCGACCAGTAGATCACTGTATCAAACATCGCTCCATCTACATTGAATTCAGACAATAAAAAGTACAAGAGATTGATTTAACAACTACAAGTTCACGTATTCAGCTTTTAGTCATACCGCCTTAAAAATGAATCTACCCGGTTTCTTGAAACCGAAAGAAGTAGAGAGGAATTTAGCGGTTAGAAATCGAAAATCAGTGTGTCGCAGTCAACTGCATATAAAATGAGTGAATTAATATGCAGTCAAAGTACATTTATTTGCTTACTATTAGGGGACATTACAAAAATCGTATAAACCTATTATCAAGTGAATACATTTAACTTGGTATGCATTATCTGATGATTTCCAACATAGTTCGAGTTCGAATTATTGTCAAACGCAAAATTAGTGTTACTGGTCCAATCAAGTAATCAATGTCAAACGACCAAACTTTTCGATATATATACAGTCAATCAATCATACAATTGCAACTTAGAAAAACGTACAATCGTACAAAAATAATGATAGTACATTTAGTTGGAATATCTGTCTTGAAGATATTTGGGAACACAAACAAAGCCTTACAACTAAGCCATCCAACAAAACAGGAGTAAAATGACAGCGTCAATCAATCGAACTGAAAACATGTTCAGCTGGTACCAATGAAAATTTAGATACTAAAGTACTCTTACTGAATCTAGAATCACTACGAAACATTGAAAAAAAAAACCAGTTTCTACCTGATGATATTTAACGGTTTTTTACATCCTTCACGTAGATCCCAAACACAACATTTTGAATCATCACTACCGGTGAAAACTATTTCATTGTTCCATTTATTTAAACACGCACACCAAGCTTCAAATTCATGTCCAGACCACTTATCAATCAACTGAGGATGTGAACAGGATGATGTGTCGATTTTCCACACACTAATATTCCCACCTGAATCACTGAGAACGAATCTGCAAGGATTTTTAGATTTGTAGTAGTTATTAGTATTGTTATTTTAATCTGACCTATCTGAACATGAGTCGACAGATAGTAGAATGCAATTAGATATTGGAAGATTCAATAATTCAATTATAAATGGACTATCAATAGTACAATTCCATAGTTTTGCTGAACCATTTGCCAACGCACCAATTGCAATAGTATCATTTAACCAACTGGTATCTAACACACCAGAACACGATATATTACACGATAAAACATACTGATTATCGGTTGAAACTCTACTGAATAACAATAAGCCACCAATACGTTCTTGAGTAACCTAAATGAGTATGACGAAACAAATAGCAATATCACACTATTCAGACGATGTGAAATCTATGTTTATGAATAATGAGTTAATTTTTAGTATGTATAAGTTGTTGAATGAATTACCCAATAAGGATAGTGACGAAGAGAAATAATGAAATTTGGCGAATTATCCAAAAGTCGCAATAACCAGATGAACTTCGCTAAAGGTTACATATCCTGATATCAACATTCCCTTCAACTTTTGACTATAACCGGGTGGAATAAAAATTATAGCAAAGATCTTAGAATGACCATACCGTGACATAATAACAACGTATTAAGTTACTTATAAGTAGTCTGAGATGCATATCGTGGTGACGCAATCGTTACGTATTGGCTAGAACACTTGTTTCATTATATCTTAGCATATAAGGTAGGTTAGCCGAAACATGATAAGACTACAAGTAGTAATCCAAGGTTCGAGGATGAAGTTGTACCGTTGACTGTGTAGGTACCTTTCCTCATGGACTTCTGTCACTAGCGGTAAGTCCTTTGAATTACGGAACTAATAAATCAATAACTACTTGCAAAATGGATGTATATGGATGGCCTCAAGAAGCTATCTCTCGGGTTCTGAGACCGTGTTTCCAGATCGCCAAGATCACTAGCACTCTAGCCTTGGTTCAGGTACTTCAATAGGTATCTCTTTATAGTATAAGCAATTATAGATCGACGAATATACATTTCTAACGGCACTCGGTAATACTTAGAAACGTGAGTGGATTAAATCGTCACTTCTATTTGATTCCAGCAGGTAACTATGGGTGTATCCTAATCCTAAATCTCAAGGCAGTGTTAGCAACTAAAGGAATATCTCGATTCAGAAACCACTAATCATATTAGTGTAACAAACGGCAAATGAATACACTGTCTGCACTTCATAAATAAAATATGAATCTTCAACTACCGAAGTTTTACAAAAATGAATTAAAAGTATAGACCTACTAGCATGAGCCTAAAAACAATCTACGTATCCATTAGGGAACCTATATATTTGATCTAAAAAATACCTCAACATACATTTTTTAGTTCATAACTGCCACAAAGAGCTAGTGATCCATTTGAGCAAAATTCAACTGTGTCAGTGTGGTATTCAGCAACATATTTACTTAGTTCTTTCCAAACGAATTTCATCGCAAAACTGCCTGTGAGCTAAAAGTAAATAGATTTATGATTTCAATGAGACAATCGACCAAGGCAACAGCAGACGAACACTTTTCAAGTTACTAACAGCATAGAATGCTTCATTCTAAATCTTACACGCTCTGTTCCCGAAAAATCGGAAGAGCATAATATACTGTACAAGTTTAGGAGGGCAATAATATCATAAAGTGGAAACGGCTGTTGGTGGAGGACAATATAAGCAGATTTTTGACCGCACCCTGAGCGCAGCTAAGAGAAGCCCGTTATAAAAAATTGTCTTCGTTCCTCTAAATTTCGTCTCTACATTCGATAGTGGGCTTAGGTGAAAAATAATTCAGATAACTGTCAGCATTGTCTCCCACGCATTTTAAACGAGCTAAACGTTTTTCTACCTTTCTTCCGAAAGTAGCAACAGCTGACCGACCAATATGAAATTAGTTAACATCACGTGATGGTAACATAACATACGAGCGAAGATACGCGCTTATTTTCACGGAAAAATAACTCAAGACAAGGTGATAAGGCACATATAAAAAATAATACACCAATAGACACCGAAAACTGATGATTTATTACAAAACTTGCGTTAAACGCACCAGTAGCGTACTAGGTAAAATTACACTCTTATATCTTATTCAATATCCAATATATCCCAAATCTTTTTCACAAGCTTTTAAAAACCACTTGCAATGTCCGGTATCTTTCTCATGAGCCAACATAAACTAATTGAGTTCTTTGCACTCGATTCTCGTTCTTTCGGTACGGTTCCTGGTGTTTGGTAGTGTTCAGTGAATGGGGGTTCTAGCCACTTTACTGGCTAATTCTAGTCATTTGGCAGTTGTTTATGAATTTGTATGTCCCGTGATTTGAACAAATATGTCTGTTTCAGGGCACTCGGGCTTCTGGGTGCCAGCAGCTATCACGTTGCCAGGCTAGAGATCAGTTAGTCGCAATGTGAAGAATAATAAGAACGGTCTAATGCTGATAAGAAGAAGGTTCCAGAGCTAAGTAAATAAGTGGATAATTTTGTTTATCAACTAGTATTGGAGATTATGCAAGAGGACTGAAGTGTGAGCAAGGGAGAGGAAACATAGATAATAAACGAGATACATTAAGTAAGTGATCTGAGAAGATGGCAGTAATGACAACTAGCAGGTTTCAAGAGATGCATCAGGCACATCTGGTCCACGAGGAGATGATAATCCACATATGAGTGCATTTTTATCAATCCTCTTAAATCTGTCCACTGAGAAGACGTGGTTACTTTGACCGGAAGACCATTCGAAGTTGCGACCACTCTTAATGAGCGAAAGCGTTCTCTCTTTGATGCGCAATTCACTAGGTACATTTACAAATGAGTATGTTCTTTAGGTATCAAATATATGTCCGACGAGCAAGGATATTGTCTGATGAGTTTTCATTTTCTCATTTTCTAATTCTCCAGTAAGGATACGTGTCTTCTACGACACTCAGTAGGAGTGGTCTAGCCACCCTGTTTGTAATAAGCGGGAAACCAGTTGGCGTGTGCTATTTATAGCTACGGGAGTAGCTCACTCGATCCAACTTGCTTTTTGACTTGTTAATAGGTTTACCTTCTACTACATATGTTACAATAGTTGGTGATTCGACCTTAAATTCATCTGACAGAGAATTTGGCCTAGACTTTTTAACTTTTTTAGAGTGTCTTAGTAAATCATCCCTTTTAAAAGACGATAAAAGTCATAGTATATGATCACTGAATAATTTAAAAGCCGATTTAGCCACCTCTGATCTTTCTATATTACATGGGAAATGCATTTAATTAATTGATATGTAATCATATGGCAGCTTTTTCAGACATTCACTGTCTTCTTGTATGCGGCACTTGGGTTTAAGAGGAACGAACACTACATGCAAAGTCATAAATGCTTTGGGTCCATATTACGAAAGGCCCTATGTATTGACAATAAGGTTCTAAAACTTTGGTGACTGTCATACGGCAATGAGCAATGGTTTTCACCTGTTGATTGATGATTTCTCCTAAATCGTTTAATATAGTGATAACATTTCTCCCAGTTTTATGCTTCGTGCACATACCTGTACCTTGCTGGCCAATTGTATCATTATGAACCTAAAAGTATGTGCTGGCGATTTCCAAATCCAGAACCATTTAGATCATTCTTGCAGATTATTTTCAAGCTCTAAACTATAGCCTTCAATCATTACTGATCGTCGTAGCTTGATGTCATCGATATATAACAAAGCCGATGATGAAAGGAGAATTCAAAGGTCTTATACACACAGAAGGAAAACCATTGGTCTCAAAACTGAACTTGCAAACACTCCACTAAGCACAGTTCATCTGACAGACAACTTGAAGTTAACATCAGTTCTTTGGGAACGTTCAACTGAGAAATCCTTCGTCCACTTTATTAAGTTGCCTCCAACACAGATGAAAGCCAGTTGATTGAGAGGCAGTCAACTGGTTGAACAACTGTTACAGTGAGACATACAGAAGTGGTCAAATGAGAAGGCTGTTTGAAAACTATTAGAAAGTCTCCTATAGGACGAATGCATTTCATTGGTCAAGAAACGGCTTCATTTCCTAAAGAGGTGAAGCATGTATATAGACAAGCATTTTAACGTATTTCGCGGTAACCAAATAGATCTTCTCTTCTATGCTTTCTCTACCAAGTAGTCAGTTTTCGTATAGTCGATGCTTTCACTTTAAGAAATCCTTCTGTTTATGTACGAGTCTAACAGTTTCAAGTAATCTGTAGGCTTCTTAAAATCGCTATATTTCAGTAATCTAAATCTCTCCAAAATCCTTTTTTCTTTTCTGAAGAAGAGCACAAACTTCCTAGCTGAACCATTTTGGACAGCTTATTACATCCCTCAGTAAAGTCCATAAAATGTGCGATACGGAAACGTGTTTCCACAAATTCTTGAAAGTCTCCCAATCCGATTCAAGGGTGGATTCTATTTTTATTGTCCAATCTACTGTTGATAGTTTTTCTTCGTATATTTGCATTCAAAAAAGTGGGTGTGACGGCTGCTAGTATCCAGAAACCTTACTGCCCTGAAACAAACGTTTCATTCAAATCCCGAGACATACAAACTCACAACCAACTGCCAACTGACTAGAATTAGACAGTCGAGTGGCTAGACCTCCATCCATTGGACATTACCGAACACCTGGAACCGTACCGAAAGAACAAGAATCGAGCGCGAAGAAATCAAATTGGTTTACACTAGCTCGTGAAAAAGATATTGGATATTGGATATTGAACATGAATTGACAATAGTTTTTGTTCTATAGAATTTTCTGGAAAATTTGTATTCGGACTTTCTTAGTCGACCCTAAGTGCATTAAAGTTCTCCAAAATTGTATGTCGACCACTTTAAGACCATGTAACAAGCCAGTCTAGCAAACCTCATCCACATCACAGTTTGGACTGCGATAAACTAAACTAATTGGCAGCCTTTGTCCTTTTCATATCAAGCATCAACTAACCAATTCATGCGTCCTAATTTTAGAAATAGTATTTCTAACGAATAATACCAATCTCCCTTTGAATTCAATGTGTCTCACCGAAATGGAATTTTCTAAGCTGAATTTCCTCTTGTCTACAGACTGAGTCAAACAAGTTTTGTGACGGCGACTACCGCCAGTCTGGTAGGGTCTATCTGTATATAATGCTCCGATCGCTTGTTGAGTGAACTCTGAGCATTTGTGTAGACTATCTGGTTGGGACCTGCGAAACAGTTGTAATATGTGGTTAGACTCAAAATCGTTTGCAATGGCTAAGGTACATTCATTCTCTGTCTTGTCTGAAATCCTAATCTTCTGAATCCCTCTTGACTGTTTTTTTGATGTAGTGGTATACTTTCACGAAGAGAATACAATCGCTGAACTGGAAACATTTATTATTGTACTTAATTCTAACAATAATTGTTCTGAAATTGAAAACAGTTAGTCCCTTTTTATAAATTTTGATAGAACAGTGAGAAGATGTAACTGAAAGTCAAAAGCCAGTTTTTCATTCTGCTGAGAAGAAAAAGGTTTATATCACTTTAGCGTTTAGAGGCGAAGCAAATGGTTTAATCCTAAGACAGAGTCTAAAAGCAGCCATAGAGAAAACATACTACGCTGCTAAACTGATTATCACTGAGAAGACTAAGGCCATGATTTACATGCTTGTGTGGACACATATACATGGGAGGAGTAATCGAACTTTGCAATCAAGGGTTATGGAACATGTTCCTGAGTGGCTTCAAAATCAGTTAACGCCAGATGAGCCAATTAGCGACCGATCGCAAAACACATAACTGAGACAGGGCATAAGATTGACATCAAGACCGCCTTCAAAACATTGTATAGAAATGTTGAAGGACGAAGTTCGAAAATGAAAACCCCCCTTACGTGTGCAGAAACAATTTGTCATAACTTTGAATTTACCCTGGGTAATCTTTAAGTCTGTGGTAACGTGACGATTTTCCTACCCTTTATTATTCTTTCCATATTACGTTGATTTTCTCTCTCCTTTATTTATAATTACCACCTAATGTCTATTTGAGCTTGTATTTAATTGACTTCTTATTAATCTTCATATAAAATGCCTTGACAAGTAAATATGTGTGACCAGATTGTTCGAAATGTATAGCGCAAATACATCACATTTTTCAGATCAATCACATCTCACTGTTCTGTCGAAATAATAGTCCTATTGTATTCCTTTTATCTGTACTAAGGACTAACTCGCGCGCCAAACGTGACATTCCCATTTCGCATTTCTCATCAGTGGTTGTTAGCTGCTTCTTTATTCCGGTCTTGATATTATTTCGGTATCACAAGACCACCTCTTCATCCAGTTATTGTCTTCTTTTTGATTTCTGGATCTTTCGGGTTTTAACTTGGTAATCTCGCGAACATTAGTGCCAACCTCACTATACCCTTTTCAAGTATTTTTTTTCACTTGGATATACTTCTCGAATGGTATCTTCTATCCTTAATCTTTTAGATTACTACCTCTAATACTATGGGATTTGAACTGACAACTCCATCTGTCAGTGCTAATGTGACATGGTAACTTGAACTGATGTACGTACGCACCAAATTTTATTTTGCAGCTGACCGACACCTACTGACTAAACACAAAATGAAATATCCTGCAACGTCCATACATGTTGAATGTACGAAGAATTCGACTACAACCAACTGACGAAAAATAATCATTGATAATTCTTTACAGCTCATTAAGTCTTGTTTATTCGGTTAATCAACAGAAATCATCAATTTTATTTTCATCATACCCATACAGCACACCGTCATGTTTCATGACTAGATGCACAAACAACTTTTTGTCAACACCAAGTCTGTTACTTTATTCGTTAGACTATTAATACGCCATGAAAATCCACGAAAGCCTTATTTGAAACGCCTGAAAAGTAAGTTATTTTAGGCATCTTTATTACTTCAACTTATAATCCACGTGATTATACAAGTAAAATACGAGATTATATATTAACGTTTGATAAATCTTAGTAAACATACAACTTTTATATTTTTGATATCAAGTTGCTTTGAACAAAGTAAGAACAACAAATGCATTTCGAAATTAATCGACAGATTACTTGCTAATTAAGTATAACTGACTTTGTGCAAGGTCATATTTGAAAATATTAGGTGTATATCAAGCAAGATAAATGTGCTAGATATTTATTTGAATTTTCGTATTGCTACTGATTCAGACTGAAGGAATACAAACAAATAAACAAAATGATTGGCGAACAAATAGAGCTGCTGGTCTATTCCACTTTCTTCAGTCAATAATCAGTTAATTTGTGACGTTTAAATTATTCCGAATAATCTATCGTGACTCCAATTTAAAACTTATTTCTTTGCATAAGTATATTCTTAATTAACAACATGTCAATACGCATGTGGTTAGACCTCACAACTTATTGAAAATCATACACATACACAGAGGAAATTTGCATCATATGACATAAATAAAATCACTAACGAGGCACGACACGGTGAACTTCGAGTGAATGCTTGTATTTTTTATTCCAAGGACTGAATTATTCAATCTCTGTTGTTGTAATAGATTCTGGATGAAAACCAACCACATTTAAAGGTCTAGAGCATTTTTATCAATAGTGGAATCCAAGGATCATGTTTCTTTTAATTTCAGCATCATTGACTGAATAAGACTGCATCCTAGCATTGTTCTTCTTAATTAGACTCTCTCGAATAGAATTGTCTTGTCTCAAAATTTTAAACATGTATTTCGGAACAGAAACAACAGTTACTTTTCAGCCATTGACTAAATAAATTTGTATTTAAAAGATACTGATTTAGTGAATTGATAACTGGAATAAGAGTTACCAAAACGTGTACTTAAGCCCTACAAACTTAACCCAATGTTCAATTTACTAAAACATGCCGTTTTGATAAATGGATTATTATAACTAGGATAACATAACGTATCTACGGTGTGAATTTGTATATATTAGACACCTAAACCATGATAACTGATTTTCAGTCATAACGCATATAAGACAATTCTTAACAGATAAAGAATACCCCAAGAAATAATAAGGTAAACCAAACTAAATGTGAATACATTTGAACCGCTACAGTTGTATCCGAGCCACATTAGCATAGATTACCAATCGTATAAGGATTTCTCATCTTCAAAACAACAGTCACGATGCCTGCAGTTGTTAAACATCTTAACTAAACAATAACTTAATAAGTATCTGTCTTGTGGTTTATAGCACAAACTGACTTTAGTTAGATAAAAAAGAAACACTGGACAACTATTTCGTCTAACTATGGGACTCTAACAACGTAAATTTAAAAACCCACAGTAGATTGAAACCAGAACTTTCAGGACGCTTAACCGTTAGATCATTCAATCAGCATCCAATGGTTTACATCCCCAGCTTTAACCGACCGGGATGTTGCCCAACCACCGTCTAATGCCATAAGTTAGTAATTGCCTCACACCTCATATGGTTGAATTATGCTAATTACAGCTTCTCATTAGAACTTTGATGTTTGTTAAACCACAAATAAAGGGTTACTTTGGTTTCCCTAATTTAGTTGCTATCATGTGAAACATTACACAAAACCACTAGAACGCACATGCTTAGTTTCATTTATATATCAAATTATAATACAAGAAATAACCAAATACTGACACTTTTAAAGTTACACAAGCTTACACGTACACATACAAACACAGATTAATCAGCATTAATAATAATTTAAATACATTATACATTGTAAAGTAATTCTGGGTTTTTAGATAGTATATCAATTTTAAGTGCTGATCACAAACTCGAAATAACTACTTGAAGAAAAGATATAGTACAGTTTTATGCATTAACTTATTTAGAATTGTAGCATGTACTCTGTTGGTTTTTAGGATTTTCTGGTGATGTCTGAAACATTTTAAATATTAACTGTTTGAGCTGTGAATGCCGCATGCTTGGATTTTCAGCTTTCAATTGTGGCATCATACGTTCTTCAAATGCTTGATAAGCAGCTTTTAAACGCTTCTCTGGATGTCGATCACCATCACCTTCATTGTTAACACTAAATAAAAAGAAATGAGATGAGGGAAAAAGAACGTTAACCTTTGGTGAAATAAAAAGCAGAAAGAGAATCAATGTCAATAATTACGTGTAAGCAAATTCTATTCTTTATTTTACGCTCGTTGGTATTCATGTAGATTCGTGGAAGTCAATACACCGATCAAATATACATGTTTTTTAATCTATTTAGTCAGATAAATGACGGTACAAAGGAGTACCATAATATATGAGCACCACGTAATAAAAATAAGGCTGTGAAGAGATAAAGAAAGGCGAGTATAAAAGTGAAATAAAAAATAATAGTAATTGGAGAAGCAGTTTAGTCAAGAAAAGCACAACCAGAAAAGATAATTTCAGTTAAAGGAATTCCTCTGACTTATAGGAAGAAAATTAAAAATGGACAGCCACTGGCTTATTTTGAGCCGTCTGATAAAGTCCAAAGTACCGTGTTACACTATCTCTAGAACCCCAACCACAGAGCCGTTAAGGACCAAGAGATTCCAACCTTGTATAGCTTCCTTTCACATCACAGCATCATAATTTATAGCGACTACCTACCTGCTTTTTCTAATTAGTCGCAACGCCCGTAAATAATGCACGATGTGAAATTCGCTTGAACGAAATTGGCAGTACATGTTTTGAGACTGTGAAATTAATCAAGCCATATTTAATTCAAACCCCATAATTTTTCCTTGCTATAACTTGCGGTATTTACTACAATACGAAAGTTACTCTAATTTATATTGATGTTTGTAGGATCGGATTTATTGAGGCAATGTAACCTTTACATAAGTTAAAGTCAGTGTAAGCTTTATTGATAGACAGACTTTAATCAATTGCAAGACAATGTTTGATACAATATATTATGATGAACACAAAATCGTGCAATACTTTTAGGTGGATGCATTTGATTAGAGTACAGAAATGGGACAACAACATCTAGAGCCCCTCAGGGGCTAATGCTGGTCCCAAACCCAGACAAAGGAGGGGGTTGGATGGGGTTGGCAACCCCATTACGTAGAAAAAATAATTCGAACCATCTAGACTCTGCCCTGGGAGTTAAATCTTCATTCAGAAGGGTTATGATGTCTCATGATGAAACCGAGTTTTTTCGGGAGTCACGAGGTCGATGCCTCTTCTGACAACCAGAGCAACCATTCTTTTAGGTAAATGGAACCTTCGAACATTGTGGGAGACTGGAAGACTATTTCAAGTTGCTGCAGAAATAAAAAGATACAATCTGGAGGTGCTTGGAATCAGTGAAACGCATTGGACGCAGGTAGGACAACTGAGACTAGCCTCAGAGGAACTGTTGTTATACTCCAGTCATGAAGAAGAAAATGCCTCACGTACACAAGGAGTTGCACTGATGCTGTCCAAATAAGCACAAAAAGAACTACTAGGATGGGAATCTCATGTACCCAGGATCATCAAAGCATCTTTCAAAACAAAGAAAGAGGACATTACAACAAACGTCAGCTTATGCTATTCACCTACTAATGACTACAATGACTAGAATTCTACGAAAGGCTGCAGTCAATCGTTGACAGATGCTCATCAAAGGGTTTGACGATTCTGATGGGAGCCCTAAATGACAAGGTTGTGATGGACAACAGTAGATGTGAAGACATCATGGGACGACATGATCCGGCAAAAAACAACGAAAATGATCAGAGATTCGCAAAACTATGTGCCTTGAACAAAGTGATCATAGGCGGCACAATATTGCCACATAAACGCATGCACGAAGGTACGTGGATTTTCCCCCATCACACCACATGGAAATGAAACGACCATATCTGCGTCAATAAAATGTCCAGAAGGACCACTGAAGATGTGAGAACCAAGAGAGAAGCTGATATAGCCTCAGATCACCACTTGCTGGTTGCCAAAATGAAACTGAAAGAGAAGAAACATTGGAAAGTGGGGCGGACAAAATCACAAAAGCTTAATACGGGATACTGGAAAACTCAACTAATTCAAGATAGCTCTCAGCAACAGGTTTCAGGTCATTCATTATCTACTCAGTGGAGAGGAAACAACCATGAAGAACAACAGGAAAGGGATCAAGGAGGCAGTCATTTCAACATGCAACGAGGTTCTGAGCCACAAGAAGCACCATCACAAGGAATGGATCTCTGTTGACACTCTTCAAAAAATTGAAGGAAGGAGGAACAAGAAGGCAGTAATCAGTGTCAGCCGAACAAGAGCAGAGAAAGTTAAGGCACAAGCTGAATACACAGAAGCAGACATGCAGGTGAAGAGGAGCATTAAAGCCGACAAACGAAAATATGTGGAAGATCTAGCAGTGACAGCTAGAAAGGTTACGAGAGAAGGAAACATGAGACAATTGTACGATACAACAGAGAACCTCGCTGGAAATTATCGTAAACCCGAACGACTCGTGAAAAGCAGGCAAGGCAAGGCAATCACCAACAATGAAGAACAGCAAAACAGGTTGGTAGAGCACATTGCAGAATGCTTGAATTGATTGGCACCAACGAACCCACCCAACATCGTAGCAGCATCCACGGACCTCCAAATCAATGTTTCCCCCACCAACAGTTGAATAGACTAGCATGGCCATCAGACTTCGCAGATGATCTGGATCTTCTATCCCAGACGAAACAACAAATGCAAGAGAAGACGACCAGTGTAGCAGCAGGTCTCAACATACACAAAGGGAAAAGCAAGATTCCGCGATACACCACAACAAGCACAAATCAAACCACACTTGACGGAGATGCCTTAGAGGACGTAAAAACCTTTACATATTTGGGCAGCATCAATGATGAGCACGGTGGATTTGACGCAGATTTTAAGACACGGATTGGCAAAGCACGGGCAGCATTTCTACAACTGAAGAACATTTGGAACTCAACCAAAACCAGAGTCAGAATTTGCAATACGAAGGTCAAGACATTTTAATTGTATGGAGTGGAAACTCGGAGAACTACGAAAGCCATCAACCAAAAGATGCAGGTGTTTTATAAGAGTTGTCTATGCAAGATACTGAGGATCCGTTGGCCAGACACCATCGGCAACAACAGATTGTGGGAGTGAACAAACCAGATCCCAGCGGAGGAAGAATTCGGGAAGAAGCAGTGGAAGTGGATAGGTGCGAAAAGCACCCAACTGCGTCACAAGACAAGCCCCCACTTGGAATCCTTAATGTCAAAGGAAAAGAGCAAGGCCAAGAAACACATTACGCCAAGAAATAGAGGAAGATATGAGAAGAATGAACGAAAATTGGACAGACCTGGAAAGGAAGGCCCAAGACAGAGTAGGTTGGAGAATGGTGGTCTTCGGGGTAACAGCCGCAAGTACCTAAAACGGCAATCGTACAACTAGGCAGTCAAGCCCTTTAGAACATTCGAAGTATTGATTTCTAATCTTAGTCACATGAAAAGAAAGTTAAGCAGTACTAAATTTTTCCGATTTGTATGCACATCTTAATATACGACCAAAAACTAGTCAACGATTTCAGAACACAAAACGAGGTACGTAAATACTATTTTAACTTAAAAGCAAGGCATAATTTATGAACACAGAAGTTAACGTGCGTTAAGTATGACACGAACTTGCGTATAACGGAAAAGAGAAATCACTCTTTTTTGAAAACTAATTTTTAGAGTCTACTAGGGCAGTTGAATAGCCAGGATAATCCACGTACAGATATGGAACTATCTATTTCAAGAGTGAATCCATTTTTTATATGTTTTTGGTGACACGAAGTAGTTTAAAGGTTAAGCTTTACGACAGTTTCGCGATTACACTAAAATCATTTAGATATAAATAGCAAGTTTATTTGAAAATACAGTTTGTTTCCTACTAATTAAGCCTTTATAGTCTTAACAATTAACAAAATGAAGTAGGTTCAAAATTAAAACAAAATAAGCTAACAATGTTGTTTTTCAATTAGATCTTCGTCAGGCTATGCTCTGATATACAATAATACCTATATGCATATATGAAATCACTAAACCAATGAAGGCAATTTACGAGTCAGTGATAACATTGGAACAAAAAGTACAAATTAGGAGTGCGATGACAGGTATACTGGTTGTCATAAGAATAATAAAGGCTTAAATCAAAGTTACACAATAGGGAGTAGGTCAAGCGGCTTGTAAAACTAAACGATGGAATAAAATTCATTAGGATTATAAGTTACGTACAATGAGTGGATAGTCGGGCGTATATTTGGAGAGAAAAAAGTGGGGTGAAGAAATTTAAGCGGACAGACAGAGTATAGAAAACAATGATGAGTAAGAAATAAAACTTTTTGTTCGATTAAGGAAGAGAGAGAAGTGTTATGAATTCTTCATGAACACAAAGACTTGGATTGCTAGCTCGAATCTCTATAGCTTTAGCTATGTGTAAGAGATGAGATCGAACGCTATAAAGAAAACCAGTAAAGATATGACAAATTACTTTGAATAATTTATTTCTATCTACTACATTGTTGCTATCAATCAAGTGTGATATGACTGAGCTGCGTATTGTCCACCACCTCGACCCAGTATGTCACTAACTATAATTCCGTTGAATTGTAGCCTCCAGAAGAGGTTTATTTATCATGCTCAATATCTCTATTTTTCTGTTTATTGTATATAGGTGTTCCTTCGGAAGGCCATGTGGATAACCCATTTACATCAACAATTTGTGAATGAGCTCTATCTCTGTGTTTATAGTGTCATCTAAGCATATTTTTCTGACTCTACTTGTAAGACATCTAATTCGATTTTTCTTGTGATGGGAGAGTATAAAGCTCAGGAAATGTGTGTACTGGCTAAACACACTTCTACTGATAAAACTATTTTCTTTTCTGTATAACAAAACGTCAAGAAAGTGTGATTTGTTATCAAGTTCCTCTTCACATGCATATCTACTTGCTGAAAACATTTTGTTAAATTGCTTCAAAAGTTTTTCTTTAGCACTGTAACGGCAGTAAGAGTCGAGCTTACCAATAGCCTTCTGGATAAGTAAAACAACGGAAGCAACTTATTTTATCCAACTATTTCTCAAAAGTTAGTTACCAACGTAGAGAAATAGATGGTGTTACACGATTTCACATAGCTACATCAACTTCAATCCTATCACGTTGAACACCAATTGCCTGATAGACAACATCAGTAATACGAACAATCTAGGAAATCTCTAGGTGACCGTTATTACGAACATGAACGGCAATATCACCATCTATAGTCCGATTGAATATGAGTACTAGCTTATTTCTAAGCATTAGGTTGTAATTTAAAGGTAATAAAGATATGATAAACAATTCTCTTCTTGTTTTGCTTAAAGGACTGGATACTGTTAACGCTTTTATTTGAAATAAGTACATCTACACACACAAAAACTATCCCAGAAGAAATGTACGAAACGTTATGTAAGTAATTTTATTTGCAATGATAATACTCGGTTGCTTGATATGAGACATGTGAAAACCTTAAAACTACACGAAAGAATAAAATGAATAATTTAATGACCTGTCAAGTAATCGATTACTCTGGTAGCGACAAGTAGCCATCAACTGAAAAGAAACTACTACTTTGTAGTGATGGGTAAACACACTGAGCAGACAAGGTAGTCAGACTTATACATTTTCAAGTTCTGCTACGTCCCATTAGATAGTTTTATCTGAGAACTTTTTACTTGTTACAATCTATAATGAGGCGGTGAGGATGAAGTTTCTTGGTGTAACTACTGACTATCCATATAGAGGATTCCAAACTGGTTAGAAAAATTCTAAGGGAAACAACTAATCCATCAGTTCTAGTTTTTGAACTACAAAAGAATAAAAGAGATACTTAAGTTGGAAATAATACAGGAAATAAATACACCTAAACCTCTGCCAACAAATTCGAAACATGTAACTTTTTACGCTACCAATATCTAATATCATGCGGGTCAGTTAGCCAATTATTCTATTGGAAAACACCAAACATCTCCATGATGTAATCCGACATGACACCACCCAATTCCTAAATAAATCATCTGAAAAAAACACGGAACAGTAAGCCGAGTAAATTTTCGCTGACATTTAAGTTACATTCACGGCCTGGAAATAATATGATGATAACATGGTGATGGAGCACTTCTCACAGTTGGCAAAAAAACTTCTCTGGACTAACAAAAAACGAATACCTCAGTATGGAGATAGCCTCTTCAACAGTACGAGCTTCTAAACCATCTTTCTCAATTCGGTTTGGATTTGGAGCCAATTCAGTGGGCTCAGATTTCTGAGAGGTTTGATTTAAAGCCAGTAACTGAGCCTCTAGTCTTTTTTGGGCTTCAGCAATTTGGGCTTGGGTAAGTTTTGACGGTTGCTCCTTGGACATGGTAGATTTAGAAGACTTGAAACCCGCGATTTCCTCATTATATAGCTTCTCCTTTTCTTTTTTCCTCTCCATTAACTCTTGACGCTTCGAGTCTTTTTCTTCCTATAATGTAGATGACGTCAACTAAGGACTCACTTTTCGCTGCTGTTTCTTACTTAAATGCTTATCGTCGTCTTTCCAGTACTCGTCCTCAGCCTTTTTCAGCGTGGTTTCTCGCTCCTCTCGCTTCTTTTCGGCTCGGCGTTCCCGAGCCTCTAATGCTTTTGGACATGTCCCAAGTTTCTTCGGCATATAAAGGGTCCCTAAACCGGTGATAAGTGAGACTTTAGTTCGGAAACCTACTGAGCCAGTTCAATAATCTGGGGAAACCAAAAGGGAACCTGATATATGGTTCTAGATTCGTTTCTATATGATCTATCAGGCAGAAATAATTGGATAAATACATATTGCAAATTAATCAGAGTTAAATAAGGAATCCAAAAGCATAAAAATTAATTGTATTTAGTAATGATTTAGGTTGGCTATAGTCAGTAAAACCTACTGAGAATCTAAGACCAAAAATGATATTCGTAAACAGCGCCGCTTATTCGACAAGGTCGAATCCACTATCCAATATCTTGTTAAAGAGTTGGTATAAAACAGTCGATTTCTTTGCGCTCGATTCTCGTCCTTTCGGTACGGTCTCAGTTATTTGACAGTATATGGAGGAATAGCCACTCAACTGTCTAATTCTAGTCAGTTGGTTGTGAGTTCGTATGCCCCGTGATTTTAATGAAAACGTTTCTTTCAGGGCACTAGGGTTTCCGGAAACCAGCAGCTAATGCATTATCAGGCCGATGTGGAGAATAATAAGGAGAAGGGATTGCGCGAGAGGACAGAAGCGTAAGAAAAGGAGATGGGTAAGTTAGTGATCTGAGGAGATTGAAATAAGAACAACAAGCAAGCCTCAAGACATGCAGCAGACACAGCTTGTCCACCAGGGAGATGAAAATCCGTATGTGAGTACGTGTTAACCATGTCTCTTCGTAAGACTGTCCACTGAGGGGGGTTCGGTTACTTCTTCTGGGAGAGAATCCGAATTCGAAAAGACTCTTAATAAGAAAAAGTGTGCAGGAACCTGAGTATTCGCTCCTTTACGCGCAATTTTTCGAGGATGACCCCGAAGGGCATGATGGTGATGCTTCGGTAAGATGCTCACGTTGGGATGGTTTGCCGTGCTTAATATGTTGCACATCATAATCAGATCACTTCTGATTCTCCTGTAACTCAAGGGGAATAATCCTAAGTGGTGCAGTCTATTTTCGTAAGTTTTGTTTTTCAAGCCTATCACTCATTTCGTTGCCTGTCTCTGAACTCGATCCAAGAGATTTAAGTCCTTTTTAAGGTGAGAAGGTGAAACGACGTTGTGGACCTCAAGGTGTGGGCGGGTATATCCCTTAAGTAACGTTAAGATGATAGCACCCAGTTGTCTTCGCATAAAGTGAAGAGTCGCATTTGCCTTGGCTGCATCTCCTATATAGTTCGGGCTTGTGTGGAGGATTTCTGTGGTTATTAAACCGAGATCACGCTCTGAGGAGACATTAGGGAGTGTACTTCCATTGAGGGTGTATGTCGTTTGCGTCATGTGGGTCTAAATGTACATGACGTGATATTAGGGGTGATTTGGTTTGAAACCGTTTTTCACAGCCCATGACTCAATGGATGTAAGGTTTCTTTGAAGCTCAGTCGATTCCTCTTCGCTCCTAACGGACAGCCAGATCGTTGCGTCCTCTGTGTAGATTGATGCAGCCTAGCCAACTTTGTCCAACAGATAGCTAATGAATATCAGCAAGACAAGTGGACCTGCAAGTGGACCCTGTAAACTCCTGACGCTGAAACTCGCCAACTCGCGTGCACCCTATTCGCCTTGTCATGAAACTTTCCATACTCAAAATACTTTCTAAGCAAAGATAGGAGTGGGTAAGTGAAGCCCATTTCCTCAACCTTTCCGATTAGGTGTGCTTTAGGTACCGTGTCGAAGGCTTTTGCAAAGCCGTGAAATTTTATGTGCAGCGGAAGTTTTCAGTCCCAGCAGGATGTCGAACTGTCCCGTGCTATGAGAAGATCGGATGAGCATGAACCGCCTTTCCCAAACCCTTGTTGAGCTTCGTGGAAGATTTTGTCCTTATCCACGTACCCTCTAAACTATTCGTTCATCAGCCCTTCCATTACCTTCGATGGCATTGGTAGTGATGCGACTTGTCACCCTCTTCTTTTCCTCTCGGTACACCTCCAGGTATTTGGTAATGTCCAATGGATAAGAGTCTAGCCACCAGACTGCAATAATTCTAGTCGATTGGCAGTTGTTTGTGAGTTTGTCTGTCGTGATTTCAATGAATGCATTTGCCTCAAAGCAGTAGGGTTTCTTGACGCTGGTAGCTATAATATTACCGGGCCAGAGATCGGTTGGTTACAATATGGAGAATGATAAGGAGAAATTTCTAATATTCATTAGAAGATAATGAGATTTCAGAACTAAGTGAATAAATATGTAAGTTAATTAACTGGTAGTGAAGAGTGTGTCAAGTGACAAGAATGTAAAAAATAAAACGACATAGATGTTAAGCTAGACCCGAATTCAACTCGTACATAGACACGTTCATAGTCCAGCGACTCGAATATCTATGTTTAGTGGGTCGGTTTCTGAAACGAATCAACTTTCTGTGAGTTTACTATGAGTCATCTCCTATTTTAGTTGTTTTATATCCCTTTATATCTTTCGATAAATATTGCTAGCACCAACTTTCTTAGATTGCAGACGATCACAAGGCTTCCGACGACTGAAAATTGAATGCTTGTCTAATTAAGGACAATGTATAAAAGTATAACTTGTTGTGTACTAACTGAATAGGGAGATGTGAGGAGAGATTTTATGGATAAGATGTTCAGTTATTAAATGTAAGAATTACTGTCAGTCGATTAGTAGGTTTAAAGTAGTGTATTGAGAAGTTAAGAATGTCATTAAACTGTTGTGGGCTTATATATGATATTTCGGAATGCTAGTCTATCACAAGTATGTATTAACTGATTAAAAACTTATGAAGTTTGCTTCTAAGAAGCAAACTGCACCGGATATAATAGACAGTTTGATCAAGTCAGTATAATACCCTACAAATAGTAAATTTCCGAAGAGAAAAAATGTTACCACTTTTAGAATTTTCAGCCTCCTGAGTTTTTCTCACGACGCCTCATTTCCACCGAGACGAGATATAGTGCTTTTGGTCGAGAACTCTTGGGAGCCTACTGTCCCATCAAACATTTTCGCCACGTATTAGATCGTGAATTCATGCTATTCACAGACCGTAAGTCTCGTATGTATGCTATGCTTACCAAGTCTGACCGCTACTCACCACGAGAATCTAGACATTTAGACTATATCTCCCATCTCACGGCAGACCTTGAACTATGTTAGTGACGCCCTACCTCGTATCCAAATAAATGATCTCACTCCACCTGTGCACGATCTGCTCGTTATGGCTGCCGCCCAAGCACGCGACTCTTCCTGTAGGGAGGCACCACGCTCTACATCCTTTCAGTGGCAGGAAGTGCCCCTAGCCGCTAGCTCAGGTATTATCCTGTGTGATAGTCCTACGTGTCTATCTAGACAAATCGTACTGTCTGCTTATCGTCTTCCCTTGTTCAACACCGTACATGAACTATCTCACCCGGGCATCGCAGCCACTTCACTTTTCGTCTCCGTATGATACGTCTGGAATTTCACTTATAAAGATTTTCGTATGTTGGTCAGGCAATGCTTACAGTGTCAACGAGCTAAAGTGCTAAGGCACGTAGCTTGCCCCGTTGGCAAGTTCACTACGCCTGATGCTCGCTTCGATCACGTTCACATCTGCATTATGGGACCAATGTCAACTTCGCAGGGGTATGATCACTTAGTCACGTGCATCAGCCGCCTGACTATATGGTCGTCTCTTTACTGTCACGACTGACAGGGGACAACGATTTGAGTCCGATTTATTCTCCTCGCTGACCCGGCTGTATGGTATCAAATGGTTTATTTGAACGATGTCACCATCAACTCAAATGTGTCCCCAATGCACATGAAAGCAACAATTAATACGAAACCTTAGTTCTGCGTGGCATCAGAACTAGTTTAAAGGCAGATATTCATCGTTCCATGGCTGAACTTTATATACGGCACGACAGTGCATTTTCCCGGGGAATTTTTCACACCACGGAGCGGTGAATCTTTTGGCATACCAAACTACGTCCAGCTACTATCTGCGTACATGTGAACACCACCTCCATCATCAGTTCAAATGCAGAATCATCAGATCGCTTTGCCTCAAGAGTTATTTACCTATTTACACCTCTTTATACGAGTAGATTCGGACGGAACCCTTTTCAACAACCCTGGGAAGGACTTGTTCACTTGATTTTCCATCATGAAAAGACTTTCAGGGTTGATAGACATGGTTGCATCGATATTGTTAACATTGATTGTCTCACATCAGCACACGTCGATAACGGTGCCCTGTATGATAAGTTGAGACCTAATGCTAGACCCATCCCATCCACTGGCGGAATCGCTTCATCTTTTTCGGACCCCACGATAAACATATCACAGACTTCATTCTCTTATCCCAGTTAACAGTACGCATCGTCTGCACTATCTTCGGATGAGACTTCAGTCTCAAGACCAGACCAGAAGACTACTCCGCCTTTAAGTTCAGATGAGATTGCAGCCGCAAGCTCTCAACCATGAAGTACGAACGAGATCACTATCTAACGTTCGGGTCGCCAGGTATATGTACTCGCACGCTTTCGCGACTAGACTCCCAATAAACGACATACAGATTATAGAACTCCGTCCCTTACTTCACGTTTGTCACATCTGTTTTCCGTAATCGATTTTACCTTGGTCTTGCACTTCCTACCATCGCACTTACGGTGCCGTTGGCTTCATTCAACCTTGCCTACAGCTGGCCTAATCACTCACATTCTTCTCAATGTACCGTGACGACATTCTGCTTCTGACTGCGTCTTGCACACGTATAATCTCGACCCTGGTTATCATCGTCGTTTCTGGTTCCCGACTCAAGTTGGTTTCGCCCTACATATGCAGTGTTTTCTAGCCCTAGCCTTTCAACTGCCGTCTTCAGATTCCAGATACAAACTATTTTGGTGTGACATGATAACTCGAGCAACAAACTTGGCACGTTAGTCCTTATGAGAAGACTGAGGCGGGTGAGGAAGATTGTATTATGCAAATTTACACTCTTAGTAAATTAAAAACGAAATCATTACATTGAATACTCTATTTGCACACCATCTTTGAGTCGTGACTTCCAACGCTCCATCATTCTTCCATTCCTGCTGTTGCTTCCTTTACTTCCTGTTGGTTCTCCATTTACTTCTTGCTTTCGCTCCATTTGCTTTCCGCTTTCCTCTTCTGACCGTGAGACTTCTTCTTTCACGTCCCTTCTTATACTACTTATATCGTCCGTATAAGTAGCACACACCACACTTATACCGTTCTATGTAAAAGGTCTTCAGTGACAACTCGAGCATCGTGGACCAATTTCTGGTCGTCAGAGTTTTATGAT